TTGCTCAGGAGTTTACCTGTTTATACTCGCCCATGGGTTTTGATTTTGAGACCCTGGTTCCAGGGAGGAGGGTCCGTTTACAACTGCCTGCCGTGTCATCTGTAGGAGACTCGGGTCCAGGGTTAGGATACCTCATGTTATCCTTTTTTATGGCATGTACAGGCACACAGTTGGGACCCTCAATCCATTTGTAAACCAGTATTCATGTCTTGTTAAATTTCAATTAAATTATTCCTATAACAATTCTCAGCATGATATTAGATTCATTTTACATTATTGAATTTCAGCAATGTCAGTTCATATCAATGGGACTCAACACAAGGTGTGGGGCCTTAGGGTTCTCTGCGTCTCGGTTTACGGTGTTTCGGTGGACCGGGAAGGGATGTTACAGAAAGACTGTTTCTTTGAAGTAAAAGAAAGAAAAGAACAAGAAAAAATAGGAAAAAATCAACATTACCAATCACATAATTGTTGACAAAAAATGGAGGCAGCAAGTATGAATGAGATTATTACACGGCATTTATACACGACTCATTCATTAACCTCTCCTATAATAGAGGTAGTGAAGCATAAACAAGACAGCACAGCAGAAGAAGAAGAAAAAAAAATGTAGAGACATGTTAATCTAGTTTAGAAGGTTTTTTCCTAATATAGGGGACGAGATAAACTAGGTGGAGGGAAATAATTATGGGGTGTTGTTGGAAACACCTTTGAGTGCCTACTATTGCTATTTACTCTCTTTGCTGTATACTATTTTTTAATAAGTGGGTAAGAAATTATTCGAAGTCTGTCCCGATGGAACGTAGCCCTAAACAGGTGGTAGGCGTAACCACGTCAAATTTGCTGTGTGTATCTATTTTCTATTTTTTCCGCTGCGTTAATTTTCTCCTTAATTGATTGAAAAGCCAAATCCGAGTTGGTATTAGAGCTTGAGGCAAGTGATATCTGAGGCCCAAACAAGTGGTATTAGAGCTGAATGGGACCCAACAAACTTAGTATCAGAGCTGATGCCAAACAACTTGGTATCAAAGCCGTAAGATGTTTCGGCAGGTCCAGCAGGTCAGATAGCGGTTTACCCAAATCTGTGGATATATTTTGAAAAAAATTATACCACGACGAAGGAGACAAATTACCGAGATGAGTCCATTGAGTGCTGTGCCCGCTCGGAAAGACGTGCAGAATCAACTTAGTGATGCAACTAGTAAAATAATATGGTGAACAGTGCTATTGGCATTTACTGTTGCTTGGTCCTTTTCAAGTAAGTAAGCCACTATTCACGCATTAGTAGCTTCCAAGATTACCCCTCCTTCTAGAAAGAAGAATGTATTTAATCTGATTTATTCAGATTTTAGTGACCATGACAATGTCATATGGTGGAAAAATCGATATTTGACTGATATTTATCGATGACCATTCTAGGAAGACCTCCCCGGTAGATGACATTGAAAGTCCTTCTATAACTGGTTGGATAGACAGACAGGCCAAAAAACTAAAACGTGGTATCAGGGACAGGATACATGGTTGGGGAGAATACACTGGGCCATTTGATGCTTTCTGCAAAGAGCATGGACCATTCGACACTCAAAACGACACCTCCCAAGACGCCGCAGACCTGAACAGTTCCGGCTGAGAGGATGAACCCAGAAACTTGATGGCAGAGAGTCAGATGTCTACCTCACATGTCAAAAGTTGTCTAAAAAGATTTTGGGGTGAAGCGTTACTCACGCAGTTCGCCGTTCACTCTGTTTCCTCTACAGTTAGATACTCCCAGAGAAGAGTCATGGTGTTAGGAAAGGATGTTCCTATTGGTCATTTGCGAGTGTTTGGTTTACAAAGCCTCTTGTACATATCTCGCAAGGTCATTGAACGGTCTAAGCTTGATGTCCAGACTAGACATGTGTATTATTGGCTATGGCCAAGACCAATGTGGCTATTAGGTTTTATTGACCCAATCCAGAAGACCGATTATAAGAAATCGTGATGCTGTATTTATTAAAGATCACGGACCTATGAAGATATTGAAGCAGCTAGTGCAATATGATTGATGAGGGACTCACAGACATTACAGAGGAATCGCTCCAAGTAGAACGCAGACATAATGGAGATGAAGAAAATGTCTTTCCATAAGAACAAGTGCCAGAGTTAGAAAAATCCATTGAACGTGTCCTAATCAGAATGAACCAGTTGATGAAGCATTATGCATGTTCCATGTTCAACCAGGGCACGCCGGGCAAGGTTCTCACACGAATTTTTATGGACGGAATGTCTCACTAGAGTCCTTATGCCAACAAACCATCCTCACTAGAATATCCGAGTTCAATGCAGACTGTACTGCCCATCTGAGTGAGAACGGGGGCGAGAAACCTGAAGAGCTTTGGAAGAAGCTTATTGGGAAAATGAACACAAGAGCAACTGGATTTGAAGCCATCACAAGACTGCAAATGAAGTTCCTTTGCGAGGAGGGATGAAATCATCTGGAGTTGGTGAAGTTGCCTAAAAGGCAGATACAAGCTTTGAAGAACAAGTAGGTTTCAAAGCATCCCAATCAGGAAATGAACACCCAGCTGCCCAACCACGATTCAAAGCTAGACTGAGTTTGTGTGAAAGGATTCAATCAAAGGAAAAGGGTATTTGATTTTTACTCTTATTCACCAGGTGTGAAAATATGACATCCATTCGAAACAGTGCTCGGAATGGTCGCTAGTTTTGAACTGGAAATCGAGCAAATGGATGGAAAGACACCTTCCTACCATGAGATTGTGGAAGAAGAAATAATTACATTGGATTGCCAGCAGTGATTTCGTTGGAATGAAACAAGAGGATTTGTGTTTGCAAAACGTGAGGAAAGCTTTACGACTTGAAGCAGGGGACACTGAGACAAGTGGTTACAAGGGAAGTTTTTGAGTTCTGTTATGGAGGAGAAGGCTACAGAAAGACTACTCAGATCACTTATGTTTCTATGACATGAAATTCCTCTGAATGTATGCTACATTGTTTTTGGACTCTATGTGGCTTGGATATTCGGTGATTGTTTGCGTCCCAGAATTAATATCTAAAGAAACAACTAAAGTAAGTCTTTTTCGCTATGAAAGACCTCGGGTACCAACAAAGTAGTTCTTTGGCATGAAGATTACAAGGAATAAGAGCCAAGAAATTATGGTTGCTGACAGGAGAGTTACATTGGAAAGTACTTCAAAGGTTTTAAAATTGGAAAAATGGCTTAAAGCGCGTTAGTTGTCCTCTTTTAATTACTAATCACTAAATATGATTGTTCTCAACATGCCTTCTACGGATGGAAAGAAAAGGAGAAGAAATGGAAAAGATTCCATATGCTTCCAGCGAAGTTGAAAGCTTTGATGAATCCATGGTTGGTACACGGCCAGATATTGCCTTCACTCCCCAGTTGGACGTAGTGAGTCGGTTTCTTTCAAATCCTGGAAGGAATCATTGGCTATAGTAGTGAAATGGATTTTCACATATCCAATACATTTGCAGGGGGAGCTCGTTGTCATGACATTTGCAGGGGGAGCTGTGTCATGGCAGTCAAGATTACAGAAGTGTGTTGCTCTATCAACAACTGAGGCAAAAGGAGAAGTTCGAGCTATGTGTCAAAGCGGCAGTAATGGAGAGTCCTACCATGTCATCGGGAGGGGGAGAATTGTTGTGGGTCCCTCCGACATGTGGGACCCACACACCTTTTGAAAAAGAAAAAAAAACAAGGAAAACATGTTCCTTGAAGAAAGAAAGAAAAAAAAAAAGAAAAGAAAAAGGAAAATCAACAATTACAAGCAATTGTTGACAAAATGGAGAACCGTGAATGAGTTATACATGACTCATTCAGTAACCTCTCCTATAAATAGAGGTAGCGAAGCTTCAAGCAAAGCACACAACAGAAGAAGAAGAAAAAAAAATGTAGAGAGAGTCATCTAGTTTTAGGAAGAGTTTCCTAAAACTAGGGAAAGGAAAAATAGTGAGAAAATTATTATGGGGTATTTTTGGGAAACACTTTGATTGCCACTATTTTTGTATTACTCTCTTTGTGTACCTAATATTTTTTTAATAGTGGAAGAATTATTCGGTTTGTCCGTGGACGTAGCCCTAAAACATTGAGGTGAACCACGTAAATTTATGTGGTCCTATGTTGAGGGTGAACCACGTAAATTTATGTGTGTCCTATTTTTATTTTTCCGTTGCGTTAATTTTCTCTTAATTGATTGAAAGGGCCAAACAAGTGATATCAGAGTTAGACAAGTGGTACCTGAGGCCCAACAAGTGGTATCAGAGCTGATGCCCAGCAACCGGTATCAAGCTGATGCCAACAATATGGATTCAAATAAGCATTTTAAATTAAAAAATATATAAGCTGGCCTGAAAATATTATTAAGCATTGGTAAAAAAAAAAAAATTATGTGAATAATTTTGTTTAAAAACAATAAATAAGAAATTAGACGAATCATTAAAAATTTAAACGTATAACAAATTTAAATAGTTACATTTAAAATTGTAATACTATTCTACTAATAATATATTAATTTTCGCGCAGTATGTATTCATCTTCTCTTGATTCTTCTTTTCAATTGTTTATATTTATTTTCATGATAATTCATTAATTGAACATAATTTATATTATAAAATTATTTTAAACAAAATAAGCATCAATTTTGTCAGCTAAATTTGAACCTTTTTGTCCAAAATCCAACCTTTTTATTTATCTGAAGCAAAATTTCCACTAAAAAATTATATAAAAAAATTAAAATTTTTAATAAATTGTAATCACCTCCAAGTTCAAACAGCAAATCAAGGCCTATTCCATTAGAAGAAAAGAAAACTGCCCTTTAACCGTAATATTACACTGCTTTGCTTGTACTTGGGCCTAGGAAAGACCCAAGCCCAAACAAAAGGTGAAAATAGAAAGGCCCAATTATTTTACAAGTCCAGTCCGCCAACGGGTGATGACGTGGCAACTTCCTTTGGGATCAGTAAACAAGCGGTGATTTTACCTTTGCCCTCAAGAATCGGCTCTGAAGCCCCATGCTTGCCAGAACAACCCAAAAACCCCTAAACCCCCTTCCTTTCACTCTGACGTTCAAGACTCCGTAGCGTTTTCTTGTTTCTGTCCGATTTAAAAAACTAACTTAACTCACTGAGTCAGAACTGAATTGAATTAGAATCGGAGAGATGCAGGACGGAGAGTCAGGACCTCTGAAGAGAGAGCTATACGCGGTGCTGCAAGTGTCGCCAGAGGCCACCGATGAAGAAATCAGAAAGGCTTATCGCCACTGGGCTCAAGTGTACCACCCTGACAAATACCAAGACCAACATGTGGGTGCATATATATTACTATACATCAATTGGATTCAACTTATTAATTGCAGTGCTTAGTAATCTCTCGTCTGTACCATAGGTTGTTTGTATTGCGTTGAGCAGCTTTTTTTTTTTTTTTTTTTTTTTTTTGTTTGTTTTTTGTGCTTTTGGAGCTGGTAAAATTTGGACATTGCAAATTAAGTAAGCTTTTTTTTTTTTTTTTTTGGTTTGTTTTTTTGTCTTTGGAGCTGTAAATTTGGACATTGCAATTAAGTAATAGAATTTATATGCCTTAAGTTTATTTTTGACATGTTTCTAACCTCAGAGATTAGGATATTTGTTTGCTTATCTTTTGTTTTTGGGTGTTTGTATTCAGATGAAGGAAATAGCTACTCAGAACTTTCAAAGAATATGTGAAGCTTATGAAATATTATCAGACGAGAATAAAAGGGTAATTTATGACATATATGGAATGGAAGGATTAACTTCTGGTTTGGAACTTGGCCCAAAGCTGAACAAACCAGAAGAATTAAAGGAAGAACTTGAAAGGTTAAAACGGATGAAAGAACAAGAAAAGATGGCGGCCCATTTCCGACCATCTGGTACGGTATTGGCCAACTTATCTTTACCACAGTTTCTGGATGGTGACGGCATAATGAGAGGGTATAACACCCTAATTCTTTCCTTTTTAAGTTTAAACTTTATTTGTTGAGAATTTCTGAATGATTGCTGAATTGTTGATGATAACCTTTTGTAATTTACCGAATGGTTTCAACATGGGAATGGAACCGTTTATGAGCTTGCATAAAAAAAAAAGAGTATCTCTTTCTTAGAAACGCTTCAAAGTTTGTACACAGTGAATGCAGGTGGTGTTTTTGCTTGAAACTGTTTCATTTTATTCTAGTATTATTATACCTTTGCATTTTATGTTAATTGTTTGTATAATCTATATTGGTTAAGAAAAAGTATACAACCTCCCATTATTTTTGTCCTCAATTTCCCAAAAATTTTTATGGCATCACTATCTGCCATTCTTTTCAAGAAGCTTATCTTTTGATTTTTTTTTTCTATTTCAGAATGGCTATGTCTAGTGAAGTCCATTCGCAATTATCAAAACGTAATATTATTGCTATTGGTGGGAATTTGGAAGTTCAGGAAAATGCTGGTGGTGCATCTGCTAGTGCTGTGCTTGTACATCAGCTTTCTTCAGCTTCATCCATAGAATTTATGGCCGCAGCTGGTCTACGAGCACTTATTGGAGTACAAACTACACGGTACTAGGGTATTTGATATCCCAAGTCCATATACCTATCTTGCACATGTATTATTACTCTAGTCATTTATTCTCTCTTTTACAGTCAACTGTCTTTACACTCAACAGCAACAATCGCCATTGCAAAGTCTTTGAGAGATGGTTCAATAAATCTTTCCAATACGTGGACCCGACAACTCTCTGAAACAACAAATGGAAATGTATGCTGCTTTTTTAATTTAAGTGGGTTTATTTTATGCCTCCTTTTTTATATTTGATGAAGAAAATGGCTTACTTGATCCCAAACTAGTGCAATTAATTCTATCTATTATGGAGTGTCACATTTATCATTGAACATATTACTGAATCATTTCTGGAGGAATGTTCTGCAAAACTCAAAGCTGTCTAATAAGCATTTGACATGAACCTTTTTGTAGGCTTGAATGGTATAAAAATGCTTTGCTTCACTTTTCTGCAACATCTAACATCTTTCAATTATTGTTTGTCCACCGCCTGCTGTTTCCCAGATACAGCTTCTTTTAGGTCCAGAATCTTCTATAGTGGTTGGATTGCGAAAGAAGGATAGAAAGATGACTGCTGCTGGACAGTTGAAGGTGCATATTATTTTTTCTATTTCGGCTAGCAAGAAACTTAATCCTAAAGATGCCTCTTGACTGTTAGGAAAAATTAAGGAAAGAAGATAAAATACAATCTGCATTGCTCCAAACAAACCATTGTGTTGCCTAAAAGTTTTGAAATTTTATCTTGTATGCATTAATTGGTTTTTTTCTAGGTAAGTGTTTTTCCTTTTTATATTTAATAGATGCTAAATCCATAATTTTTTTTTCTGTATTTTGAGTATATCTTCTGGTTGCTGGCTACATGAAACAATATTAGCAGTATCTAAGCTCCTCCCTAACTTGGTGTAATCCATAATCAGTTGATTGGCTTTTTTTTTATCATTGTTAAATGTGTGCTATTGTTCTTTTTATTCAAAATTGGTATTTTCAAATATTTCATGTTTGCTGATTTTTAGAAGCTTTGTTCTAGAAATCCTCATCGTGGCTAGTTTCCTTCTCTTTATCCTCCTGTTCATAAATGTTTAATTACCACAGATTGGTACAAGTTCTTTTGAAGCATCAGCTCATTATACTCATCGCTTTTCTTCAAAGTCTCATGGTCGTATTGCCGGCAGACTTGGGAGGTATATGCCAAAGACTTATATGGATAATAATTCTATGGTGCAAACTAATATATCTCGCGTACTATCTTAGTCAAAATTATTAGTTTTCGATGTTCTCATTTGTTTCGGCCTGTCAATATATCGCTACACATTGTGTCTTTGATGATCTATATTATGAATTGAATATGAATCTTTAAAATGTTATACTCAATACTTTGTCCTGTAAAGTTACTTGGATGAATAAATAGTAAGTTGATCATGCTTGTTGAGCAACAACACACAGCATGAAATGGAAAGGAGAATTTTATATCTTGTTCATCAGCCATTGAGTATTTATTTAACTTGGGAAACTGAGAGATACTTTGTTCGCAGCAATTGGTTGCAACTTGTTATAAATTATTCTCCATATATATCTGATTTTGCAATGATTTTATGAGAAATACTTTAGGTAGAATTTCCTCACTTTTTAAAATGGATGATCTTGTGGACATTAGTAAGTCAAAACATTTAAATTCAGATAGTTGTTAGCAATATATATGGTGCTTGGAATCAGGTTATAAGAATTGTTAAAACTTCACTTGGTGATGTGAAGCAAATAGCTATTGTCAATAACCAAAAGAAGTTTGGAAGGCACAGTGGCTAGCCAATTTTCTCATGAAATATACTTAAGGAAATCATAGAGAAAGTTGATTCATGTATTTAGATATCTGCTTTATGTTTCAGCTGATCAAGAAAGCCAGAGTTTTTGTAATTTTAGATATTGTTGTTGCAGTACTGCTATGGAGATTGAAGTTGGCGGTGGAAGAAAAATATCTGAATTTAGCACCGTTAGAATGCTGTATACAATAGGAATTCAGGTATCAAAAACAAAGACTTGCAATTAGATATCATGCATTAATTGTATTTTGATACTCTGGTTATCTGTCACGGGACAGGTGATTTTTATTGCTTCCTCGTGGGCTTCTGCTTTTCTTGCCTTTACAGAAGGGTCTCTAAGTACTATGTAGTATGGGTAGAGGGTATTACTTCACGGATCATTTGGATCATTGGGTTGCTTAGTTTAGGAGGAAACCTAATCTTCAATGTTGTGATCTCTGTTCTTCTTTTTTATAACATTCCTTCCCTTATCAAAGAAGGGGAAAAACGAAAGAAGCTAGTATCTTTAGAATTTTGATTCTTAAGAAAACCAGGTTCAACCATTGAAATAGTTTGAACATATAAACTATTGTCCAGGACTATATGTGCCTGGCTTTGACTAGCTGTGGGTTATCATTTCTTTATAAATGTTTCTTATATTCTATTTGAGAGAAGTTTAAATATATACCCAAGGGCATCTGCTAAAGGATATTTATTATTTTTTTATTTTTATTTTGAGGATACTATTGGATAGTTATGGAAATTATATATACCCTCTTACTAAAGGCATTGTAATAGCATAACTTGATAGAATCATTTTCACCAAAGAGATCAGAGGCAACTATTGGCAAAATAACATAAGTTTAAGAAGTTTAATAGCATGTCAATTGAAGAAAATCAATTTCTTGAAAATATAGGAGCTTCCAAAGTAAATATATATAGTGCTAAAAATTGATAGATGTTATTCCGGGATGAAATTTTGCCATTCCAGTTTCTTCAGAAACTAACGCACTGTGCCACATATATGCCAAGTGCTTTAGCCCTTATAGAGAAGAAGCGGAAAAAAAAAGTTCCATTGCATCTGTAAAGGTGCTAAACTAGTCCTTTCTTTCTAGAATTTTGTCTAGCATGCCAGCAAATGAACCACCAGGTTCGGCATAATCCAAGAGAAGGCAAAAACATACTGAATTTTAGTTTGTTGATTTGTTTTCCAGGTTTTTACCATTTTTCTTTATAAGTGAAATTCTTATACTTATTTTTGGCAGGGCATCTTTTGGAAATTTGAATTGCATCGTGGTGGACAAAAGTTGATTATTCCTGTGAGCATATCTTATTCCTTCATTTGCTTCAACTTGGCATGTGATGTTTGCTTGACGTTTTTATCTAAGGGTGATGGCTGTGTGCTTGTTCTGTGGTAGGAATTCTTGCTTCGTAGAAGTTTTATACCTTGAATGTTTTTTTTTTTTTCTAAATAATATTGAATACGCAAATGCAACAGAAACCATGAGATGGAAATTTAAGAAGTAACGTAGGTTGATTATTTCAATCGGATGGATGGTTCTGCTCATTCCTGGAGTGGAAGGCTTCACAAAGTAACCAAAGTTTAAAAAAATTTTACAGCCAGCAATATGGTTGATTAGTGGAACGTGGCCATAGGTTCACAATTAAAGCAATCGTTGATTTTGACAATTCTTGATAGCTCAACATCTGTGGTAGTACTTTTGAGTTAAATGGCTTTTCTCCAATGTGATGGAGAGCTTGAAGAAATAAATACAAAGGTTTACTGTATTTGGTGTGTGTTTCAGAACTTAGGTAAAATTTTGGTCGTGGTTCATGGAATAGATATGTGTACGCATGCATGTACATATATTCTAATCCACATAGCCATTTGAAGTGATGAGGATTTACTGAAGTGTTTTTTCTCTCTTATTTCTTTGCTCTGCTGTTCTTCACAAGATCATAAATTTTGTATGCTTAATAGTTTTGACAAAGGAATCTGAATTTAAGTAGTCTCACATGATGGAATTTGGCATATAACTATTTGTTTTTGAGTTACATATACACACAATTGCTTTTTTTTTTTTTTTTTTTTTTTTTTTTTGTTTTTGAGTTACATATACACACAATTTCTTTTTTTGTTTTTTTTTTTTTTTTTTTTTTTTTTTTTTTTTTTTGGATCTTGATGGATTGTTATTTATACAGGTGTTGCTTTCTGAACATTTGAATCTGGCTTTTGCAACTGGAGCATTTCTATTTCCTACATCACTCTACTTTTTCCTAAAGGTTATTACTGCACTCTTAACACTCACTTGTATGCTAGACAACTCAGTAACCTGATTATTATTTAACTTCAATCCCATTTCAAATACGCTGGAGGTGTGAAACATGTAACTGAAACTGATGCGCTCATTCTCTTTGTATTCTCCTTGCATAAAAATCCTATCCAAGTTGGTGTATTATCGGTTGAGCCCTGGGTCCCTCTTTTTCTTTCTTTCTTTCTTTCCAGTTCATCAAGATGTCTATTAGAATTTGTGTTATACAACAGGTTACTCCTCCCTATCCCATAAATCCTTGCACCCTTCATTCAGTTCGAGATTTAAATCTAGGATTACCAAGTCAAAATTCCAATTTTTTTAAACCATTAGATTGACGCCAAGGAGAAAATGCTGGTTATTTTGAGCCTTAAAGTGATGTAGCTCAAATTCATTCTCCTTTCTTAAACACTTGCTTGGTATAACATCAATTCTTCGTTCCTGTCTTCTATGATGAGCTATGGCTTGTAGAAAAATTAAATACTTGCAGCAGTGGGAAAATATCATTTTTATGCATTTGGATTGTACCTTTTCACATTTGAACAAAATTTTGTATCACCAGAAAATGAGATGAGTAGAAGTCATGTTTGGATAGCTAAGTTTTTTGTTCATCACGTCCAGCTATCTTTGTCAATTTACTGTTTCATTCAGCATAACTTTTCCATATTGGCAATTATTGCCTTTTGGGTCTCATTGTAATGGGAGTCATGTTTATGAAACCATCAATGACTTCTGCTTCAGCTAATCTCTAGGAGTTATTGGTCATCATATGACAAACAAGCCAAACGCAGAATTTGGAAAATGCTGGTTAAAAAGTCCTTCAGTTGTTTTACCGTAGGAATTTTGTCTGCATAATCATTAATTTTATGCCGTTTGTATGCCTACAGAAATACATTATCAAACCATATTACCTTAAAAGGGAGAAGCAGAAGGCTTTAGAGAATAAAGAGAAAACTTCTGCCCAGGTATTGATTATCTGACCCAATGAAGTTTTAATTTATGCTTGCTTTGTTGTGAGACATGCTTTTCATGCAGAAAACTTGAATAAACATCCAGATTCAGCTACTTACTGTTAGTTTCTTTCTTTTATGAAACACTTTTTTAGCACCCACGCGTGTTGAGAAAATTTCTTGGTCTAGTCTTGCACATGAAAGCATGTTATTTGGACCAATGCTTGAAGCAGAATTTCATAAGAAGACGTTCTTCCAAATTGATTTGGTCTAAAATAGTTTGGACAGTTTTGAGAATGTTCTAATTCTGCATGTTAAACTTTTAATGCTGTTGGGAAGTTATCAGATACAAATTGGATATCAATTGAATTAGGAATAATTACTTTGTTCAAAAGAGAGGACAGAGAAAAAATGAAATTACTTATTATCTCATCACCTAGTTTTACTTCCTGTCATTTTTCTCTCCTTTTTTTTTTTTTTTTTTTTTTTTTTTTTTTTTCAGTTGTCTAATGCAATGTTAACTTTGGGGCTTTACCTTAATAATTTGCTTTTTTCACTTTGCTTTCTCCGTTCTTGTGAAAATCATATCTGAATCCTTTTCTAGGTTCAAGAGGCAAGGGCAGCAGCAGAAAAAGCCCAGCAATTGTTACAACATGTGGCCAATAGAAAAAGAAATAGGCAAGTAGAAACAAATGGACTGGTTATTACGAGAGCATTGTATGGAAGTTGCAGAGCTTTGAAGAAAGGAGAAGAACAAAGAGCAGTGGACGACAAATTAGCTTCAGAAGTCATCGATGTTACAGTGCCTTTAAATTTCCTGGTTAATGATTCTGGACAATTGAAGGTATGCTTCGTTCTTTTAACAAATGGCACAGTCAATGCCATAAGAATTATTGCAAACCTCATCTTTGCATATGGGCATTTTTTTTTTTGACTGTTATTTATATATTATGTTTCTTTTATCTTTTTGGCCAACTTAAATCCCAATTTCCTTTTCACTGCACATTCAATTTTGCACATTTCTATAGATTCCATGAAAATAGACATTTATTCAAGCTTTGGTTTTTGTCACGGTGGTGCAGCTTCACGAGGGTGTAAAGAAGTCGGGCATTATGGGCTTCTGTGATCCTTGTCCTGGAGAACCTAAGCAGTTACACGTGGAGTACACTTGTGGTGGCCAAATATTTGAGGTACTCTATATTGACCCTTTTTCTTTTTGCGCTTGTTTTAAAACCTCCGTAATGAATGTTTCGGTTCTTACCGGCCGATTTGAAACAGGTCACAGTAGATGATTATGCAGAGCTGTCAATACCGCAAGAGGCCCATAGACTCTGATTTTCACCAAGTTAATTATTGCTTTAATTAAGACAAAAGGTTGTCTCTTGCAATTTTGGCGTGCCTTTTGAGGTAACTGCAACAATAGATGATTACCTTTTTTTGTTCCATTGTACATGTATATTATCTCGATTGAAATTACTTGTCCAACTAGGGCATCACTTAACATTATTTTTTCCAGTGCAACCTTATTAATAAATTTTGCCATCATTTTCTTGTTTTAGAGTTTATGGCAATCTTATTTTTCTTCTTGCTGGTTTACTTTCAATTTTTAATTTCTTTGGTCTTGGAATGGTGCACAAAGTGGATCTTCCAGCATCGTTTGGCTTTTGGATTTGGTTCATTAACTAGCTTACGAGGAATCAAACTAAAATATGAATTATAGTAACACCTCCATCATCTTCAGCCATTTATTCCGAAGATTAAAATATTTTGTTTCAAGCCAAATTCCGTATGCTAGATGTAGTTTGCGGGATCCACGAAAATGATAAAAACGAGTAATTCAGTTTGTTGAGAAACTAAAGGATTGCTTCATTTTCATCTACCTATAAGAAATAATTAAAAGAAAGAGGAAGCCTGCTGCAAAACATTCTATGGATTGGACACCAAATTATTTGTGTTAAGAGTAAAAAAAGAAGAAAAAAAGTCCCAGCAGTAAAATCCACCCCCCCACACCCCCCCCACAAGAAAAATCCACCCCCCCCCACACCCCCCCCACTAAGAAAAAACCCCCCCCACAAGAAAAAAAAAAAAAAACTTCTGATACAGTAAACTGGTCGATTTCCAAGTCTAAAAGCAACGATGTCACCGAAAAGGAGGTGTAAACTTAATACCAATGTGGAAGATGGCTTTGTGATTCCGTTCCACCTTTACTACAAAATCTAAACTAATGTAACAACGCCTATGTGAAAGCATTCATGGTGAGTTCACCACTTATGGGATCAAAAGATGCTTCGATTACTGTAGAAGAACAACGTTCACCCGCTGCAGTTGATCCACAGGTAGTGACTGCCACTGGCTGTGCCAGAAGTTTCACTCCTTGCTTGTAGAATCTTTGATCTGAGCATGATAAGGAAAAATATGGGCAACAAATTTCTCATAGTATCTATCCAAATGAGCAAGAACAACACTGAAAAACATAAAACATGCATATTTGTCATACCTGGCCCACCAGATAACACCACAGAATTCTTTGCATCCATTACCCAATCAATCCATAGCACAAATCCATGGCAAATCCCAGGCTCTGTAAATTCAACCTACAAGAACAATCTCTTAAAAGTATCATAGATTTTATCCAGGATAAATGTCACAGAAAATATAGGATTTAAGCTCAATACCTGGACTTTTCCATAACATGGACTTATTAGTTTTGAGAATTCAAACTCCATGATTGTAATTCTCTGACTGAGTTCCTAGAAATTCCAATATAGTTGTGTCAATAACTGATCTGTAGAATACCATCTTCTTATAAGCAACAAATATACCTATTCTAATTACCTTAATCTCCCCACATTGCCAGATGAAAAAAGGCAGAAGTGGACTGTCATATGGAGAAGGTAATTCACCGCATGCCCCTAAAGTGGTATTTACAACAGAATGATCAAATCCCTCAATATTCCTTAAGCAGCAGCGACTATTCCATAGATCCTGTAAGATTTTAAATACGACTCCAACTGCTAGTCAAATGCACTGTGTAACTAATAAAAAAGCAATTTTTTCCCTTACCGGCTGAGACATTGCACAAGCCTTCAGTATTCCTTTACAAGGCATTATTAAAACATCATCACAGAGGACAGCGTCCAGCATAGTCCGTTGCTTCCTAAGATCCAATGAAAAACATATAAAAATTCTTAGACCTAATGAACAATATGTGTTGGTAGTATATCATGTATCTATATTACTATGAGATGCTGGAATGAGTACATACCAAAATCTCAGGTTCTGCCATGGAAGCATTCCATCATTTCCATAATAGTATGGTTCTCCAATCAATAAATCAATCTGCACACATAATGGATGATGTAACATTGTTGGTCAAATCCAGATTGATGTAATATATTTTGGCAGAGGTATTCACCATAAGTTTTCAGGACTACAAGAATAAGGAGTGCGCCTTCCACTTGGAGGTATAAGTTAAAGAGTACACTTCAGTTGCAGCAGGGGATTTGTAGAAAGAGGGAAAGCTACATCCACTGGGTAGTTCATGCAAGAATAAAATAGAATAAAAATGTTCGCATTTTGTCACTTAACTTCTCCCTTCACCAGAAAGTGGGAGATAGTGATGTGGATTAAATCACAGGAACAGTGTACAACAGAACATCCACAATTACAGACTTTTAAAATGCTAAAACAAAAGCTAACTGAAGTGAACCAAAAATCTAACTTACCTTCTTCTCATTAGTATCATGCAGAGTCAAGTGTTTCTTATTGTGGAAAACTTTTACATGATCTGGGGCAAGACCATTTGCATCAGCCACTGTTTGCAAATATTGGGCACCCCTCTCCCGCAACCCAGGAAATAATGATATCAAATTTGCAGTTCTTGAAAGACGTGCAACAGCAAGTGTTAAAAACAGACTATCATCTGCAACGACACATAGTGGTTGAACTCTTGCCTGCAGCTGCAATGTGCAACCTGTGTTTTTTTAAAAAAAGGTACAAGATACAGAAAATTGAAACCATGCACAGAGAGGGAGAGAGGGATCTTACAGCACTTCTTAGAGCTGTTAACATGGAAGACCTCCATTTATTGTCTCCATAGGTTCCAATTCTTTCAGGAGGTAGCACAAGTTGAAAATCCCCAGCAAAAAAATTATACTGCCTCATCTCAGTATCTTGGGTTGGAATGTCATATGAGAAACCAATATCAGTATGAATTGCACGCCATAGAAGGTGGTCACCCTTGTCAACATTTATACCTTTCCCTGGAAGGAACCACACACACTGTTTCCAATGGTCATGCCAATGACCAGTACCTAGCTAAGCATTACAACTTCATTAGTAGCAAAACAATGAAACCAAGAGTTCAGTAGTGGAACTCAAGTACTAAACAAAATGGGCTTCCATTTAGTTCAAAGTACATCAAGTCCATGGAAATACTTTGGTACAGATATAAGATTGATATCTATAAACCAAAAAAGGGGGAAATGGCTTAGAGATTCAAGTTCTAAGGCAGCTACATGGTTTCTCCATCATGTCCTAACAAGATACAAAACTGAACAACAATGCTTACTAAGTTCAGCACCTGTCATGTTCATTAAAATCTAAAATTATGAGGTGGAGATAGGGATGAAAATTCTCAAGGGCCTATCTATAACAAGGATCAGTAGCATAAAATCACTTGTCACAAAAAATTTGCTGTACGGCTTACTCTTAATAAAAATTGAAATTCCCTACACAAAAAAATGCCACAAGATTACAAAATTGATTATTGAGAACATAAAAATGCATTACTAGTAATTCATTCCCAATTCCTACTGTATTTCCATGGACATAAAACGAAAAGTTTCAAAAATAGAATATGTCAGTTATTAAAATCCTTTATTTGCACTGACACAAGTTAATACATGATTATAGCACAAAAAAAAGTCTTGAGAACTAAATGGAAAATTTTACTCACTTATTTTTGTTGGCAAGCCTATCCATTTTGGGGAAGTGGAATAAAAGATTGTCCCTTCATAGTCAAGCTGCAGCTTCCACCTGAACATGCATAAATAACATGTGTTACTGGCTTACAGCCATCCCTAGAAAGGAATAATGTCATATAAAATATTTCGAATAAAATTACCATGATAATATAGCATGAACTCTGCCATTATCAGTGGTCTTGATGTGCAGCTCAGCTTCCCCATGGCTGTCTGGCCGTTTCCAGAAGTCAAATTCAAAAACTTTGAAGGGTTCTGACAGCTGGATGAATCATAAATTGAGTGCACAGTATGCTCCAAGAAGTCTGTAGAAAAGTGATTATCGTCATTACCAGTTTTATTTCTTTTGCGATTGCATCACAATGCATGGGATGTTGCTGCAATTTGACACTTAAAATAGTATCCAAGCCAGTTGGAACAAGACGAATATCATCTGATGCTTTTGCTTCATTATTATATAAATCATGCAGCTTCCACAGGAACGTACTCTCAACCAGCTAAAAGAGGAAAAGGAGAAATTTGCAAAATAAAAATAATGCAACAAGGTGAGCTTCTTCGGTGATTAGAAAACTGTCTTTCAATCAAAAGTGAAGCCAATTGAATTGTAGTGTCAATATTTAATAAAAGAACAGCCAAGAAAACGAATAGCTACTCCAATGCATTCAAGGAAAACGACTATAAGTAACCAACATAGAAGAATAATAAAAAACACCAAGCTAGTAGTATCTATTATTTGGAAGTTGGTTGACTTGTCTAAGCCTATTCAAGGGTAAACCAAAAATAAAAAAATTTCAGGTGTTTGAAGGAAGGCAGACAGGTTCAGTGTCGCCTTGATTTATACCTCTTTATTGATCACTAATTTTATCATTTTCTTCTTCTTCTTCTTCTTCTTTTTTTTTTTTTTTTTTTTTTTTTTTTTTTTTTTTTTTTTTTTCTTCTTCTTCTTCTTTCTTCTTTTTTTTTTTTTTTTTTTTTTTTTTTTTTGTGTGGAGTAAAGTACCAATTTACTTCAGTTGTTAAGATCCAAGTTCCAGAAAAGCTTTTTTACTTTTCCCTTTTTTTTTTTTTTTTTTTTTTTTTTTTTTTTTTTTTTTTGTGTGGAGTAAGTACCAATTACTTCAGTTGGTAAGATCCAAGTTTCCAGAAAAGCTTTTACTTTTCCATATATTCAATTCAAACTAACAAATGTCAATTCAATAAGGTAATACATAATCACAGATCATAATTCTCTGTCACATAAGAATTATGGTTGAGACTTCAATTGTGTCACATATATACTAATGATAGATTAGTGCCAAATACTCAAAAGAAAAGAGGGGAAAAAAACAAACACACACGTGCAACAAAAAAAAATATAAGATGGTTTTGCAGCATATCACCTGGCCATAAATTGTGGCTCGATATGGTACACTTAGTGAATTTTCCACAAGCAGCATTTCATGTGCATGTTGTAGAGTTGGTATTAAACCTTCACCTAACAGCTCTGAGTCTAGTATCTCGCTAACCTGCAAGAATTCTTAAGAAATAAATAAACAGAAGAAGAGGCTTGAACTGGCAACACCTTATGGAATCTCGGATAGTACAATCTACAACGCTAAATTTGGCACTCTCAGTTTCATTAATGCCCTCTTAAAAGAATTCATTTGTATCTTGTATGCATAAAAAATTTCAGCAATCATAGATAACAAAAACGGATGTTTTCTACAGACAGACGTATTTGTTACAGAGAGAAATAATCACAAAAAAGTGCATAGAGTAAGAATAAAATAAAACAACTCACTAAAACATCGGCACGCGCAGGAATATCCATGCCGACTTTGAGCTCGTCAGAGCGTTTATTGATGATGTTTATATTCCTTCCCATACCATTAATATGCAAAACTTTTCGCATCAATTTTACCATTGGAAGGTATGACTCACAAGCTGTCACCACTCCCTTGGTATCAGTAGATTTTTGCTCACCAGAAGCCATTGCCCTTGCAGCCATCATTGACAGCAACCCAGTTCCAGCACTGCATCATAATTTCATTTTGGTTTAGTAAAACAAATGAAGAATTTAAATTATCAAGCGACCACTTACGCCATTCTCAATGCAACAAGCTTTACGTATATATAATAAAAAAGCTTAAAACTTTGCATGATATAGTGAAAAGGTACCCAATGTCCAGCACATGGCAAGGTTTTGTTATAGTTTTGTCGATGGCTTCACGGTATGCTCTGTTCCTTGGGGAGTCATTGAGCATGTCCAAATACGATGTCGTGGCTAAGAGATTCTTATGGGAATTTCCGAAGGCTTCTTCTTGTTCTTCTTCGTCTTTTCTGATGACCACCCACTCAGAGTCACCAGTGAGCGGGTCGTGCTTGAGCTGGAAGACACACTGAGTTGACTCGGAGCTCATGAGTAGGGCTGGGGTGACAATGAAGCTAGTGCATGGCAAGTGACGAGGCAGAATTGAATAAACTATGCGTAGTAGAGAGGGAGAAGGTTTTGTTAGGGTTTTGGAGACTAGAGAAAGCATGGAAGATTGAATTTCATCTGCGGTTCATCTGCCCAATTTAATTTTCGTTTTGAAAAACTGACATGTCGTTCTGTAGAGTGAATAATTCCATTCTCCCTTTGCAAAGGATTAGACACTGTCTTTGAAGGACACGTCGTTGAAGTTTCGCTTTCGATGGTTCTTGGTCAAAAGCCTAAAATGACGTCGTTTGCTAGAAGGTGAATGCCTAATACTTCGTAAACGGGTATACCTTTTCAGTGGACGGAGCTCTGGATGTGCCGTTTGTCGCAACAAATACTTTGCCTGAAACGACATTGTTTGCCACTATCAAAGGAATTGAAGTCGTTACTTTAAATATTTTTATTTAAAAAATAAAAAAAAGTCATAATTTGTCCAATTTTGGCTTGAGATCTTCCAATTAGGGCAGATGGCGGGAGCGACTTCGTCTTGTATCTTCTGTCAAATTGCCCATAATTCCACTTCGACCACTCTCCTTCACTCTGTCAGTCTCGCTCCCTTTCTTTCCTTCTATCATATTTCTTTCCAGTTTGTTAAGCTCAGCTGATTCTATGCTTTCCTTATACCAAACGGATCATGTAATACATTGGCTACCTAATCGAGTTATTTTGGATCTCACAGGATGACAGAGTGGTCGCATTTCAAGATATCAGACCTGCCGCTTTCAGGTTTTTTTAATTGCTTCTTCTATCTGTATGTTTTTTTTTTTTTTTCGATTTATTTTATTTCAGATATGATGTTATGGCCATTAAATGTTACAATACATCTTCTGGTACTTTTTTTGCTTTTATTTCCCCCAAGATTTCCGTTGTTTATTATTTTCTCTTTGCGTAGTTGTGTCTAAATTTTCGTGAGCTATCATGTTTGTATAATTTTTGGGATGCTAATTTGCTTTGCTGGGCGAAAGGGAGTGTTTAGTGTTATCTGGAACACTTGAGAGAGAGATACTCATTTTATGGTCTGTCATATTTCCATCGATGCTATTCAAACAACAGCTATGTTGATCTAGTGAGTTCTTTACTATGACCCGCAATACCAGCATTGGACAACTAAAATAGACTCAGATCAGACACTTGGCTATGATACTCCAATGAAGGGAAAGATTGCAACAAAAACTGATATACACATGTCAAACATGGATATGTAACTATAGGCTAATGTACTTTTAATGAAGTAAAAAAAAGGGTTCTGCATTGCCTAATTTATCTTTCCATCTATTATATTTTATAATCTTTTACCTGAAACTGTATTTTATATTATCAATGACGTGGAAGGCATTACTTGGTGATTCCTGTGGAGCACATTTCAACTGTCAAGGATCTTCAGAGGAGAGAAGAAGATTATGCATTGGGTAAAGAAATCTTAAACACATGGTCTTATGTGTTTTGACTTTTTTAACTAGTGTGAGGATTATTCTGTTGATCTTCCCTTTTTGTAATGGATAATGTCTCGCCCTGCTATTTTATACAGTAAATCACATGTTAATTGTGGGGAAAATGCTATTAAACCGAGACGCTCCTCAATCTAAACAGTACAGGTATTGCTTCTCATTGGTAAAAGCATGTTACTTTCACATTTTAGGAGTGCTATGGAGGGGCTGATGTGCATAGTTAGAGTGCTGTAATTGCTTGCTTCAACTAACTTTTAAAGCATCCAATCTTCAAAGTCATTGAATCAATATTCCAGCAATAATGTATTGTCTATTGTCTCCATCGCCTTCAATTTGAATTGACATAAAACTAGTTTATGAGTTTGTGCATAAACAGAGTATGTGCAAAAGAACTTAAAGTAGAAACAGCAAAGAACTTGCACATGCACATTCTCAAAGTTGAGAATATTTTTATGTGTGTTGCATGGTTTCATGTATGAGAGATCTTTTTAAAAATACTCAGGTCTAAGATGGCAGATCATTGTTACTTTCTAATGATCCCACATTGTATCATTGATTCTTCTATCTCTTTGATGTTTTTCTCAACCAAGTCCACTGTTGATTGCAAGTTTGCAACCAAGCAGGGATAGTTTAAATGCAGAATTTGTTGGTGGAGTTGGTGTTTTCTACATACACATACACTTGTAATTTGTTCTGCATCCAGAGTTGTATTTTATTATCTAAGGCAATGTATAGATGCTTTTCTGATTTACTTGTGCACCTCCTTGTATAGTCGTATTTAATTATCAAGAATCATATCACTTACATTTCAGACACAAACTGGCCAGGTGTATCCTGAGCTGCAATTTTTTAATGATTTCTTCAGTTCTTTTTGCATATAAATTTGATTCTAAGACCAAGTTTAATTGGAAATTCTTCTCCTGCCCATATGTCAGGTTTGGTTTTCATCAGCCTCCATTGAACAGTGTAAACCATCTGCACCTCCATTGTTTGGCATTACCCTTCATACCCAAGTAAGTCATGTGGTTTTTTGGAAACTACTGTGCTCAGATAATTATTCTGATTTTCATACATAAAAAATGTCCATTAAAATTGAGAAGATTTTTAATTCATAAAGAGTTTCAACAGATGGAAACATGTAAAATACATGTCTTTAGGACCGATTGGGTTTATTGAAGCTGAGAAGTTGCTGCAGAAGATAAAGCCCGCATAACTCATACTGCATAGGTGTGATTGTGTCCTATTCCCTTTGTTTTATTCAATTTGACTGTAATTGACATTGTTGTTTCATACTGTGGATTGTGATGAAAAGTTAACCTCATCGCTTTTCCAAACAAATTTGAACACATTATTTAACGTGCACATCTTTATGCAATTCTTTGACCTTCTGCCCCTACTGGTAAATGATTTTTCTGCTACACATGAATGACAAATGCAGGTTTTTCCATTGACCGATATCGTCCATCATTTAATATATACTAATCTGCAATCATCATTGGTTCTCCTGCTTCAGGTAACAATACTTGATGCTATTATATATTACATATGTTCTACCTGATGAATGTTAAGATCATTTCTAATGAAGGAAGTACTAGTTTCAAATACTAAAAATGTTGATATTTCACTGAGCTTTTTGAAAAACTTGAATTTCTTCATTTTAGATTGGTCTATTCACAATTATAGCATGATCCCCAAAATTTCCCATGCTTACCTTGTTGTTCATGTTCGGTCAGCGGTCCTTGTTTCCAAGCATTGATGGTAGCTGGGCATAGCACTTCCCATTCATGCTCTTGAATTTCAGGGAAAAAAAAAGTGTCATTTACTTCTCCCTTATTGACTTGAACCTCCAGTTTTCCTAACAGCTCCTTGCATTGGTTTTGGAATTATGGTATTTCTAAACATAACTGTATGATGAATAAAAGGACTTCAATCTGGTTTGCAATGCTTGGGTTTTCCCATTATTCTTTTCTTTTTACTACTGTGCTGAAGATATCTGTTCTCTCTCAACAAAATTAGATTGATAAGGAAATGGCCTTATAATTTGGCAAATGAAATTACCTGCTGTTACACACTTACAATTATGTTATGGTGTTGCGTATGCATCAATATGTAAAATTCATTTAGGTGCATCTTAGGTTTGTAATTTTATAACGCTAGGTATGTGTTAGAATTAGATGTCATTAGAGTCATCATATAACGGTGACATTAGCTGTTTGTTGATTGAATCAGTTGCAGTATCATTTCATTTTATACAAGGATTCTCCAGTTTGAAGTTTAGTGGATGGTGTTGCCCACTACAAAAGTTGAAGTGATGGTGTATCAGTATCCCAGCTTTTTAATATAAAATTGACTTGGTCAGTTCTAGTTTTTATTTTGTGAACCATTTGCATCCATCAAATGGTTGGAATTTAGTTTTTGACTGATACCAAAGTTCAAGTCAACTCCATCCTATTCATATTTTGTTGTTGGGCATATTTAGGCCTAGGTGCTATTTAGTCCACCATTCTATCACCAAGTGAACCAAATACACAAGGTATAGACTTAATCATTTTTTGGATAACTTCTATCTCCAAAACCTTGTGCGTACCATATTTATCTACTACTAACTTTTTTTCCTTAGATGTTTTTGTATCACATTTGAATATTTTCCTGCTTTAGGTTAGGTATTTAGATTGACTCATATAACATAACTTTAATTCCAAAAGTATTTGCAAAGAAGCAAACTCAGATGAAGTTAACATGAACTTTTGCTCACCCGCTGATTCTTCAACATCAGTCGGTTCGGACCTCCACTTAGTTTCACCCAAGCTTCATCCTGGTCATGGACCTTGGGGATGCCAAAAAAATTGCAAGTTTCTTTTTTTTTTTTTTTTTGACATCAGTCGGTTCGGACCTCCACTTAGTTTCACCCAAGCTTCTTCCTGTCATAGGACCTTTGGGGATGCCAAAAAAATTGCCAAGTTTCTTTTTTTTTTTTTTTTTGGATTAAAAAAAAAACAAACCAAAAAAACCATTTTTTTTTTTTTTTTTTTTTGGATAAAAAAAAAACAAACCAAAAAAACCAACAGCAAATAAAAACTTCCCAAAATCTAAATTCCCGGTTTCATCATTGGCCTGTATGATGAGCCTTCAGGACCTACATGGCATAACTAGCTCACAATATCTTGTGCAATGAAATCAAGACAGCTTGCAAACCCTTCAAGATTTTCCTGCTGATATTTTGATATTTTTACGTTATCATCTCTAGATCTAGGATGGAAAATTTTTTAGCAAAAGCAGAGTGGTCCACTGTTAGGTTGTGTGATACTCTATCTAGAACAGAGTGGCTAACAAAAAGGAAAGGGAGACTTGAATGCTTACACGTGCACAACACATTGATGACTTATTAATTGTAGTTTACTGGCTCCCTCTTTCTTTTTCTTTAGACTGTTTCAAGACCTTTGTTGATAGATCAGAATCTCTTCTGAACTGGAAGTTCTGTATATTGTTAGAATTCAAAAGACCATTAACCTGGTTTCAAATTTTAGGCTTGATAGAGGGAAATAGCAGTGAGCATAGGAAATTCACTTTTTTAGAAGGAAATGACAAAGATTGTGTAGAGGAAAATTGAGTTTGTGTAAGAATGCTTTTAAATTATTGCTAATGGATAGCAATGATGACTTAGACAACTTTCAAACTATTTAGTAGATTTGACTTCAGAAATTTGGTCCACATAATTATTGGCTCAGTTAGGTGTTGAACCAATAACCCTGTTTTTAATCCCTAAATCCTGGCCATTAAGTTGAGGAATCAATTTAATAAGGACCATTTTTGGCTTGAAAAACTTTATCCCATTCTATCAAGCAGAATGTGACAAAACCTGGTATTTTAAGATAGGTGTCCCATAAATTAGGTGAAGCACTCCATAGACAACTATGCATAACAAATCCCCAATAAATTGTGTTAAAGCTATGTTTATCATACTTTTGACTAGCCAAAAAACTAGTATTTAGAAATAATTGTACACACAAATGATGAGCATAGACATCATTAAATAAAGCTAATATGCAAACAATCGGACAATTATTTGTGGAGGAAATTAGATTATATATTTGCATATATTTTAGTGGCAATTTTTGTTTGGTGAGTATGCATAGCTGGCTCTCAATGGACATTGCTTTTCTTCCTTAAAGTATGGCAGCCATGAATTGCTAGAAATTCTGAAGCATGGTCAATGTGTAAGTAGTCTCTTTCAAGAATGCTTTTTTATATACGGTTGTGGCTTCTCAAGTACAGCTGTATAATGTGTTTTTAAGAGAATTATAATGACTGCTCGTGGAATAGAATAAAAAAAAAAAAAAAAAAAAAAAAAAAAAAAAAAAAAAAAAAAAAAAAAAAAGACGTATTTGTTTGATATTGTTTTGTTTTGTTGTCATTAATGTTTTATAGACATTTAGTTAAATTTTTATAATCATAAAGAAGAATTTTCCAATCTTTTGTCTACGTATTAGAAGAGGAGAATTCAAATATTTGATGAACAAGAAATTAACCAACGGTATCTCTAGCTGTACTCTGTTACTTGCTTCGTTTATGTGAATTTTGATAGTTTTAAGGCAAGATGACGCGGCAGTCAGATACGGCGAGTGCGGTGTTAATTGTGGTAATGAGTTGGGCAATAGGTTGGGTTGTGGTGGGCAGTTCTGGGCCCTCGTTTCCATAGGTGGTGAAGGTGGGCTCTCGAGAATCTTAACTCGAATCAAAAATTTAATTCATGGGAATTTGGAAGACTCTATAAGACCTAATCCTTGGGGCCCGGCTTCTTAATTGGGTCCACATAGAACTGCCACTTTGGCATTTAGTACGGGTCTTTTCCAGTTCATCCTTCCACGTCTCTCGTCTCACTATCTGTGCTGTGCTAAAATTTGAAGTAACTTTGTTTCTTCCTAACATAAACTTTTAAGAGAACTTGCAAGTATGCTAGTATATGTAACTTGCTCATTTTCTAAGTGTTTTCTTAATAAAGCTAGTTTGTTTACGAAGTATGAAAAAGCAAAATTGAATAAGACAAACCATATTGAAAAAACCCTCCTATAACTTTGTTTTTCTGCAAGCATTCATTTCAAACATAAAAATTTAACCTTACTCGTATTTTAAGCTAGAAATCTAACTATCAACATATAGAATCCAATTGAATTTGAATCAATTAGGTTTATTTAAGGTATATGTCCATAATAATCTCTTTACCCAAAAGAAGTGTTACATGATCATGTGAATTGTGCTAACTTGCACACGCAATTCCATCCTAATTGTATTGAAGATTGACATGTGAAGAATTAAGAACTAAACTCTCATTTGCCTTTTAAGTTCCTAAATATACATATCCAAATATCTTTGGATATGCTCTATTTTATATATACACATTTGGTGGGTGAATTCAATGAATCATTCTAGTGGAACAATGTCCATGTACTAATGGTTGCATAGGTTTTTGGACAATAATTCTTGAGATTTATCTTTTGGGACCCATTTTAGTGTTTGAAGAGGTGCAAACAAAAATTAAATGCTCGTTCTGGTCCCTATAATACCAAAAGAACTGGTTTCTTCTTACTAGGATCAATTGCAATTCTTTTGCCATCAATTAATTTTTGGTCCCGAATACACATGAAAATGATAAGTTAAAAAAAGTTCAACTTAAGGTTTACACAGACAATAACTTAATACGTATTTAAATAATTTTTCAATATAAAAATGTCATCACTTCAAATTTTTTGACATTAAATTTTTTGTTTTTCGTTTTTTCCTTAAAAAATAAATAAAATTTATTTGTTTAAATTTGTTTTTTTTTTTTTTACTTTTTAGAAAATTATTTTTTAAAATAAAAAATAAATTTTATGAAACTAAAAATAATGGTTTCTGAAATTCTGCTTTCTGTTTTTATTCTACATTCCTCCTTTTCTTTTTCCATTTTTTATAAGACTTGTCCTCATAAAGTTGTATTATTATTATTTTCTCTATCTATATATAAATCTGATGTCATTTATTTATCCAAAATATATAGGCATTAGTTTTATTATCTTTATTAAAATTCTGTGCTTTTTTTCATCTCTTCTCTATTTAGTATTATTTTTATATTTATTATTATTCACCATGTTTGTAGCCTAATGGTTGCCTCAGAGTGTGTGTTATGAGAGGAACCACAAATAAATATACTCTAATGTAATGATTTTATCTTTTGGACCCCCAGTCATTTAGTAAGTTTCTGTAAAGATGATGTTTGCATACAAAATATAATAAATTGAGAAGAATGATCTTCGTTTTTTCTTTGAGATCTTTAAACAAATTGAAAACCAGATAAATATAAAACTGTGGTTTACTTCAATTTTAATAAATCTTATTTGAATCAAATATATACTCGCAAAATTTTATATTGCCACAACTATTAAATATAATTTTTTTTGAAGGTCCTTCCGAATTAAAACTAATGAAAATGATAAGTTTAAAAAATTTCAACCTTAATATGGGTATTATACACAGTAAATTCACATTTAAACATTAACACTAAACTAGTTATAATATAATTTAAAAATAATAGTGGTTCAAAAAAAGTAAGAAATAACATAGATTCAATCTGCACTTGTCAATCACTCCTTATTTATTGAATCAAATTATAATTATTTTTTGTTTTTCGTTCAATTTTTTTTTTTCCATAAAAGCATATACAACATTAAATTAATAAAAATTTATTTGTTTACAAATGTTTTAGATTATTTATTCTCTTAAAATTATTTATTGTTTGTATCAACATCCCACTTTTTAGAAAACTTATTTCTCATCTAGAGAATTAGATGAGAAGAAAAGTCACATAAATTAGGAAGATTGAATATTGAAAGACTTTATAAAATAATGTGTTTTGGTCATGAAAATTCACTGCATTTCGTGTGGTTAATATACTAATTTGAAATCCCCATATCCCCTCCCCTTTCTCCTTATTTTCCCACTTTTTACTATATTAATTGTATAGACTATGAGTTCCTCAAATAAAATCGCTTAGTATTTTAAATATATTATTTTTTCTCTATTACCATACTATATATAATCGCTGCAATGCCATTTATATATTTTTATTACACCAATATTATAATATTAAGGGCAATTAGTTTATTGATCATAATATAAATCTTTAAGTTAAAAATTACATCGAGTGCTTTTTTCTGTCATTTCTCAGTGCTCATTCTCATATTTATAAATCTTATATAATTAGTAATTATCTTTAATTAATTATTTCTCAATCTACTCATCATTATATCTAAATGATCGACTTAGAATCAAAAAATATTATATTAAATTGGTTATATCAATATCTTAGATTAGTGTGGAGAAATTCTTGTACATCAAATTGAGACTTGTACTTATCAAAGAGTAAGTTAAATTTAGTTGATGCAACATTTAACTCATTGAAATTATTCAAACAATACAAACTATCAAGTGTGATAATATTCTAATTGAAATTTCATTACCATTGAACCTTCTGACGAGACAATTGTTATATTATATTTCTGTGCTTAATACGTAGTGGAGTGCAGAAATTTTGATAGAAATTGATATGGAACGATAATATCATTTTTTTGTATGGGTGTCACGCTATTCCAATGAAAAAGGCCAAAAATATAAAATTTTAGTGAAAAACATTAATCAAGATTGAAGTTGGAGCGCATAACACAATTAAGGTCTATAGAATACATGATAATGTATTATCTAAATAAAATAAAAAATTAAAAACAAATAACTATTCAATAAAAAGATGACCTTTTTTTAAATTTTATTTTAACACTTATAATAGCTACAAAAATTTATTTTAAAATCTAAATATTTGTACAATTTAAATTGTTTGTTATATATAATTTATCGTTTATTCAACGCCTCAACCATAAAAAATTAAATTAAATTTAAAAGAAAAGTAAATTGTAAGAAAAATAGATCATAGGAGAAAATTATTCCAAACATACACAGAAATTTTTTAGAGAGATAGACCAACATATTTTTAATATAGTAATAAATAATAAAATAATACACTCAGACTTATTGACCCAATTATATCATCAAATTTTTCGTCTGCTAATACCAATGACACCCTTGCACAATTTAACTAAATGTTTGATAAATGATAAAATAGACGGGTGGTATATAACCCACAACCACCACCACACAGCTACACATATTAGCCTATAACGGGATTATAGAATTACACCATGCCTTTCCAACGCCTCCATCCATGCACAAACAAACGAATCCCCAAAAAGACTAAAGATATAAATTAAGTTTACTTAAAATGGTAGACTACTCACAGCTAGTGGGGAGTCTCGGTAAGGCAGCCAACACAGCCATATTAGGACCCTCGCCAGTAGCCAGTCAACCCTCGAGAAAGTTAGAAGTTTCGGCAGAGCGCCCCTCACTCTCACCCACACACCAAATAGAAAGTATCCAATAGTAAAGACCCTTAGTACACCCAACCCACTTAAGTTGTTCCCCTCTAATATCTATTGACCCCTTTTTTCTAATTTCGTTACTAAATTTTCAAAAGAGTGTAATAGTTCCACCTTCACGAGCGCCTAGTCCCGATTTCTCGTCTCTTTACCCAATCTAAACTCCAAATTCATTATTTTAATTCGCATTTCTCAATACGTTTACCTTCTTTTTTTTTGAAAATAGACATTTATGATTAGAGTGACTTTATATCGCCCTAAAATACTGATGTCAATGAATTGATGTCTCAGTTCATTATAATCGATTATATGCCCCTGTCTGAGATTCCTCCTGTCCACACGTGAGATAGAGCAATTCCGCTTCCCTGCATCGTTCCAGCCTGCCCAAATAGACTATCATTTCTTCTTAATAACAGATAAAGACTTATTTGATTTAGCGGTCATTAGTAAGCAACTAAAATTGCAACAAATCACATCTTTTCAAACCTCTACTATTGCGAGTAAAATTGAAAAAAATTCAGTTGACTGAACAAGTACAATCTTCCTCGACTAATTGAATACAGTTTTTTCAACCAATATAGTATGACGAGACTAACACCAGAAGGCCAAAAGAAGCACCACTTACTCTTACCTGCCTCACAAAAAATATAAGGAATTGCCCTCTGAATTTTGTAGTATTATATTTGCTCTTCTAACCCCTAAGGATTGAAGCAACTACCCTCTTCCTACGCTTTTTTACCATATTTTGTTTTCTCCACCAAAAAATTATATTTGGATATCCAAAATATTATATTATCTGAGATTGAATAACTCCCACTATAATATTTTGATGTTAGCTATTTAGAAACTATAAAATTAAATTAATATAATGAACAGATATAAATTGTACTCTTCGCCACCTTGATTATATGAAAATTAATTATAATAAAGAATAAGAGAACCGAACTAATAAAAAATTTTATAAATTATTTTGTATTAAAAAAAGAATAAAACCCAAATATTATTCACTTAAACCTTCGCAATTATAACCCTGAGGATGAAGAAAAATATGTACTATCATTCCCTATCCATAGAAAATTTATGTTCCACACTAAAAATTTATGTATTATTATTATGAATAGATAAAGAGCAAGAAACAAATATCCTATTACAATTAAGACACAATTTATATAGTACCCTCTTGAGTATTTAGTTAATTTAAAAATAAAAATTATAATAAATTAAATAATTTTATTGAGTACATAATTTTAAACCAAGTCTTTTCCAATATTTTTTTAGTTACAATTTAATAAGTTTATTAAATAATCCCGAAGAAAATAATTTACGATTAAAATTTAAACAATCATCTAAAGTTCTTAATTTAATTTATATTTCAGGAGGAATTCCTATGAATATATCACCTTATTTTATTTGATAAAGAATAATAGATTTCTCAATCACCCAACTTCAAAAAAATATATATAAGTAACCAAAATCCTTTCTTAATTTTTAATGCGTACTATCCTCGCCTTAAACTAATGTATGTTGAAATGAATTTTCCTCACAAACATTTTATTGGCAAATTATTAAACACAACATTTTTATTTTATATATTTTATTTTCATAAATCTTTATATTTTTTTAATCTATTACAAATGGAATCAATCCTCTCTATCTATATAAATCTAATGTCATTTAATATTATTTATTTATTATAATACTTAGATATTATATTTTTATCAATTGATTGTATACAAAATAATTAATAGTTAATTTAACTTTGAATTTAAAAATTAAAGTGTGAAATATTTTTAATTATTTTGTCTTAGATTTTATATTTATGGCTTAATAAGGGAGAGATTTGATAATTGGAAGAATTTTTCGCACCATGAAAAAGGAAAAAATAATTTTAGGAAAAAAACAGTTTTGAGAAAATAAGTAACATGTTACTAATAAATAAAAAATTAAAAACAAATGACTATAATAAAAGAGACCTTAATTTTTACCTCTCAATTTTTAAATTTATATTTTACAATTTAATTTTTAATTTTATCAACGCCACCAAAATTTAATAAAAAGAAAATGAAGAAAAAGATAGGGATAAAAAAGATTTTATGGATACCACAAGTATTTATTCTCCCAAATTAGAATAATTGTTGTACACTAAATTATAATTTAATAATAAATATATATACAACCCGACAATAACAATAGATTCGGGTTGAATTCCCTCCTTCCAACGCTCAAACAAAAACTTAGAAAAATTGTTACTAATTGCTACTGGAAGTCTGTAAGGCAACCAATTAGACTAGTCAACCAAAGTTAAAGTTGGGGACCCCAAAATAGAAAAGTATCAATTAGTAGACTTAGTACAACACTTAATGTTGTTCCAATTTTGACCTCACTTTTTCAAGTTTGTCCTTGCCCATGGTCTCTTTCAATAACCATTATCTTAATGCACCAACGACCTCTTTTGTAATAGACATTAATTAATTATATCCTAAAAAACATTAATGAATTATGTCATCATAATAGCCCCCTAATTCTTGTCAAGAAGGAATGCTCGTCTTCACTCAAAATACTTTCTCTTAAAAAATTATTGATTTACTAAAAAAATAAATTGAAAATCAATCTTTTCACTTATGCGAGAAATTGAAAATCTTGAGTTGAAGTCATTCTGACTATAATCGTTTTCACCAATTTGACGAGTAAAGGAAAAGACTATCTCTACCATACAATTTGTAGTATTATTTCACCCTATTGAACCTCTTAAGCTCCATTTGTTTTTCAAAAATATTTGGTTAAAAATTATTTTTATGAGTTTCTAATATTTGGAGCATTTAGAAAAATTAATTAATGAAAATTATTTGACTGACGAACAAAAAATTAAATTATTTTAAAGAAAAACAATTATTCTTTTTAACAGAAAAAAATATTTTATAAATATTAATAAATTTATTATAATAAAAGAAAAACTCAAACACATTTATTAGTACTGATGTTTAATTATCATAAAATTTTAAAAAATAATTATTTTACAATTCAAATATTTTTATTAATTTAAAGTTTAATTTTTTCAAATAAAATTTTTAATTACAATCAACAAAATTAATTATTTTTAGGATCTTGAGAAACACCTTTTTGAAAGTAAGTTCTCTCACCCAACTTCAAAAATATTTACTCTTACTATTTGCCACCTTAACATATTTGAATATTTCCACATTTGCAATTTCCTTTTTTTTTTTTTAAATTTTTTTTCACATATAGTGATTCTCTCTACTTCTTGTCACTGGTATCACAGTACCACCCTCCTCAAATAAGCCTTCTCTTCTCCCCTGCCACCAAGTCACCAACTTCAAGCAACCAAACCTCTACGAGAGACTTCTTCTCCTATATTCCTTTAATCCTTATAAGCTCCCTTTAACCCCTTCTTCTCTTTATTCTCTTTTGTACAACAAATACTTCATGGCCACATCTTTTCATTTCTTGCTCTGTTTTATGCTCTGTTTTCTAAACATCTCTGTTTCAATATCAGAGACTTTGTTTCTTCCTTTAACCAACTCTCTCTCCACTACCCAGTTCACTTCCACCCATCACTTTCTTAAATCCACCTCTACTCGCTCAGCTGCTCGCTTCCGCCACCACCACCACCGCTTTCGCCGTCTCCAAAACAACCAGCATCGCCAAGTCTCTCTTCCTCTATCTCCAGGTAGTGATTACACTCTGTCTTTCACTCTCAACTCTTATCCACCCCAACACGTCTCGCTTTATCTCGACACAGGCAGTGACCTTGTCTGGTTTCCTTGCCAGCCATTTGAATGTATTTTGTGCGAAGACAAAGTAGAAAACACCACCGCTTCATCTTCGCTGCCAAAAATTTCCTCCACCACAAAAACTGTCCACTGTAAATCTTCTGCATGCTCTGCTGCCCACTCTAATCTCCCTACCTCCAACCTCTGCGCTATTGCCAACTGTCCATTAGAGTCCATAGAAACTTCAGATTGCCGATCATTTTCTTGCCCGCAGTTTTATTACGCTTATGGTGACGGCAGCCTTATTGCTCGCCTTTACCGCGACTCTATTACATTACCATTAGCAACTCCCTCTTTAAAACTCCATAATTTTACCTTCGGTTGCGCCCACAGCGCCCTCGCCGAGCCAGTTGGAGTTGCTGGTTTTGGCCGTGGAGTGCTCTCTTTGCCAGCCCAGCTCGCTTCCTATTCTCCTCAACTGGGGAATCAATTCTCTTACTGTTTGGTGTCTCACTCGTTTGACTCGGATCGAGTCCGCCGTCCGAGTCCACTCATTCTTGGCCGTTCTGATGAAAAGGAGAAACGGGTGAATAACGATGATCATCCACTTTTTGTTTACACTTCTATGCTTGATAACCCAAAACACCCTTATTTTTACTCTGTCGGGCTGGACGGAATTTCTATAGGTAAAAAGAGAATTCCGGCGCCGGCTTATTTAAAAAGAATCGACAGAGAAGGAGGCGGTGGATTGGTAGTGGATTCAGGAACTACTTTTACAATGTTACCGGCGAGTTTGTATAACTCGGTGGTGACTGAGTTCGATAAGAAAGTTGGGCGAATTTATGAGCGAGCCAATGACGTTGAAGACAAGACAGGACTCGGTCCGTGCTACCATTATAACATTGTAGTAAATATTCCTAGTTTAGTCTTACATTTCATAGGGAATGAATCCAGTGTAGCGCTGCCTAGGAAAAACTATTTTTATGAATTTTTAGACGGTAGAGGTGGAGAGAGCAGGAAGAGGAAGGTCGGATGTTTGATGCTAATGAACGGCGGAGATGAGGAAGAGCTCAGCGGTGGGCCAGGGGCGACCTTGGGAAACTATCAACAACAGGGGTTTGAGGTGGTTTACGATTTGGAGAGAGGAAGGGTTGGGTTTGCAAGGAGAAAATGCGCATCTTTGTGGGAAAGCTTGAACCAAGGCTAACATGCGCTGGCGTTGACTTAGCTGTTTGAAAGTTGAAATTTGGTGGGTTTGACCGCACGTGAGTGCGATGTAAGTAAAGTAAGTAGAGTATAAGTGGATTTTGCGGTAATAAGGTGGGTTTGGATAAGGTTATAATTAAAATACTCGCACTTCATTTTTTTGCTTGACTTTTGACTAATGATGTATATATGGAAATGTTTATTTTTTTCTGCACATATGTCGGCAAATGTGAGATGGCAAAAAATGAAGTACAAGTAGAGCTATAAAAGCATGTGTAAAATTTTTTATTATTTTAAATATAAATGTCAATTTTTTTTTGTTTCCAAATTAGTTCTTGTGATTGTATAATTCAAATAATACATAAGACTATTTCGTCGATGGGTGGAATGGGGTTATCAGAATCTTTTTTTTCTAGTACTAGAAGTTTCAGTTCTGAATATAAAATTATGTTAAATATTCAACGGATAGCGTTTTGTTTCTCTTGGTGAGTCTGTTGGCTCGAATCTGAATTAGTTAAGTATGTAAATTTAGATACTGAATATTTTAAATACCAATTAAAATAGCAAAATGCTTATATGGATGGAATTTCGAAAATTTTTTATTTCTGATTAGAGTAAATTATGAACAATATATTACCTTTGGGGAGTTCTTTAGTTAATATCATTTTAATTCAGGTGTAGATTAGTTTCATTCATGTAAGCGGATGGAGGCTTTGCGCTGAGTTAATAAGTGTGGATGATAGTACGCAAAAAATTGAATGGTGATCGATCTATAGTCATTCTGAATCAATGGTACTATTGTCGCCCATTGATGAGATATTTTCTCTCGTTTGTTTTGGAATCAATGATATTTTCTCAGGTAAAAGCCTATTGAAACTGCCCAAGGCTTCCCCTGAACTTTTAGTTGAAGAACCGAAGCTGGGATTTTATGGCAATGTGGACCATCTTCTGCTCAAATTCTCATCTCAATGACTGTCCTTTTATTGAATTGTCCTTTGCTGTATAACTGTTGATTTTCCCTTCCTTTCTGGGACAATTTGCTTTATACTTTACATGCCATTTTATTTGTTTATGGTTTTCATAGATTGAAAATATTAAATTTAATAAGTTTCTACATTGCCAGGTAATAATTAAAATATATATAAATACTTACTTGTAATAGAATTAATAAAAATGAAAGATGGATCCTAATTATTAATTACAGCAGAAAATGAACTTTCGGTTTACCGATCGTCGAAAGGTAATGGCGTGCATCCTCAGCCAAGAAATGGATAAAGCGTATGCAAACTTAGCCAGCTGTCAGGTAGATCTGAAGCTTTTCATGAGAACAACACTGCTCTAAGTACAACTTTCACTGTATTTGGACTCCTGCTTGCTTTATATCTACGCTTGATCGACTTGTATTCAATGAGCTTCTATCATTTATTTTTTCCTTTTTCCCCCTTAAATGTTGGAAAAGGAAACCAATAAATAATTTAATATTAAAATTGAGTTGAATTTGGAAATTTATGTTTGACACTTCGAGTAACTAAATTTATTTATATCTTTAATTAAATAACGCGAAATAATATTAGCTTGTTCATAATGATTTAATTGTATTATATCAAATTATAGTATTATATTTAATTGTATGCACGTGTATATGAATTTATAATATTATGGTAGTAAATTATCTGTTTGTGTGCATGCATGTAGAAGTTGGGCTTTCACGTCCAACTAAGATGGCTCAACTACTAATCACCCACTCAAAATTTGGATATTTTTGTATAACATTAGTTTCTATCAAGCATTGGTAAATTTTTTTAAAATCAAATCCAGATATCGTTTAACACTTAAATTCTTCATTTTAGATTGCTGAATAATGTTTTTTTAATTAATGAAAACCATTTCTCATTGCAATGCTTGTTCAAAGTCATAACTAATATTCTAGTACGCGATTTTGGTTTATTTTTCGGAGATTTGAATTTTTCTTTTTTACTGCCAACTTTATACAGTTACTGTTTTACGGTGGAAGGCTCTCGGTTGCCGGAGTGACGAGTTTGGGAATATGTATTCTGCTTCCGAGACGGCGACACGGAACTGACTCCGAGCAGGCTTTGGGGTCAACTCAGAATTTGGAATGCAAACCAGCTGTCAAACAGTGTAAATATGAACGCGCCGATAAAAGAAGATTGGCTGCTTCTGCTGTCCCACCGACCAACTTCACTTTCCGCTCGTACGGTAACTCTAGGTAAGAGTTCTTTTATATTATATGGTGGGACCTCTACAGTAGGTGGTAATTGTAATTTGGGAATAAGTTATATAGAGTTGGTCCACAGTGTCACCCATGTATTAGATTAATGAAAAGTGTTTTTCTTTGAAAAAAATTGAAATTTTAATATTTTATTTTATATTTGAATTCACTATTGGCAATATAAAAAATTTTCTTTTTTTGAATATTTTTATAATAAAAATAACTCGAATTTAAGACATTTAATTCGTGCGGTTTTTAAAAAATGCAAAAAGACCAATTATGCTACTCATATAAAAGTTTTTTTTTAAATAAAGTTAATATTTCAAATAATAATTGTGCTTCAATATCTAATTGGACAATCTGGATGGATGATGACATCACCTCATATTGCAAGTTTAATATATTTTACAAAATAAGGTTCTCTTATTCTTTATTTATAATAATTTTCATAATCATGGAGAATTCTTTATTATTTTAGTAAATAAAAATGTGAGTTATTCTATTGGTAATTGGAATTTAAAAAAGTAGAGTTGCTGCCTAAAGAGCAAACAAGAATCCATTTGGCAGTAGAGATGGGTTCGGTTCGGTGGTTCTTTTTAAATCAATGAGTTGGGCTATTTTATTAAGTGAAATATGGTGGGACAAGCCCAGTCATCAAATAGCATGGCCCTGAAGTACACGTGGCAACAAAACGATAAACGCCGCCAACAAGTCCATTTTCAAAAAAAAAAAAGAAAAAGTAGATGATGACGTGAGAACGACTACTGTGTATTCTTTTTAAAACAATTAAAAAAATAAGGGGTGGGTGTGTGGGTGAGAGTGAGGGCCTGGACACAGCTGGCTGGCTGGCTGTCGCCATACGTGAGTTTCCAGATACTTCTCCACGTTTTTGCATGATGGCTTTCTTATTTTGACGTGTGGGCTCCACCCGTCTTCTTACACTTGTATGCATGTCATTGGGAAATGGACGTCCAATAATCTGAGTTTTTTTTTTTATTTTCTTAAAAATTTCTCTTAACATTTGGAGGAATTTGATATTCAATATTCTATATTTTTTATAAAAACGTATTAAACACATTATATATTTTCTATTTAATTAATAAAAAAAATGATTATACTTATATCATGACATGAGGCCTTCATTATAAGTTTATTAGGCAATAGTCACCATCAAAATGATTAGTATCCATCAATTTGAAACGACGAATAATCTTGTCGTCATTGGTGATTCTTGAGTGGATGGATGGTGCTCAAAACCAAGAAGTTCTGCAGTCACCAAACATATATTTTGTCGTCTTTAGTGTTGGACTATTTAGTATTTATGACCTAAACGACTGTTTCCTAATTATTGCAAATTTCATAAATTTAAATTATAAAGCGTTAAATTTAAGATACTTACAAAATGTGGTATTTCAAATATTTTTCCACTTTTTGCCAAAAAAACAAATCTCTTCCTATGGCTCCCAATTCCTGATGGGTGATGGTCCATATTTTGGATTTTACAATTTGTTTTATATGGTTGCTTTTTGAAAATTGATGAATATAATTAGACAGCATTTTGATTCTCTTTTCCCTTTAATTTTAATATGGTAAAATTAATATACAAATTATATTAAGTTCAATTAATTAGTAATTTTGTTAATTTAAAAATTATTTAAAAATTCTTTCAATTGTAATTAAAAAAATACCCATTTATTAAAATATAGATTTTGCATTAATTGTTTTTAGTTTACACGACAAAACATGCCAGTGGTGGATTTACAAGTACCCATAACTTTTATTTATACCAAATGCATTCTAAATATGAAATTATCACTTTTTTATGTGGAATGCTTCTTAATTCTTTATATGGGTATTGACTAATATCAAATTTTAATAGTTGATATTGGTTCTCGAACAGCTTAATTGCTTCTATTACACTTCCTTAAACCTATTTTATCTGTAAATTTGTATTTTAAATATATATTATAGCCATATTAGTTTATTTAGCACCATATTGAATCTTGATCATCTGAGTTTGGAAATTCAATTAATTTAATTATGACTCAAAATCCAATATTTTCTTGGAATTGCAGAATTGGAAAATCACTATTTCCCAATATTGTCTACAAAGATGTGAACAAAGAATGAGGCAACGACAACCAACAAAGAAGCGACCAACTTGCATCATGCAATCTTATTATCGTACAAGTAAAAAAGATTGTGTCACCTTTTATTACATGTAAAGATAGATCTACAATATGGTCCTAGGCTATTTCAATTATTCAATATGTTACAAGAGAGACACCAATTATATTAATTTTATAAGTTATACATTAAAATTTTCATGGTTTTGATAAAAATTATATCCCGTCCTAGCTTTATATTTTTATTCTATTTAAATAAATAAAAAAAGAAAATTTCAAAAAAGGTACCGATGTACTTTCATTAGAAAAAAAAGATAAAATAGTAATAGAAAATTTTTTTTTTTTAATGGCAATTAGTTATTAAGTTAGTGTATAACTATAAATAGATCTATACAGATAAAAAAAAATAGGTTATTTATTTTTACAGGTCGAAGAGTTGAATATTTTAAAAAAAAATTATAAGCCATTTCTCTGGGCCGTAATGTCAACATTTTCTAGCCCATTTGTGCTTGATGAAGATGGCCCATACGTAGTAATAAGAAATAGAGATTCAGACTACCTGAATATTAACTCGTGTTTGGCAAGTATTTTCCTAATTTATAAATGCACTTTGATTTCAACTTTACAGTATTCAATTCTAACAGTTTTTAACTGAAATATGGGATTTGGCGCCATATCTCAATCTCCTCCTTAAAACGGTTAAACTTAAACCTCTTCAACTGGTTTCGTGAAACACGCTTTTGCTTAGGAGTTTCCTTGGCGATCAATATATTCCAAAAGGAAAAAATTAATGGAACCTAATCCTAATTATGGATGCAAAGCATTACATTCGATGCTTCCTTTTTCTGTAACTTTTCATCATTATTCTTCCTAAATTTTCCTTTCCAAGGTTCCTTCACATTTCATTCTTTTCAGTTTCCAACAAAGTTTAATCCACACATGCAAATTCCAATTCAACCCAGATTGTCTCTATTTTTTCTTCTTCAAGAAATCTTACTTTTCTCATCATATGGGTTGCACTCAATTTTACTTTTAAGATACTAGAGAACTTCCTTATATTTGTTCATATCTATGCAGGTGATTTTCACTGAGCCAGAACTGATTTCTATGCTATCCATATGCAAGGGAACATTCCTGAAAGAGTGTTTTCTGAAGATATTGCTAAGATTACTACAGATGTTTAAATCAAAGGAGACTTTTAGGGACATAGTCATATCAAAAGGAAGTGATCAAGAGTCCTCAACTTCGAGAACTAAGTCAATCCATCCACCAATTGAATCCCATTGGCTTCTTCCATCTAAAGAACAAGACAAGCCTTCTTCATTATCTAATACAGGCATTAAGTCAATGTTAGCTGTTCCAAATAAGATTAGGGACTCATTAAAGAGACGTGGGAAGAGCCAAAGCTTGCAGATCGTCCTGGAAGGAGCTCATGAACCCAAAGATGAACAACTTGTTGAGTCTTTTCGTGAATTATTGTTTCTTGAAGGTCTTCTTTTAGGAAATAAGCACAATGATTATCACACTCTCTTAAGGTAAAGTAATTTGCTGATATATGGTAGTTTCATTAATTCCTATATTATGTTTTTTTTTTTTTTTTTTTCACCTCTCTTAAGGTAAAGTAATTTTTGCTGGATATATGGTAGTTTCAATTTAATCCTATATTTTTTTTTTTTTTTTTTTTTGGTTAAAAAATAAATGTCAGATTTCTTCGAATGAGGGATTTTGATCTTTCAAAAGCTAAAGACATGTACGCAAATTATCTTAAGTGGCGCGAGGACTATAGAGTTGATGCAATTCCGAAGGTGATGATTTCTCCATAAATTTTGTGTCGCATAATCAAATTGTTGAAGGAATTTAATTATTTATCTGGAACTGAATTGTTACTGTAGGAATTTAAGTTTGAGGAGCTTGCAGAGGTAAAGAGATGCTATCCTCATGGATATCATGGGGTTGATAGATCTGGGAGGCCTATATACATTGAAAGGATTGGGATGGTAGACCTTAATGCACTACTACAAGCAACCACCATTGAAAAATTTGTCAAGTATCATGTATCAGAACAAGAAAAGACATTGAATTTAAGGTTCCCTGCGTGTTCAGTTGCAGCAAGGAGCCACATTGCATCCACCACAAGTATTTTGGATGTGAAGGGAGTGGTAAGCATCATATCCTAACATTTACGGGGTCTATAGCATTTTTGTTTGAGCTGCGTCTGAGAAAAAGATTAACTGCGAACGTTAAACAAAACGTTCTTTGCAGGCCATTATAATTGGTTCATAATCAAATTATATCTGTAGAAGTTCGTAAACTGCTTGGGTTCCTATTGGGATTCAAAACTCAAATTATTTTACAATGATACAATTACTTGTTGCTAATCATATAGTAATTCTTAGCCTTTTTGTGGTAGGTCCTGAAATAGTTTGCATCTTGAATTTGCTTAGGGAATGTCCAATTTCTCAAAGCCTGCTAGGTGCATCTTTATGGAAATTCAAAAGATTGATAGCAACTACTATCCAGAGGTAATAGAATTTAGCATGTCATTTTACTCTCAAGTTTTAGATTTTTGTTTAATTGTCATGTAAATGATACTTGGCAATTGAAAATTTCAGACTCTAAATCAGCTCTTTATAGTTAATGCTGGATCTGGGTTCAGGATGCTGTGGAAAGCACTTAAGGCTTTTCTTGATGCTCGTACATTAGCGAAGATTCAAGTAATATATTTGTATATATATAACTTTAATTTCCGTCTCAAGAATGTGCATTACTTTGTATTTGTTCAAAAAAAAGTACTGAGTTTTCAATTTCAGGTTCTCGGATACAACTACCAAAGCAACCTGCTTGAAGCTATAGATGCAAGGTGGCATGTCGATCTTTTGCATATTTATATGCATAATTAAGTATATACATACTAACTATTCATGCTTTTAGTCCGATGATGAATGCCTTTCTAAAGCTTCATCTATATGTATATATATATATATATTAGTACCATTAAATTCTGCTATTCTATTTCTTTCAGCAATTTGCCTAGTTTTCTTGGAGGAAATTGTACTTGTGCTGATTATAGAGGTTGCCTATTTAGTGACAAAGGACCCTGGAATAATCCAGAAATCACAGAATTGCTTCAGGTTAATTAAATTCTCATCTGTCAAACACTTTGTTTGATTGATTTGAAATGACTATTAATATTTAGTTTCAAGTTTTCGGAGTTCTGGATTTAGATGGATATTTCATTTTATTTCTTACAGGCAGTTTCAGCAGTAGAAGAGGTTAACAATAATGGAGAAAACAGTAGCGTGACTGCAGACGAGACGCCGGTAAGCAATAGGATACTTGCAACCTCTACAAAAGAAGAAGTTTCAGAAAGTGAGGAAACCAAATTCCTTCAGGCTCAGAAAATCCGAGCTCTAGAAGAAGCACTTGTAAACACAAACTTTGTACAAGTAATGTTCATATCATTTGTTTCACAGAAAAGTTAAAAAATTTCTCTGCAAAATTCTGATTCTGAATGAATTTTGCGTTCCAGAAAATCAAAGCACTGGAAACAGCTCTTGAGGAAACCAAAATGGTGAGTTTTAAGAATATTTTTACTGTTAAGAGAATTAAATTCAAATCATTTTTGGTTAATTAGCCTACTTAAAATGTTTTTTCTCCTCTCACAGGCATTGAGAGAACTAGCAAAGCACATGGAGAATTTAAGAACTTAACCCCATCAGGCCATGCCTATCAATCAATTTAACCTCTAATCTTTCATTTCTTGATATAATTTCTAGCAATGCAAAGTGATGGGAAATGACTCACACGTGTCATTATTGTTTTGGTTAAATAAACTAATATTTAAGCATATTTAATAATTTTTAATTAATTTTATTTATGTTGATCATTTGTAAAGCATATTTAATAATTATGGATTAGAGTTTCTAGCTATAAGCATTGATGTTTAAGATGAAAATGATGAGTGAAAATATGATACTCCCCATCATTTGGGAGACAGTGCCTGTGCCTCCTCCCCCACTCTGGACACAAAATGGCTTTTAGCGAAGAGCAATTATATGATGCTAGTTTGGCAATGAACTGTATTTTCACAATCACCTTAAAAATAGATTGATAATTAAATATTTTTTCAAAATTTATAAATATAAATGAACGAAATCCTATTATTTATAATTAGATTTATTTCTTTATTAAAAAAAATTAGTTTTATTTCTTGACAGAGTGGCAAGATCATTAGCACAGAAGACAGGTGGTTAAAGTTTCATTACACTTGTATTGTCTTTGTGAGCTTTAATTCCTAGACAACTAGAAATTTGTAATTTTTGTTTTACTCTTTAATTAATTTTAGAGGTGGTTTTGAATTATTTTTATTTAATTATTTCCTTTTTCTGTTTATTTTTATTTGTTGCTTTTAATTTTACTGAGTATATAGTGTGTTAAGTTAAGATAAAAGATAAAATTAAAAAATAACTAATATTCATTAATTTTCTCCAAACAAGAAAACGCAGAAATAAGCGTCAATAAAAAACAATGCAAATCCCACCATAAATTTTCCAATTCCCAACCAAACCCTTCTCTCCCTCTCTCTCTCTCCCTCTCTCTCTCGATCTGTCCGCTTATGGTGATTTCATAAAACGAAAACTCTTTTGAAAAACAGATTCCACACACTGTCATATATTTTCGGATCGTCTTTTAATCTGCTTTCAAAAATACTTTTGTTTTTATTTTTTGAATTTCCAACAAAAACAAGAGGTAAAAAAAAAGAACAAAAAGCACAGATCCCATTTGTTTCGAGATGAGCACTGGAGAGATTCTCAGCATCGAACCTCTAGAGCTCAAATTTCCATGTAAGTTAATGGATCTATTTGGGTTTTTGGATTTTTGATTTGATTTATAACTGTTTTTTTGTTTTTTGTTTGATTGTTTTTCTGTTTCCTTGATTAGTTGAATTGAAGAAGCAGATCTCCTGTTCTCTTCAATTGTCGAATAAAACTGATAATTATGTCGCTTTCAAGGTATTTCTTTTTAGTTTCTCTCTCTCTCTCTCTCTCTTTTATTTTTATTTTCTTTCTGCGGATCAAAGGATTTTCTGCTCTGTTTGGTTGCTGGGAAAATTAGGGGATTAAGGATTCTGAATTATTTTCCCTGTCCAAATTTGGGGAATAGAGAAACTGGAATAAATATTCATGGCTAAATACAAATTAATAATGTAGATTCTGGTACTATTGAATTGGAAGCACCGATTTAGATTTTTCTTGAGAGCTTGGTTCATTTTAATATTGTATTAGTTGATGTTTAGGTCAAGACGACGAATCCAAAAAAGTATTGTGTTCGACCAAATGCTGGGATCGTGTCGCCTCGGTCCACTTGCGATGTTATAGGTGCCCATACAATGAATTTTGTGATTTTTGCCTTTTCGGTTATGATTTTATGATGTAATTGTTAGTTACGGATCCATAAGCTATGAACATTCATTCAGTTACAATGCAAGCGCAAAAGGAGGCTCCTCCTGACATGCAATGCAAGGACAAGTTTTTGCTTCAGAGTGTGAGGACAGTGGATGGTGCAACTGCAAAGGACATTAATGCAGAAATGGTAATTGCTATGACAACTTCATCCTAAATATGAATTTTTAAAGTGTGAAATTTGGAGGTTTTGTATAACGGTTTTTTGGTTGTGTAGTTCAATAAGGAGGCAGGACATGTGGTGGAAGAGTGCAAATTGAAAGTGCTTTATGTTTCTCCACCTCAACCCCCTTCTCCTGTTCCAGAAGGGTCTGAAGAAGGTTCTTCCCCGAGGGGTTCTGTGTCAGACAATGGGAATACAAATGGCAATGAGTTTTCTAATGTGGGTATTGAAATGCCCCATTTTGTTGATAATTCTCTAAAAAGTTAACTTTTAGCTTAAAGCCATTGATGACATGCTTTTTGCTGTGAATACAGGCTACAAAAGCATTCTCTGAGAGGTTTGAACCTCAAGAAAAATCTTCAGAGGTAAATTCTTTTGCATTTGTATGTGTACAATTTACATGCCAATGGTGGATAGCTTACCCAATACATTGTCTTGATTTTTATGATTTTATGTCTATCTCCATCTCAGTTATGTCTTTTTTCTCTCTTTTCAATGACAAGAAAGAAATAGCCATATTTAATTACTCTCTTTAAGTGATAGATATTATATATATGTCTACAGGATCATTTGGTTTAACTTATGGAGTTATGGCTATATTTAGCCAGAGATGTGTTTTCCCTGAATTTTAGTTGTTTAAGCAGTTCCTGTAAGCAAAGACAATTTTGGGATATTTTAACTTTAGTTTACAGCAATTATCTATATATCCTGTTTTTCAATTTCTTTGACTAGCCCACAAGTACACTTGATTTTGCTGAATGAAAAGACATGAGCCGTTAGTTTTTGTGAATAAAGTGAGAGTTTTACCATCATTTTCTATTTTTCTTTTACTCTTGCTTTTCGGATTCTAAGTGAGTTCCTGGTGTGTTTTCACTAGGACGAAATTTTTCTCTGATAAATTTTAATTTTTTGAGATGCCAAGAATGTTACAGAATTTAATATTTAGTGCTTCATTACCCATGTTACTTTTTCTAGTCAAAATGTTGTGCTTGACCAGATGAAGCGCTGAACAAAAATGAAAATAATGCAAACACCAGTAAGCACCTTTCTCCCTTTGACCCACGACTAACTTGTGCTTCTTACAACATATTCTTCCATATCATTTAACTGAGCTCTCTGCCTACTATTAAAAAGGCCTTTTGGAACCTGTGTTAAAATGATTGTTGTGATAGAGTAAGAACAAGTTCAACATTGTGCAGCAATTTTCTGGCTTGAAGTTGCTTATTTTGACCTTCACGCTATGAGACATAAGGTTATAAGGACCTTATCTCAGCAATTGCATCTTTTCGTGTGTTTTGATTAACACTTGATAGAGGAATAGAACTGAACTTGCAGCTATTGCAACTCTTAAAAGTTTATTGACTTGTTTGGTTGAGGATGTAGAGGTGTAATCAATTGTGACCCGTAAAGGGGTAAATAGAAAATTGTTTCCATTTGTTAAGATCCTTACGGTCAGAGGTTATGAAAATAAATACCAGAAGATAATGCAAGATCATTTAGACATTCTGCTTAGTTCTGGCAGAAAGCCTGGTAAGATCATTTAAACATTTTGATGAATTCTCCAGATAAATTTTAGATGTTTGTTTCCCTTTCATGTGTACTATGGATTCTTTCCCTCCTTTTGTTTCCCTTTTATGTGTACTATGGATTCTTTCCCTCCTTTCTGCCCCCCTCTCTTGTAAATTAGAATCTTTTGGAATATGTTTTTGAAATTCAATGTTGTTATATCTGCATTGTAAAGCTTTAACATGTATGATTTTAGATAATAAATGCTTTTGTCTTGTCCTTTAAATCTATCTCTAATTTTCTCTCACACGCACTTCTATTTTTTGGTCTGCTCTCACACACATTTGGCATGTAACTTGACTTGTGTTGATGTGCTATAAGTTGTTTTGTGTTTGGTACTTTTTTTTTTCCTTTTTTCGGAATTATATGCTTGGCCATGCACATAATTTAAGTACTGATGATAATACTTGGTAAAATTGCAGGCAAAAGCTCTTATTTCAAAGCTGACTGAGGAGAAAAATAATGCAATGCAACAAAATACTAGGCTTCGTCAAGAATTGGTGAGCCATTTTATTATTTATATCTTTGCTTATGGGGTCAAATTTTTTGGATTTTTTGACATGCTCTACATTTAAGTTTTGACCTCACTTGGATGTGGGATGGTCTGTTCTCATAATTCATGCTCCTTTCTTCTCGTCTTTGGGCCCTTCCATTTATTCATAATGTTCAAGTATCTTGTCAGTCATGTTGGAAAAAATTAAGCCAATTGGGTAAAATCATGTGATACGAAATATGAAACCAGTAATTGAGTATGAAGATGTGAACTTTCCTAGCCGATAGGCAAGCAGCGAGTCTTGGTAATCACATGTTGGATTCTTAAGCAATAACACTTAGGAAAAGTAAGTGTTTCCAGGAGGAATTTATTTCTTGCTACTACCATCCATTCCAGACCTGTAGACTCCAGAGTAATATAAACTTAAGATATAGAAAGAGACCAGCATGTTTATAAACTAAACAGATTTCATAACAAGGGTTGATTGTATTTGGATTCATTATTCAAGTTCCCATAACACTGTGGGAGGTCCAAATCAATCATTGGCACTAGAACCAGCTTATTTCCTGCTTTATCAGTTTGGTTGTCTATTGTCAATTTTGTATATCATACCAATATATTTAATCGTATTTGTTATCTTCTGTCTTTCAAGTTTTATGCGCGTGCATCATGCATTTATAATGTGCTTCTTTTTCTGATATTACTGACCCTGGCTCAATTTCCTGAATTCCCCATTCCTGTCATGCATAATTGCTATTATTGAAGTCGGTATTTTGTTTAGATTGAATTCAAGTTTATTCAACAATAGCTTATTATGAATCTATTTTAGTCTGGAACCACTTCTTGTTTGCTCCTTAAAGCCTCTGAATATAGAAAATGCATGCAAAGTGAATTTGAAGTTGGGAATCTTTATCCTGACAATTACTTCTGTGGTTGGTGTACTGTCTTCCATTCTTATAATCATTTTGATTAATGGGGATTGCTTGCTTGTGGCATTGCTCCGTGCAGGAACTCCTAAAGCGTGAGGGCAACAAAAACCGCGCAGGTGTCTCATTTATGTTTGTCATGTTTGTTGGTTTGCTTGGCATAATTCTGGGATATCTGATGAAGAAGTCATAAGCAATGGCTCCAAATCGTGCCTTGGCCATAATTTTCCTCTTATTTCCTTTCCATCACCAATCAAAGAATGATGATGAAAGGAAAAGAAACTGATGAGCAAAAAACATGGTGCATTTCTTAGTTAGCTTTTATGAAATTAGCAAACTTGTTTAGGTCAGATGATGTGTTTGTAGTCGAAGAAGACCACTCAGACTCGTGCTTCCATTGACATGCATTCTTTTTGTAACCTAAGATGATTTTCTTTCTTTCCTTTTTTTCTTTTTTTGTGAATTTTTCTTTTGTTTCTTTTGTGCTTAACTTTGAGAGATCCTGCTCTTGGTAATACCAAAAGACTTAATAATCTACATGTCTTGACTTTGTTGGAACTTATTTTGAACTCATTTTGACAGTAGATGTTCAAAGCTAGCCAATGTCTTTTGACTTTGACTCTCACTTTCACTAGTGAAAATTCTTTCACGCGATATCGTTTACTGCCCACTGCGCCTAAGCTAAATGAATTTTGTTCCTTATTGTTTTAATTGTAATATTAGGACTAATATGTTTAAAAATGTTTTAGGTCATAAAGTTTTATGTTTTAAGAATATATTATTAAATATAAAACAATATATAAAAACGACAAATTGTGATGGCAATATTAATTATTGAAATAGATGAATTAATTAATTTTTTAATAATCTGTTTATCAATATTAGATTTTTTTAGGCAAAAAAAAAAAAAAAAATTTCTTTTCATTTTTTGTTCCTTATTGTTTTTTATTGTAATATTAGGACTAATATGTTTTAAAAATGTTTTAAGGTCATTAAGTTTTATGTTTTAAGAAATATATTATTAAATATAAAACAATATATAAAAACGACCAAATTTGTGAATGCAATATATTAATTATTGAAATAGATTGAAATTTAATTAATTTTTTTAATAAATCTGTTTATCATATTAGATTTTTTTTAGGCAAAAAAAAAAAAAAAAAAAAATTCTTTTCATCATAAATTCATTAACGGATTTTCTTGGAATTCCTTAAAATATTTCTAAAAAATAAAAAAAAAAAAAAAAAATTCTTTTCATCATAATTCATTAACGGATTTTCTTGAATTCCTTAAATATTCTAAAAAATATTTTTGAAAATAAGTGGAATTTTGAGGATAAAAATTATTAGTTGCTTCAAGCTGAATCTTAATTTTTTTTTTTTTGCCTAAAATTAAAATCATAAATGTAAAGGTTCTATAACTTTAAAATAAATGTTAGAAAGTTATTTCTAAAAATAAAGAGTTAATGTAGTAAAAGTTATTTTCAAAATTAGCATTGAATTATTGACCAAATTTAGAGGCAACCCTATTTATTATTTAATTGAAATTAAAATTATATAACTATCTCCATTGCTTTTGATTAAATAAAATAATAATGATAAAATACTTCTTACAAGGCATCCATAATTATCCAATTTTTATGAGATTTATCCTCCCTTCCAATTCCAAATTCTAGAACAGAACAGAACTCGCAGCTCTGGAACTTTCTGTCCCCTTCTCCACGTTTCTTAACATGTCCGCATACCGTTCTTCTGTATATACAAGCATCCCATCATCGTGTCCTTAAACCCAACTGGACAACAACAAAAGAAATCAGTCCTGTAGCTTTCGATCTTTCAAAACATCAATAAGGAAAAATGGCATCGGCGATTGCACTAAGGAGAACAGCATCTTCTACTCTGATCTCGAAGCTCATAAACCCTGTTCGCTCTGCTGCCGTGGCTCCCTCTGTATCTCGTTTCTTCAGCACCGAAACCCAGGTCACAAACATCGGAGGTGATGATCTTGATACCGTCGACGTGGATCGCCGCTCCACAGGTCGCAGCGTCTCTCGCCGCCGCGATATGTCTCCTGGTTTCTTCCCAGGTACTTGTTATTGTTAGTTTCATGAACTATATTTTTTTGTTCTTTTCAGAAAAAGCTTCTGTTTATGGGAATTCTGAGTTTGTTTGATTTATGATCACCAGATTTGGTGGACCCATTTTCGCCAACAAGAACTCTAAGCCAAGTCTTCAATTTAATGGACCAGTTAATGGATTTTCCCCTGTCACGCGGCATAGGAGCTGGCGGTGTTCCACGGCGAGGGTGGGATGTGAAAGAGGATAATGATGCTCTTTTACTACGATTCGACATGCCTGGACTAGGCAAAGAAGATGTGAAAGTTTGCGTAGAGCAAAACACTTTGATTATAAAAGGCGAAGGACCTAAAGAAAATGAAGAAGAAGAAGAAGAAGAAGGAGAAAGTGGAAGGAGATATTCTAGCAGACTGGACTTGCCACCAAATCTGTATAAACTTCAGGACATTAAAGCTGAAATGAAGAATGGTGTTTTGAAGGTTGTGGTGCCTAAAGTGAAGGAGGAAGAGAGAAGGGATGTTCATGAGGTTAAGATCCAGTGATCAATGAGGTTTTTAATTTTTTATTATCATAGTTTTTCTGTACTAATAAATTAATAATAAAAATAGCTGAAAAAAAGGATTTTATGTTTTAGTTAAGTGGAACCTGAGACTGTAATCAGAGAATAAAATTTTGGTTTAGTCTTATCCCTTGCGGTGTCTGTTTTTATTTTTGCCCTTTTGGATAATCTTTCATAGCCATTTGCTATGGTTTTCTTGTTTTTGATTTTTTTATCGTCGTAAAATATATTTTTGCGTTAATTAATAACTTCAATCTTAAGAATAAGCTATTTTTAGTCTGAGAAAATTATAAAAAAACAGTAAAAAGTTTTTTTTTAATTTTTTGTTATAGTTTTCTATATATAAAATTACAGTAAAATATCAGCCAAATATAGAAATTAAAATTTACCGAACAGGTTCTTAATTTGCCAAATTTAGTAGAGGAAAACATGCTAATGAGCGTGGAAAATTTAGTGATATACGATCCGTCGGGTTGGTCAGACCTCAGAGCAGATTCCTAACACTTACCACTTTATACGACATTGTCACTTACAGTTGTTATGAAAAAGTTAAACGACGCTATTCCTTTAGGATGTTCCCAGATTAGTCGACTAGTCGTTAGAGTAAACACTGAAAGTTAATGCTGCGCTTGAAGCTTAAAAGGTCCAGAGAAGGCCGTATGGGCTTTTTGTTTAGAAACAAAAATGAACCCATGACTAGGCCCATTAAGGCCCTTAAACGACGTCCTAACAGAAATAATATTGTTCTATGGTTTATTATATTTTACAGCTTAATGCTCTCCAAGTGGAACGCGACAGCAATTAAAGGCTTTGCCTTGCCCTAAACCAGTTTTTTTCATTCCTTGGGTAATTGTACGGCCACTATACCCATCATCTTTTCGTTTTATACTCTCAGAATCCCTATAAATATATCTAAGGATACTAATGTATTTTGAAGATGATTATTTGCATGCATTGATTTTACTTTCTTAACCTCACTAATTGCATGAAATTAATAAAAGTTTCTTGTCAATCCTTTGTATATTGTTCACCTATAATTGAGTAATTACATACAATTCTGTATTCTTAGTAGCTTTGTTTGATATTTATTTATTTATTTATTTGATATTTATGTTAAGTCCCATAAATATGGCCAAAATTTTATGTTTTCTAAATCTTATTTTTGTAATATGGGACTTCTATTAATGAGAAAATTTTGGAATAAGACTATTAGAAGTTTTATGATAATGTGATATATTATGTACATGCAAGTAAAATTATTGTGCTCTTGTATAATAACCAGATTTTAAGAAAATAAATATTGCATATTACATGTTATTTTTACTCGTTGAGATTTACATAAATTTTAGTTATATATATATATATATATTAAGTTGTGATGGATGTTGACAGATGAGTGTAGTCAAACCATAGAGGATAACCCATATGTAAGAAAGGGATCAAGGGAAGCATTTGAAGCAAAACCAACAAGTGATGGCGGTCTGTTTCTACGGATAGACACGCCTCGGGTTGCAAGCAAAAGAAGATGCTAGAGAGTGGGTGATTGGTGGGGATGTCAGATTCCGTGGCAAAGCAAGAAAAGTTGGGGATGATGAGAGTGGCCGTGACTACCGCGGCAGTGCCTCATTGTTAGAGATGACACCCATCAAAGGCAACATTCAGCATGCGATAAAAGATGGTGTTCTTGGGTTGATGGGTACTTGGCCAGAAATGAAAGTGCAGGATATTTGAAGTTTTGAACAACTTTTTTTAGATTTCTACTTTATGACCTTTTATTGTTTATCTTGAACAAGTACTACTATTATTTTACTATATAGTTCTAATTCTTGTGTGCTTTTTTATTTCTTGTAGTGGTAATTAGTAATTATTATTACCTGTGTTAATTCTTGGGAAAAATATACTCTAAAAAAAAAAAAATCAATTACAAACATCTTTTAGTTAGAACTAGGGTACTTTTAACTGTATATAAAGAAAAAAAAACAGAAATATATATATTTTTTTAAATCTTCTTTTTATTGGTTTAGTGTGTACTACTAATACACCGGATTGATTCACGAAATTTCCTAATTCTTTATTTATTGTTTTGCTCTATGTACTTTTCTAATTAATTAATTTTTTAAATACTGATTTTTAATTATGGATATGTGTTTACTGTTTAGAGTAACTCTCATCCATAATTACTAGAATTCTAGAAGATAATCATGAACTGTCTGAGCATATATTTCATACAGTTGAGTAACTTAAAAAAAAAAAACAAAGTAAAAAAAAAAAAAGAATGTAAAGTTACGGTCAATTTACTAAAACAGGACAAGAGTCTTGGTTTGGCCCTCTGGGATTTTTTATCCTGGTAAAACTTCCTCTGCTCTCTCCAAACAGGACACAGGTACAGCACAGCTTCCTTGTGTTACTATGGCACTTTCAAGGCCTAACAATATCATCTCCACTACCGTGTCCCAACTCCTCTTCATACGCCGCTCAAGCCACCGCGACGTAGCCTCCTCATACGGCATTCGCTCTTTCCGCAACAGTACTACCGATCCGGTTATAGATTCCAAATATGGTGACTCCGCGAAGTCCTGTCCTAGTCGGGACTCGCGTGATCGAGTAAACGGCTTCTTGAAGAAAGCTAGAGAAGCAGTCACCGGATTGAAGGCAATAATGGACGATCCTAATCTTTGTAATCAACTCAACGATTCTGGTACGGTTTAATTGCTAATTTTTCTTCTTTAATTAAAATGTTAGGTTAGCTTTTTGTCTCATGGAATTAAAGGATTTTAATCAAGCTAAAATTTCTTTAGATGATAGGAGGATTAGTGAGGTTATGCACAAGTTCTATTGGCAACCTTTTCAAGTCGAGGGGTATAAGTTCCACTTTGAAGAAACGACTGATGAATGTAATCGTTATTTAAGAATTGATATGCCTGGAATTGGAAGTCGAGGATTGAAATTACGGATGGAGAAGGATCAACTACTCTTGAAAGGAGAAGAAGAACAAACAGATACTGATCTAGAATTTAGTCACAAGAATAATCTTCCAAGAGCTTACTCTTGCAGTTTTCATGTCGATCCAAACTGCTATCAGACTGAAAAAATTGAGGCATACCTTAGAAATGGGATTGTAAGGATTGTGATTCCAAGAAAGAAATTGGAGGTTAAAACTTGAATTTGTGGTTTCTCTGTTCTAATTTTAATTAGGATGGATTTATACTTGGTAGGTTCTTTTCTTATACTTCTAAGCTGATTGGTTTTGATGTTAATGAAGAATTTATCTGTTTAACTATGTTGTGGTGCAATGGCAAGATTATGTAATTGACCACAATTTGATTATGCTGTAAACTAGGTTATTGCATAATACTTCTGTCAGGTACCTCTTGCAGGTCTCTCTTTTTGTTAACAGCTGATGATATTTCATTTTCAGGGAATATCAAAATAAGCTAACCAAATATTTCTTTAGCATGTTCTGATAATTGGTATTATGAGTTTCACAAAGTTTTTAATTTTTGGAGTGAGAAAAGGGATAATATGTGCCTACCCGAACAGACTGATAGAATTAAGGCAAATCTTAGAAATGTGTTTCTTAGGATTGCGATTCCCAAAATACTAAAATCAGGTGGTGGAAAAGGATTAAGATGGTGGATTAGTGGAACTTTTGTAACTGCACTACATTACAGTTAAGTTGAATGTCTTGGAGGATTGTTAAGCTTTTGTTCCTTTCTAGTTTGTAGATTGCTGAAACTGCAGAAATGTCAGATTCTTTTGAATTAATTTGCACATCATTTAGTGGCAAGATGCAATGAAAACGGTATGATTATTTTTACTTAAACATTGTTCCTTTTTATCTTTTGTCGAAACCCTCGGTTATTCAAAACTCACTGAACTGATTAATCTCTGCAAACTCAAAAAGGGAGTAAATTGCTACATCCTGAGAATAAAAGGACTAGTCACTAGTCGTTTAGTGCTTAAAATGAATATAAAAAAGGTAAATTACTTCAAACCAATCATAAAATATACAATTTCACACTTTTATTCTAAAGTATTGAGCTGGGAGGTTTTTTTACATTGGAATCCATCAGTTTATACACTCAATTTTAACTGTTGTGGTTCCCTTGAGGTAATCTAATGGATTTCCTTTGTGAAAATGATAAACCATAATGGACTTCAGATTCCAATTAATTCCATCAAAATAAATTTTAGACCAGTTAGTCCTTGTAATTTGCTAGTACAAAAAGCCTAAAATAAAATTATAATCATAAAAAAGTTTAAATTTTACTCACCTCAAAATAAATTTTATTTTTACTAGTTAACTTTTCTTATTCTTCAAAAAAAAAAAAAAAAAAAAAAACAAAAAAAAAAAAAAAAAAAAAAAAAAAAAAAAAAAAATCTTGAATATCAACAATCAGAGAGTTTATAATGTACAGCGTGTACGTGTAGTAGTAGCTCCTCCGTCTGGTTAAAGAAAATTACCCAACCAAAAATCGACACATATCTTCATCTACCTGGCTAACATTTGCTTGCAAAACCTAGAAACGAGCCCATCAGTTCTCGCCTGCGTAAGAGTAATTTCCCTCCGTAAACAGTTCGGTTCGTTCCTCAAAATCCAATGGCGCTCTCACGTTTCAGGATCACCGTTTCAAAATTCTTGCCCAACTCGACCTTCCATGGCTTTACCCATTCTAGCCTCGCAAAATCTCGATTCTCCACTCCCAGTCGCTCCTCCTCCTCGAACACCAACACCAACTCCAATTCCAAATCCTTCCGCGATCGATTAGAGAGTACTCTGAACAAAGCTGAAGAAGCAGCTCTGCAGTTAAGGACACTCCACAAGGATTTTAAGGAACTCAAAGATTCAGGTGCTTACTCAACCTGTTCTTGCTATCTTTAAACTGTTGATATTGAAGTTGTTAATTATAAACTATTCTATTTTGCTTTCTAGATCTTCTTGCTCTTCAAGAGCTGGGTAAGGCTCTTAGTCCGGGTGTTCTTATAGAGAAGGGAAGTATATTTCCATTTGAAGACAGAGAAGATGAAGAAAATCGATATTTCAAGATTGATATGCCTGGTATTGGAAAGAGCGGATTGAGGGTTTGGATGAAGAAGGAAGAATTGCATTTCAGTGGTGAAGAATTGTGGAGGGGAACTGAGTCCAATCATCCTTATGGTTTAAGAAAGTTCTCCGGTAGTTTCTGCATTGATTCCGCTCGATATGAGACGGACAAAATCAAGGCAGAAATCAAGAATGGAGTGCTTAGGATTGTGATTCCAAAGATCAATCAAGCCCGAGCTAGAAGAGGCAAAGGTGGAAGATCGAGTTGATGCTAGTTTAATTTTTGCTAATCTTGGAGTTGATGTTTTCAGATTAGGATTAACTGAAGTTGGCATTAAGTAGTAATTTATTGCGGTGAATTGAACCACAGAAGTGAATCACAAGCAGCCATAGGTTTTCCTAAAGCAAGTTGTTACAAATGATCTAAAGAACAATTTCAGAGAATAACAACTCTCCTTCATTTCACTACTGAAATGAACATCATCATCTTCCTCCTTTTTTTCATTTCTAAAATCCCCTTTTACAATTACTTGTTTCTTGTGTAAATCCACTGTGTACTCTCTTAATCCTGCAAATTACATACATATACTAGAATCAACAACTCTTAATTTATAATTGCTATACACAAGACAAGCTGCATTAAATTCAGATTAGGATTTGAACTTCGAACCAGCAATCTTTGAAATAACTCGAGAAACTCTTTCTCGACATCGAGCGCATCCCATGCTTCCAGACATTACAATAACCTGGAACTAGAAATGGAGAATTGCAAACACACAGAATTAGAAAGCATTGCAAATAGAAACAGTAACAGATATTTCAAGTTTGAAGCATAAGTGTGATTAACATACAGTGGGCAGCGTTAAATCCTCAAAATACATGAGAGATTTATTAGATAATGTCACCATTGTAGCTCTAATCTTCTCTTAAGCTCTCTTCCTTATTGAGAGTCTTATCTTCGTATTCTCTGTAATGAGATATGAGATATCACAGACGGTTTATTCATTATTATAACCAGCACTAAACCTCCATTATGTATGCTTTTTTTTTTTTTTTTTTTTTTTTTTTTTTTAAATTACCAATCATCTCTACCTCACTTTAATGCGGACAGATATCTAAACCAAGCAATAATTAATACTATTAGTTATTTGAATAACCAAAGAAAAGGAATCAGCTAATCAATCGTCCAAGCATGAATATTTATTTTAATTCTAAAAAATCCTCCTTTTGGTAGTTTTTTTTTTTTTTTTTTTTTTTTTTAAATTACAATCATCTCTACCTCACTTTAATGCGACAGATATCTAAACAACAATAATTAATACTATTAGTTATTTAAACAAAGAAAAGAATCAGCTTAATCATCGTCAGCATAATATTTATTTAATTTAAAAATCCTCCTTTTGTAGTTTAAACTACTAAATATTGCAACTTGCAGTTCCAAATCTTTGGCTTGTTAGTGTTTCTTTTGCAAATTTTGCACGTTACTATCTGGACTTTCAAAGCTTGTGGATTACATGTTGTAATCAAACTTATTATTTTGTTAATGGACTTTAAATTAATCCAACTTTATATCTAAGATAAGATAACATGGGAACGAAAGTTAGAAAATTTTGGTTACCTAAACAGCCAGCGAACACAGGCATGGACATATTTATACTTTAGGAGATGATAACAGAATTTTATACACATAATATCTGTTTCTGAGAGGATTTGTCGTTTGCCTATTTATCAAAAAGAAAGTTAAAAGTAAGCAATTTTTAAATTTCTTTTTGATTTCCACACATGTTTTCACGAAATAGTATTCAGGGAAATAAAAAAAAGTAATTTTAATGAAAATCTAACTTTCATTCCAATAGTCTATTGATACTAATTTTAAGTATTTTGTTTAATCATTAAACTAATCTTTTTTTTTTTTTTTTATTGGAAAATTGTTTCAAAAGCAGGACTAAAGGAGGCCAACTGACTAAGTCACCAATTTTACCTAGTCTGGCCATGTTAATACTTGCATCATAGTATATATGGAATACGTAGCTATACGTATCTAAAGTCTAAATAGAATCTCCTTATACCGTGTACGCAACAACTGATTCAACTAGCAAAACTGTAAACAAATATATTTAAATACGAATTTTTTTATGTATATTTGAAAATTCAAAAAGTTGAAGTTTCATTTTTTAAAATTTCCAATTTATATAAAATAAGATATATATATTTAAAGTTGAATAACAATAGAAAAAAAAAAAAAAACCTCATAGTTCCTTTTTTTCTTTTTATAGCCTGCCTATATTACTGCCATATTTTTAATTGCGTTAAAGCTGATATTTAACCAAAATGGTGCAAACTGCACGCAAAGTCACAGTATAACATCTTTAACATTTTGACTGCAGAGAGCATCAAAATGGTTCGGTGCATGCAATTGTACAGAAGATTCCAGTAGCTTTTAGTATTACCATTTGATGCTCTCTCTAGTTCTTAGTATTATTGTCAATTTAGAACTTACAATACTCACTAAGCCAGCAATTTATAAATAGCTCCTAGCTGTATCAAGAAATTCTCTAGCTCTTCCTTTGGACGGGTGAGGAAAGGTTCTACATAAAGTAAGATATGATAATTGATAAAATAATGATTTTTTTTAAATTTGGTAAAAAATAAGATAGCTGAAGATTTAATAAACATATACTGTTTGGTTTAGGGTCTTGAAAAATGTTAAATATGACTTGGAACTTCCAGGGTACACATCTTTTGCTTGTGCTTATCGAGTTCATCCAATAGCTACCTGAAATTTGAGAGGATGGAAACAAAAACAACCACCATCAACTTAAGAAATACAGCTTCAAACATCAAGAAGTTCATGGGTTCTAAAATTATACTCAAACAAGCATATGAAGAAAGTTTTACGACTTAACAGAGTACTAGTACATATAAGACTGGGAACAAGGCAGTGGATGTAAGAGTTGTCATTTCCAAGAAAGTCGACTGGACTTAAAAATCAGCATTTCCAAGAGAAAAAAAAAAAGGTTGAGAATATACTTGAATATATAGCCTAAGTTAAAAATGCAGGCAAAGTTAGTGTGTGAAGGCTTCTACAACAATCCACGAGTGGGTATGAGTATGAAATGAGCAAGGGTTTGAAATGAGCAAGGGTTTGAAGATCTTTACAACGCAACTTTAACTTGGATTGAAATCATTTAAACCCCATAGTTTCATAAATTCGAGGGGTATCATTGAGAAAGTAATAGTTCAGGTTACCAAATCAACGTGGCCTGTAGTAGGGAGTCTCCATATAGTTTACCAAGTTGACAGAATGGCTAGTAAGCATTTTCAAGGCATGTGCAGCACAAAACTCAAACACTTCAGTATTACCAGACAACCTCATCAATAAAATTAATTTTTCTGGAATTTAAGAGGAAACTAGGAGGCCACATCCAGAACATGCGTGATTATGCTTGTTTAATAAGATTCAAAAGCATAGGCCATCATCCTCAAGACATATAAAGCTATCTAATTACTAAAAAGAAAACCAACAGATATATCAGCTTCATAAATTTCTAACTGGAAAGGAATATTGCAAATCAATTAACAACCAATTCAAACATCGAAACAAAGATATTGAACAATCTATACACACATCATTGACCAAAGCTCAATTGACCAGATAAGATTAGAAATGCTGCTAGAACTATCTTGCTTCCCTCTTTTCCTTCAAAGTATTCAGTCAATATAATAGTAAAAAAATGCACACATAGGACAGCTTTCCAAAATGTTTTAGTATGAGTTAATAGAATCCTCAAACAAGCAGCATAAGAGAGGTTCACTGGCCAGACTTGTCCCTTGTACATGACGCGGCTGAATGTTCCATAATTTCATTTGTTTTCAATTATTTATGTAGAATTTGTAAGACAAATGATAAAAATTCTCAAATTCCACAGTACAGCAGAATAGAAATTAACGTGCAGTGCAGACAACTTAATATGACAATAACTAAAAACATTATATCAGGGTAAACAAACAAATTAATGAGCTGATCAAGACTTGAAAAATAATAAAAAGAGCAAAAGGTAGAAGCTCATAAAACTCTAATTTTTGAAAATACATGTGCTAGAGAAGAGCCAAATACATTGATACATAACATTAAAGACAATCAACCTTTTCATAACCTCCAGGAAAAAACCATTCTCGATAACATCCCTACCCTTATTTCTTCTTCAAGCAATTAAGTAGTAAATGTGGGTGGATAGAATAACGTTATACAGATATCCCCACAACTATAGGCCAGTCTTCTTTTCTTGGTTGGCATGCATGCAACTAGTCAAACTTTATATTAACAGCATGCATCTTCTTAATTTTGGTTCAAAATAGAGGGAAAAGACAAAGTTAGCATGTGAAGGGTATATTGAAAGCTCTGAGACATATGCCAATTTTGCAGATAATTTTAAAGGCATAGAAATTTAGAAGGAAATAGTTTGAATCCACATTTTCAGATATTGAAGGGGTAACATCAAAAGATGAAAAGTTCAAACCTCAAACATTCAGATCAAAGTAGCCTGTAATTAGAGTCTCAGTATAATATTACCTTGTTGATTTCAGGGCACATGTATCAGAACTAAAGCAAAATGACACTGGTATAGAATCTTATTAATAAAATTAATTTGTAGGAGGTCAAACCAAAACCAATGTGATAATTCTTTTTTATTAAGCTTCAATGCTTCAATCTGTGAATTACTAAAAAGAGAGCCAGTGCAACTGATAGACAATCATTACTATGTACATATAAGGAATGGCGCTAATCAATTCAAAAACTGATTCATATATTTAAAAAAGATATCTAACATTATCTGTGATTCATCAAAGGAAATCTGACCAGGGAAAATTGTAAAAACCGCTAGAACTTTCTCAACTCTATTCTTCCCATTTTTCCCAGTCAAAGCATAATACTAATTGAAATACAACAGTAAAAAGTGCATCCATAGAACTCCTTTGCAAAATCGATCAATCAAGCTAAGGATTCCCAAAGATTCATCAACCGGGCTTTCCCAGTATATGACACAACTTAAAGCTCTACATTCTAATCTAAAATTATAAGGTAACACCAAACACTGTTTTATCAACCAACAAAATATGTTCATAAAACAATCGAAAATTATGGAAAAAAAAATCAAATAAACTCACTTCCTTGAAAATTGCATTCCAGTCTTTGGACCAGCTCTTCTATCTCTCTGCCTCTTATCCAACAATGCCCTTTCCCTCTCTTTCTCCTGCTTCTCCCTTTTCAATCTTTCCTCTCTTAGCTCTTCCAATGTCTTCTTGCCACTCTTCTTCACTCCCTCCTTCCCTTTCACCTCTTGATCCCTCTCTTCTTTCACATCATCACTCCGTTTCTCGAGATACCAAGGCAATTTAACTCCTTTTCCTGCAATCCCGTAACCCAACCTATACTTCTCGTCCTCTTTAGTAACAATCCTAACCTCCTCTTTCTTAATCTTCTTCTTCTTAGGCTCTTCTTTCTCATTCTCCAACCCCTTAATTGGGTCAAAAATCCGAATCCCTTCAAACAGATTAATGTGGTTGGACTTGGGCTCTGATTCCTCATCGGGCTCCGATGTTCGGTTCTCCTCTTCATGTTTAATTAGCGGAGCCAAACCGCGCCCAGTCCGAAGCCGCTCAAGGCGAAACTCAGCATCGCGCTTTCTCGCCTGTTCACGTTTTAACTGCTCCTCTTTTGCGGCGGCTTCTTCATCTCGGCGGACTTTCTCTCTGTTCTCGTAGTTGTACACGTTCCACCTCTTTTGCGGGAGAATGTTAAGACCTCCATGACCTCCCATATCTGCTAAATTTTGCGATTCACCTGCTCTAATTGAAGTCTGCCTTCAATTGAATTTCTAAATTTTAAAAATAAGGAGAGAGAGAGAGAGAGGAGGAGAATACCAAATATTTTAGGTCAAGCGATTCAATTTCTGAAAGGTAGGATAAACTCCGGAGCCAATCACAGATTTGTAAAAGCAGGAGTTGGAAGGATTCCGGTGGAAATCATCTCTTTCTACTTGGGTCGGTTAGCTTAATGGTTCCGTAGTCTACTTTTTAACTCTCCCTAACCAACGATACGAACGACATGACGGTAACTCGTTTTAACTGATTGTCGACTTTTTAACTCTCTCTAACCAACGATACGAACGGCACGACGTTAACTCGTTTTAACGGATTGTCGACTTGACATATATCGTATTAAGGTCTTGAAAACGGCATCATGCCATAAACTCGCACGAGATGAAAAACACAAAGTGCAACTACGTTGAATTGATTGATGTTTCTACTGTAGTTAGACAAAAGGTCGAAAGAAATTTAAGTCATTAATCATAAAATATGATGCAGCATTAATTGGCCTAATTGCAATCAGTCATATATTGATAATAAACCTGGAAAAGGTTACAAGGAGCCCATTTTATGATGATTAATTGATGTATAATGATGGGTGAATATTCAATTTGAGCAAATCCTAAAATCCCAAATGCAATTTGAGTAAACTGAGATCAGATTAATACAGATAAGCTTCCATCTTTTACATGCTTTGAAATACCAAAAACGAAGTTTTCCTTCCTTTAACGTATGTACCATCTCCAAATGAGATTGTGCGAATCAAAGATGATCCTATCAGAAAATCAAGTCATTAAGTTGAACATATTCGTCGTTCTTCTTGGCATTCTTATTGATGATATGTGATGTGTCTTCTACGTCAACGTTCAAGCAATTCATCCTATGCCTGCAACAGGGACCAGCCACAAAGCTAAGTAGACGTAAGCAGGAAATCACAGGAATAAGAAAATATGGCAGCTAATGGCACTATACACACCACTCAAAGTGATCTTCGCAACAAATAGAACCACTGATAATTGACAATCCAGCTCCTTTCCTGCAATCATTGAATACAAATTCATATTTACGCAGTTACAAAATATACAACAATCAACAATTTCTTGAAGACCAAAAACAGCTGCTGCCATATAAAGAATATGAAACCTCAATACAGAAGATAGTACTGGGCGCAAATAAGTCCTTAATTTAGCATAATATTCCGAGAAAAATGTCTTTCCCCTCAACAATTCCAGAAAACACAGGAAAAGATAAACTAAAATTCATTTCAGTGTCACATACCAAGTTGCAGTATGCATATCATAGAACTTGTCAAAAGCTTTATCTAAACAGTGATGGCAAGCCATAAGATCCCTGATGTTCGTCACCTTGCATGTTGATTTACAGCATTTCACCTGCAAAATTTGTATGAAGGCAGAATTAAGCAGAATGTGGGCATGGGCGTGTGTCTGTTTGGTCCTTTTCCTTTTTTTCTTTTCTTTTGTTCGTAATGAAAAAAAGTTTGCTGCCATCATGCGTCCAAGTGGAAGCAAACAGAATAACATGTGACAGTGTCTCCTTATATTACAAGATTAATGTTGACCAAGATATACAGTGAATGATAGTTGAAAAAAAATACCAAACGTTTAAGTTTATGAGAGTAATATTGCTGATGGGATGGATGGGTCCTTATATGTTCATCCAAATGACCTGCACTGAAATTGAAATACCATAAGAAGAGCATAAGAATAAAATCAAAACACACTAAATTTAGCTGGGGAAAGCAAAGAATCAACCACTCATGCAGAATATAAATTGGAAAGTGAGAGAGATTGAAGTCATGGATCAGGAAAAGTAGCAATTACAGGACTAGCCAATAATGAGATATGAGTAGCACTTACTTGTCACAAAGGACAGCACTACAATGAAGGCATGTTGCCAAGCTTACAGAACTGTGGCAGGCATTGCAGTTTGCTGTTGACAAATTTTTACCTATCTGATGGCATCTGCAACAACACCAACAACCAAGAAGATGCTGCAGAGTTATCCATAAATTCCACAAAGGATCAAACATAAGGCGGATAAAATAAAAATAGAGGTTTTCCTCCAAATTACATCTACAGTTTAGTGGTCAGCATAAATCAAAAGCAAACTGTCTGCGCTTGACTCATATAAAAATGAGAATAGAAATGTAGCAAACAAATTTGTAAACAAACATACATTCATACCTTCTGTAAAGTCCAAGAAGATCTTTGGATATGAGATTCCTTTTCTGCCCTTCTACCTCCTACAAGCACAAGTAAATTTAGAAAAGTAAAAGAACATATATATATTTTTATAACATAGGTAAATCAACCAATTGCAGTTAAGGTTAATTGAAATATAGTAACGAACCTGGCTACATTTTGTCAGCAAACAATCTTCTGCAAGGTGACCAGCCTTCTGACACTTCCAACTACATAGTACATTCACAATCAAAACAAATATATGGATACCAAATAACTACATGTATTTGCATATCTTTATAGAAGCATGGATTTGCTGGTCCCATTCCTCCCCAAGAGATTCTTGGTAAGGAACTCAGGAAGATAGCTATGCTTCAAATCCCATACTCAGCAGGCACAAAACTAGAAAGACAAACAATGCCAGTTTCAACTCTTAAATATCTACAAATATAATTAGTCAATGCTATATAGACAATGAAATATACCACTTGTAAGCACAAAGACTAGATTTCTTTTTGGACCATCGATTGTGGTTATAGTCCCAAGTATCCTCCTGAAGTTCAGGCATTGGTAAGGCACATTTGGCTGCAAATGGGGGAACATCTGGCTTTTGGTTGCTTTGCTTGCACTGAAAACATACAAGTGAAATAGTTAAATGGTGGGAGATCAGCAAGCAAAGACAAGTATTCACATCACAACAAAGTTCACAGAGCAAAAAAAAAAAAAAAAAAAAAAAAACTAACTAGAAAGACAAAGCTAATGCCGTTTTCAAACTTCTTTAAAGTAATCTATCAATAAATTATGGTCCAACTATTTAAGACGAATGAGAAGATATACCACTTGTGAGAGCACAAAGACCTAGATTTCTTTTTGGACCATGCGATTGTGGTTATAGGTCCCCAAGTAATCCTGCTGAGTTCCAGGCATTGGTAAAGGCACATTTGGCTGCAAATGGGGGAACATCTGCTTTTGGTTGCTTTTGTCTTGCACTGAAAACATACAGTGAAATAGTTAAATGGTGGAAGATCCAGCAAGGCAAAGACAAGTATTCACATCACAACGTTCACAGAGGCAATAAAAAAACAAAAAAAAAAACGAAAGAAAAAAAAAAAAAAAAAAAAAAAACAAGAGAGAGAGAGAGAGAGAGAGAGGAGAAGAGAAGAAAAACACCTTAGCAAGACTTCGAAGAAGTTCATCCTTGCATTCCAGACTGCAGATATCATCATCAGTCTATTAAGAAAGATATTATTTGATAAGATCAGTAAGTAGATGGAAGATCAGCAATGTTCTAAAAAGTAAAACATAAGCATTTGCATACCTCATCACATATATATTCTCCATATTTCCCACATACCACACAAACAGGTTCTCCATGGACAGGAAACCGTTGCTCGCTTCTGGTCTTAACCTGATCAACTTCATTTGTGCTACCTAAAAAGGAAAGGTATATGTAATGTATGTAAATGGCACATACGTATTCATAAATTATGACTGCCCCAAATCTGGTAGAGTACCTGTTTCAAAATCATGAATGTGACTAAAACCAGTTCTCCATTTTCGTTTTTTCATTATGAAATTTTCAATATTTTTGGAAAGATCAGGTCATCAGGGAAATCCATCGGAGCCAGTTAGAGTACAAGACAAATTTACAAAGTACTTGGATAAATCATCCATCAAGAAAACCATAAACCAACATCCCAATAAACATAGATTTTGGAAACAAACCAGAATGTTGGGGATCCTCCTCTTCAGATTCTGAAGTACTTTCATCGCCTGCATTTTCACAAATAAAATATGTCAACATTAGACACTTCAACACCCTCTTCATAGAAAATCAAATCAAGAGAAGCAAATGGGACTCAATTTCCATCATCTAATTATTCCTCATCAAACAAAACTCTATACTTCCTAGTAACCATATTAATAAATCAAATCCATTGCATTAAGAGTCAATTCCACCAGCCAAATTTTTAACTGGACAGTCTTTTTCTAGTCTCAGTCTATCTAATCAAGCAGCATTCGTAAAAATCAATTTCAATTTTCAAACATCAAACATAAATCGCATATAAAGTAAAGGCGCTTACTTCCATAGTTCACCAGATTTAAAACTGAGCTAGAAGCTGCCTGCAATCACAAAGTGTAGCCAATGCTCTTCAAAAAAAAAAAAAACAGCTTAAAAGATTAAAAAAAAAAATTAAAGTTCACCATTTTTAAAATTTCAATAAGTATTGAATTACCAATACATCAGTAGTTAATGTCTCATAAGATTGAGATAAGCTCACTTCCTTCCTGTCATAACATTAAATAAAGGAAAAATAATAAAAGAATCAGCTAGAAAACGTTGAATTAAATTAAAATTTGATGAAAAAAAAAAAAAAACAGCTTAAAAGATTAAAAAAAAAAATTAAAGTTCACCATTTTTAAAATTTCAATAAGTATTGAATTACCAATACATCAGTAGTTAATGTCTCATAAGATTGAGATAAGCTCACTTCCTTCCTGTCATAACATTAAATAAAGGAAAAATAATAAAAGAATCAGCTAGAAAACGTTGAATTAAATTAAAATTTGATGAAATAGAATTTAGATTAGATCAAATATAAATTTGCCTTCTCTTATCTATGTAATCCTGGTGTGACATCGGTCCACCATACTCTTCGACGTTACGGAATTTCTCAGGCCGTGAATTTTCCGTCGAGCGGCGTTTATGACCGGACTTTTTCGAGCTCCGCCTATCATGCTCTTCATCACTGTACTTTTGCTCTTCGATCACAGAGGCATTACCAGTTGCGGCGTTATAAGCTGCATAGGAAGCAAATTATGAATTAATAATCACAAAGTTGAACTGAGATCATTTTCTTTTAATTTAAATTTCCCAGGCTTTCTCAGCATCAAGACAGAAATTTCAAAAGAGCAAATGGAAATTAACGAGGAGATGATACCTTGGAGGTTTTGAAGAACAGAAGAGAGACTGAAGTCTTTTTTGTAAGAGATGGAAGGGTTCTTGTATAAATTCGTCCTCGTTCCCATTCTTCTTCTTCTCTCTTTCTTCTTTTTTTAATGTTCAATTTATATATATATATATATATATATATTTAGGTTTCGCTGAGAAATCAGGAAGATTCCTTCTACAGAGAAGAGAAAGAAAGGATAGATCGGCAACTGTTCGAGAAGATAACTAATTGCGTTTAAAGATTTATCCTTTTAACGACAAGGGAATTTTTTTTCCCTCCAATTCAGACTGTCATCCATCAACAGTTGGAAAACTGTCTGTCGTCTGAAAATTAGAAGGAACGCTATAAAACTTTCCTTGTCGTTCGCAAACTGCCAATGCATGCACACATCCTTTCTTTCTTTTCTTTTTCTTTCTTAAAATTAAATATGATTTGATACTGAAACCAAAATAAGAAAAAATGGTGAAACATAAATTCATCCTTATATTTTTAGGGAAAAAAAGAATTTTCAATTTTCAATTTTTACTTTTATCTATTAAATATTCACTTCGTCCCACCTTTTATTTGCTTGTTTTTTTTTTTTTTTTTTTTTTTTTTGATATTTCAAAATATTTGGCATATGTAGATAATTATTTTTTTTCATATAATAAACTTTTTACGTTTTTTTTTTTTTTTTTTTTTTTGATATTTCAAAATATTTGCATATGTAGATAATTATTTTTTTCATATTAACTTTTACGATTATTCATTAAACGAAAGACTTTTATTAATATCTTAATGAGTTAAAGGTAAAAAAAGGGCAAAATAATTTTTATTGATTAAATTCTTAAAATGTATATTTTTTTCAAACCATGCAAACAAAATAAGACGAGGAGCATATTAACTTATAAAATTATATGCATTAAATATTTTAAGGCTTCAACTTATAGAATTAAATTGATTAAACATTTATAAAATATCTATAAAATAATGTGAAAATTATTATTCTAAAAAATTATACTAATTGTATATCAAATTAATATTTTACATATTAAAACTAAAAATTTTAAAATGTATTAATGTTCGTATGAAGATATTTGTAATATTATCAGGATTCATGAATTTTTTTAAAAAAAATTACCAAATATATAATTTTCAGAACCATAATAAGTCTCTACATAGTTTAATTTTTGCTTAGGAAAATACCGAAGACAGATGATACTGAAATGGTTATAGAAGAGGTATTCGGCCAAGTCAAACTTCTTCTTCCTCTTCATTTTTTCTTTTTTCTTTAATACAGTTGGGAGTTAAAAAGGATGGGAGAAAAAAGAATTTAGGAAACTCGAATCGAATCCAAAATATATATTAAACTGTTTTTCTACATTTTGCAAAATTTTCTAACTAGAACAAATTTTAAATATTTATAATAGAAAATTATGTAATACCAAACCCAAGTCTTAATTATTAAAACGTCACCTAGCTCCATTGCAGCACTCACATATACTAAAACACTATTTTAGCGCATGAAGTCACTGCTCTTTAATTGGACCCATTCCAAAAAAAAAAAATGTTTTTCTGAATGATCAACATGGTTTCAAAGATCAGTTTTCAAAAAGAAGAAGAAAGAAAAGAAAAAAAAATTAACTTTTTTTAATATCAAACCGCCATCACAATTATCACTTGATCAGAGTCTCTAATTACCGGCTTGACTTCATTCTATACGACAAAAGAGTCAATCACATCCTTCATAGCTTCAAATTCAATCAAACAGCCTAGATTATTCTTCATTCATCTCTGAGATTTTAAGTCAAACGGAAATAAATCAGCAACCTGAGAAGGCAATTAATCTTACACATTAAGATGGGTAAGATTGGCTGCAGCGTAGATGGGAACCTGAATGACGCAAAGTTTGGCGAGCCTCTTCCATGGATTGGCATCTATGTAGCAGTAGCATCTCTGGTCTGTGCAATTGTCATGGCTGCGGATGTTATCCGTGGCTTCCGCCATCGGAAGTTGTGGTTTCCCAGTAAGTATTTCTGCATCAATGCCACTTCTTTGGCCATAATAGCAGTAGCAGTCAAATTTTCCGTGGATCTAAACACCCCTATGCCTCGACGGGTCGATCAGCTTTCGAAACTTAGCAGCAATATCTTGATCTGTACAATGATGGGTAATTCCATGCCTTCTCTTGGAACGATGGAAAACCAAGAAATCATGATGAATATTATAGCTCTGGGAATACTTGTTATTACTGTTACTGTCAACATATGCATCCAATTAGGAACTGGTGTTATCTATCTTTACTGGAAAGAGCATGCACTTATCATGTTTCTCATGCTTGTTTTGCTTGTAATCTTGAGCTTTTCAGCTTTAACAGTACCGACTACTAAGAGGTATTTAGAGTTCAAGTTCAAGAAAAAATACGAAATGGCTGTGAAAGAATGTTCAACTGAATCTAACAGAACTGGGGACAAGAAACTTAGAGAAGATCTAATGAAATTCTGGATGATGGCTCATACCAGCAGCCCACAGTTTGTCATGGCTCGTTTAGTTACTTGCACTGCTGCAGGTGCACTGTGCCTCCTGGGCGCCATGACTTTAGCAGAGGCTATGCTGAGATCTTATTTGATGCCCTGGTCATTCAAATTCTGCACTGGAGAATCTGACTACAAGTGGTCAACCATCTTAGTTCTTGTTGCACAAACCATTGCAATAGGAGTCGGAACCATTGCCCCTGCAATTAGATGGTTTACAGCTGTAAATTTCAGGTGCCCAACATTAAGGAAGAAAAGTTGCAGGGGAGAATTCAAACTAGAAAGATATTGGATCCAGTTCTTAGTGGAGTTGAAAGAATGCCCATTTACCTTACGAATCCATAACCGGCACTGCAGGAAACTAGCCCATGATGCCAAAAATCAAATTTTGGACTTGTGTATTGGAATGCAAACTGGAATTGTGTTGGCAAGCAAAGCCATTCGACTTATTTCTGTATACTTCATAAGCAGGATTTTATTATTCTGTGTTTGGTGCAGAAAGTTGAAATTCAAATCCAACAACATTTCAATTGACTCAGGACGGGAGTCACAGTCCAGCTCAAAACCAGACCTTAGCCGTTTTGTTTTGCATCTTGAAGGTGAGAATCAACTTGTTGAGTTGATGATGAAGAGCAATCGAGATGCTACTGAACATTGGATACTTAAGGGAAAAAAGAAGCAGCCCAGGCATCTCATAGAACTGTTGGAAAAGTCATCAGAGGGACTCCACGGAGTCAGCGAATTCGACAGTAACCTAGTTCACTCTCTAGACAGCGAAGAACCTAAAAACTGTTGGTCTCTTCCAGTGGTGACTCTAACAGCCATTGCAACTGCAATTCCAAACATCAACAATAACATACGTAAGCAGCTGAAACGTAGTGTACATGAAGGTCTTATATATGTCAAACACATAGAAGACAACCTGGAAACAGAAGACAATATGAATAACATCAGGAAGGCAGCATATACTGTGTGGCTAGGAATTGAAATGTATCACAAATGGCTAGATGTGGATCTTAATAAGCTGTGCGTCCAAGCAGAAAGCACAAAAGAAATACTTGAAGGACTTGCTGATGCTGCAAAGAACAGGTACATTGAATTTAAGAAGACTTACGTGAATCAATGTCTCCTGAAGGAAAGCCCGTCCAAGTGGCCAATCAATGTATTGGCAGCTAATTCCATGTATAGAATAAGCCAAACAATTCTGCAGAATTATGAAATAAGCTGCAGCCATAATAGTGATAGATTATTTGAAACATTAACTGTCATGATCTCAGATATATTGCTTGCTTGTTTCACCAACTTCAAACATATCATAAGTCTCAAGTGTATGAGTAGCTCAGTTGAAATACGGGCAGAATCTGTGCGGCATGCAGCTTTCCTTCTTGGTGAAACAGAAGGTATTCTAAAACTTCTAAACCAGAAAGAACTTCCCAGGTTGGGTCCAGATGAAATGGCATGCATTGAAGACTGGCGTGCATTGCAACAGCAGAAGAACCATTTGCCCTTGCCTCTATCTTCACCAGAAACTGATGCAGCTTCTTCCGTTTCATATGACTTGCATCTGACCATAGATTAAAATTCAAACCCAAAGAGCAATATAAGCAGCTTATGTTTATGCTGGACCTTCAAGCTTTTTGTTTTATCTATCATGTTTATAGTAAATACTTGTAATTAATGTCAACATGTAATAAAATATAATCCAGAAGTAATTATTGAGACTTGACATCCCTTGTTCAGTTGCAGAAGAGTGAAGACTATAGAATTTACATCAAAATCTTGCACATGAAATATTCACAGATCCAGCCAGATTCCACAAAGCATGAGTTTGAGCTATTAGATGGATAGCCCCATTAAGCAGCAGAAGACTTCAGTACCCAAACATGGGATTACTGAAGAATAGAAACAAAACAAGCAAATAAATAATACTTCTGATCATGATTCCAGATGTTGAGCTCTTTTTCCTTCAAATTATAACACCACCAAATATATTTGTATTAAACAAACATGCAAATTAAACAAAACCAAGTACCAATGCAATCTTCAGAATTTAGTGAACCAAAACTATAAATCAGGACAGATGGACTCCGCCATACATATCAGAACAGAAGCTCGTTGTTGGTTGAAAAGGTTAATATGGAAACCAGAAATGCACATGAATTAGCAGAATAAGCAAAGGGGACATGTGAATTTCCTTCGGGAACTGAGTTTGAGATCTTTGTTGAAGCCAAATCCAAAAGGAACAAGTTCAAACCAGTATAAACAACTTCAAACAGGCTGTAAACATTTATATACTAAGTCTAGAAACAAAAGTGATTGGATGATGCCAGCCAAATTTGCACAACTAGACACTGAATTCAATGCTGGATTCAATACTTTAATAAACTGGATAGCTAGAGAACCCAGAAGACACCAATGATGAGGAGAAAAGCCAGAATTAAAGCCATAGCAACAATTCAGGACTAAATTCTAAGCAGTAAAAACCATGTTGCTCAACTGCTCTAATCATCTCCTTTGAGGAACCAAAAAATAACAAGTATATACTAGTAAAAATAATTAATCAGCCAAAGGTTTGGCCAACATACTAATTGGAAATAAACATATAGGAAAACTTAGGAACATATTAAAGAAAAAAACTACAGAATGAAAATTACTGCCTCACCAAAATTCTTACTACCAGTATGAACTGAGGCCTCAGTCAATGACACACAATGAAGAATTATTGGGCAAGTCAAATATCAACTCCACACTTGATTTTCCTGTACCCTCAGTAAGACAGCTGATAGTCTGCTATCAAGCAGACATTTCTGATATTGCATTCATAGGCATTTGTGTATCAAGAAGCAAAGAACTTGTCGGAATAGTGCTTAACTTGAGTATCCTGCCTCTATATGGCTTTACAAATAGCAAGCGAATTATATGACAAATAAGATATTGAATGACTATCACCCCCAGAATACAAGCAGTTCCTGCCCTCATCAGTATCAAAAAAACCTGAATTCTGAAATTATTTTCACTACCTCCATCCATCATTTGGTATTATAAATGATTATGAAATATAGAATTGATTTATTAATGATATAGTTTGATTTATTAAACTTCTATTCATAGAAGTGAAATGAACTTGTTAATTCATGACAATATCAAACCATGAAATTCCATATGAATTCTCAAAATTTTACAGAATTCATTTATACAAAACAGTGAATAAGAAGAGGGAATCGACAGTGAAACACTGAACACTACAACAGCTTTCAGAAGACAATGATATACATCACAGAATGACAAAATCCTCCCACCATACCCAATATTTGATCATGAATTACATCCAGATTAACCATCACATGTCATCAATGATGCCAAATGAATTTTAATTAGTTGGCAACCGCCTTTCTCGTTGAATTGATAAACATATAACCAATAACAAAAGCCACAATCAGTAGCTACCGTCTGTCTTAATACTCCAGAAACAGAAAACTCGCAATGTGGGTATTATATTGACAATGAAACACTAAACATTCAGAACACAATGATATACATTACAGGGCGACAAAATCCTCCCGCCACACCTAATATTTGAGCAAGAATTACATCCCGATTAACCATCACGTCATCAAATGATGCTAATTCAAATGAACTTTAATTAGTTGGCAACCGCCTTTCTTGTTGAATTGATAAACATATAACCAATAACAAAAGCCAAGATCAGTAGCTACAATTGGTCTTAAAACGTGATAAAAAAATGTGAAACAGAAAACAAGCAGTACGGGTTTTATATTGGCAATTCAAAGCATCCACATTTGTTTGTTTCACTTTAATTAAGAATTTCCAATTTCTAAGGAATAAAACTCAAGAAAAATGTAAATAAACATGCGGACATTGAGACGAGGAAGACAATTGATTCCATTTCTTCAATCATCACTATAATTTCTTTCCTACATCAGCATTGAAGTCCATAGGCTCCAAAAAGAAAAAATAATAAGAGAAAATTTAAAAAAAAAAAAAAAACCAGTAATCTCCTGGCAAAGACAAAAAATTGAGCCTAGAACTCCGATCTCCATAAACCCTAAAGTAACACAAGAACCTGGAATCTAAAGGGCAGCCCAAGACCCAAAATCAAAATCAAATCATTCGTCGTCGTTTCGCTTCTTGGGCTTCCTATAAGTTTCCTCGATGTGCTTGGCAAATAAAAGGCCGGTGTCGGCCAGCTTCTTCAAGTTTGGGACATTGTAGTTTTGAGCAAGATAGACGCCAAACATCGTTCCTGTAATGAACGAGAACCCGCTTCTGATTATCCCCATCCTTAAGCTTTCAAATCCTCAAATTAATAGTAATGAATTTCAAATAGCGCACAAAACTACCGAGTTTGGCGTGTTTTGATCTGATTTGAGTGACTATATAGATGGCGATTCGTGTTGCTCACGATCTCGCTGACCCTTTGCCCAAGCACCCGCGCAACACAAAGTTTGCTTGCTAACTCGGCCTCCAAGCCTAGTCCTACCATTGGTCAATAAGTCAATTCCCAATCTGGTTACGTGGGTCCCTTCTTCGAGATCAGAAACTTCACGCAAACGACGTTGTGGGTGGGTAATAGGCAAGATGAAACGTCTGTCGTTTTGCTAAACATAAATTATTTTGAGTAGCTGCTCATGAGCCATGACTGATGAAATTTCGATATGCTAATTCCAAAAACTCTATTATTAAGTCTGAACCCCCCCCCCCATATGAAGTACATATTTATATTAAATTTCAACTATTTATTTATTATAGTTATATCAATTTAGTGTAATTACACGTGAAGATGTAGCTTAATAGTAGACGCGTGTATAAACTGACAATAAATAAGTTCGAATCTCCCGATACTCAGTATTTAGTATTACGTACATGACTGGAATGAATTTGTATATTGTTGTTGAAAGTAGAGAAATTCTTTTAGCAGAATATCTCAAGATTAATTAAGCATTAGTCAAGGTAAGGGTAGGCAACAATGTAAAAATATTTTCAGTAGTTCTTGTGATATGAAAAAAGAAAGGAAAAAAGCCACTAGCTTATTTACCAGGAATTGATGGGACTTGAAAGAGCATATATAGGAGAAACAAGAAGTCGATGGTAGATGATGGCTCAGTAAATAGCCTGGAGCCTTCTTAGTATGGAATCCTAGGCTTTGCAACATGTATTTTAAGGATGCATTAAATTGTACATAATCTTGGTATTTGCTTCCTACAAACTCTTTGATGATTTCTGCTATGCATAAGGCAAGTTGGAGGTCTTAAGCTATGCAAACATGTGGTTTTATTTTGAGTTGAGCCTAGGTTCTGCACCTATGTTTTCTTCAGGTTTTAAGTTTTCTATTTGTGCACTGAACTTTGGCAGTTTACGTCTAAACTAGATGGTGTATACAACATTGCTAGAATTCAGACTTTGCTTGTTCTAGATATAGGAATCCAAAATGCTGCTTATGGCTTGGGAATTGAGCAAATGTTCCTTACGTTATTAATGGATGATATCTTGTGATGAATTTGGAATTCCTAGTAGGATATACAGTGAGACAGACAGGATTTCATTTCTGTATTATCTTTTCCTTTTCTGAAGCAATCTATCTGCCATTTTATGACTCCATCGCCAGAACTGTCAGTAGAAACCCTGGAGTGGGTACCTCTCGCACAAGGTGCAAGTCCCCATTTCTCAGGATAAAGTGCAAAAGCTGGATGCTTGTAACATATTGTTTAACATTTCAACAGAAAGCTGAGAGTAAAACAATAGTCAGAGTGTATAGGTCTACTACGGAGTGTTGTCTGCTCCAAGTCCTAAAGGGTACAAGAGACATTCTATTAGGTTGTATTCTATATTAGGTTAGATATTCAATATTTCCATGTTTTGCAGACTGTCCATTTAGCTGGGCCACAGAGCCCTTTACTAGTGGGCTTAGAAGTGAGCTGCCTGCCTTGGATTAATCAGGAAAACTATTGATATCGAACAATTTATTTGACGATTCTAGGATTCAATCCTTAATATTTATACGGTTCCTTTGAATACAATTTATGTCATTGTTATTTATGATTACCTGAGCTTGCGCCATTGGTGGGTTTTTGTAGTGCTTCCTTTTTATTCTGGTGGCAGTGCCTTTTTAAACTCAGTGGCTATATTAGTTGAAAGCGATTTGTAAAATTTTATTGGAAGCATGTGAAAGCTATCCAGTGGCAGTGAGGATGTATGACGGTTTGTTTGTCTGAGAAACAGATAGAGATGTCTTAAATAGCTAATCATCAACCGAAAGTGGTTCAAATTGCCTATTTACACCAAATCTGTCATTCTTTAACTTCACAATTTGAGTGCAGAAGAAAAGGCCTGTTCTTATCCACAAGACCGAAAGAGAAGTTATCATATGGAAGTCTATCTCTCAATTTTCTGCAACAGGACCATATTACTAACCAATAATCATGGACGTGATTGGTACACCAAGTGGAGATGTCTTTTCAGGCCCTTTCTTTATAAAAATGGATTGAATCACTTTTATATACACATATATATATAGATATAATGTACTTGGAACTGTATGCATTTGAATTCACATATGATACAGTTGGATAAAGATGAAACTTTTTTTACCCATGTTACCAAACGCTATAATTAATTTTAAAATATTAAAATCTAGTTAAAAAACTGTTACCGAACAACACCTTAAAATTTAAATTAAGCCAAAATTTGTTCATAATATGTGGACCAGATTGCATGAATTAGGTCTAATTTTAATTTATTTTGCATGCAATTATAGGGTTGACCAGAGAAGTAATAATGGAGGGACAAATGGGTCTCAGATTGGTGTCTTTTGAAGAGAAGAACAGAGGCCACATTGAAAGGGACTTCCGTTTTGAATGCTTGGTTGGTTGACCTATAATAAGATCAAATATAAACAACTGCTAAGACAATGTAAGAAAACTGGAGATAGAAAAGATTAGAAAACCCCTGATTTGGAGGCCATTGAAGTTGTCCAAGTAAGAGGGACGTGGAACCAAAGCTCCATTAAGATGTATGGTCCAAAGAAAAAGACGACAGACAGGACCAGTATGGCTATGAAAATGATATAAGTGAAACAGACAAGGAGAGATAAGGATCGATCGGTGGTGTTGGGGGCCTACCTTTCTTTCTATAGCCAGCCTTTGAGATTGCATTAGTGCTTACTTTTGGGTTTTCATGTAAAAGAAAATCAAGGTAAGCGTTTTTTCTACGCATTCCAAGACACAAAAAACAATGGAGGAAAACTGAGAAGATATAGTGGCAAAGCATCTATAAAAGACACAACCAAAATGTTGTGTGACGACAACTCTAACTTTTCTTGCATACGCACTCAAATCGAACCACTCTTGCTTCTTCTTTCCCTTTTGAACTTGAATCATTTCCCTCGCATTCTTTAACTTTACCTCCATTCTTAACTTATTTCATAATTACCTTTCACATTCATCCCTTATCAAAGGGAGTTTTCTCAGGTTTTAAATGCAAATGAAAATGAATCGAATTAAATCATATTTTAAATTTAAATACAATCGAGAGATGAAGACGTGAAAAATGGTTTTGAACCCGAGAACTTTTAATTCTAGGCATAAGCCTTGGCCATCTAAGCTTTGATTATAGTAGTTGAGTGTTGAGAACCAATAATTATTATGTCTAGCTATGAAATGTATGGAAATATAAAAATAAAAAAAGTAGAGAAAGTTTTTGGACCCGACAGCAATAATAGTTTAATCTGGTCCAAAAATAAAAAATAAAAAGAAAGTGAATGGATGGCAGGTTAAGAAATTATGTTGGGTTAGTGGTGCCCCACATTCCATTGGCTTGCGCCAACATGATCAACGGAGAGCTATGTCTTACAGTGTCTCATCGAGTGCATCTATTTTGTCCGAACCAAATCCTCACTCCTAGGAGTCTTCTTTATGACAAAAGCACCAAAGCACTTTCTCCACTTCAAAAAATTTTGAAAAGCTATCTATGATTATACTTTTTTACATTTCAGAAGGAAGGTGTTTCTCTTTTTTATTTTTCTGAGAGCTTGATAAAAAAAAGTTGGAGACTTTATTTTAAGTGCTCGAGTTATTCTGGGGAAGGTTCATCTAAATTAAAAATTTTATGTATTTTACAACTGTGCAATTTTGTTTTTCTACATTACGATATGCGTAGAGTGTGATTTTGTCTGTGAATATATTCTTCTTTTTACATATAAATATGACCAGTTACATCTATGTTCAAAATGCCATTTAAAACTTAACTTCAGCCACAAAATTAAAAATGGAAAATTGAAATTACGTTTCCACTTGTAATTACTAGATCATCAATTTATTAGCCTGATGATAAATATTAAGAAACTCCCATTTTTGGACAAACGGTTGAAAAACATACTGGCTAGATCGAATAAATTCATACTAGGATTCATGTATTTAGTTATACTGTAAATTTAGGGTTAGAAACTCAGAATGATCGTATATTTTACTATAAGCAGCACCAGACGTGAAGAACAGAATTCTTTTGAACTGAAATTTATATTCTTTTTGCAAGACACCCAAAACAAAATTCCGTTGAATAATACATTGTCTTTGACTTAAATTTTGGCCTCTTTCTCTATTAATGGATAAGAATCATATTCACCTAACTAAATCTAAAACCAAGATGAAGCTAAAACAGAACTTAGCTTGGTGGTCTCTTCTTCTTGTGCTAGAAGAACGTCTGTGGATAAAACACTTCTCTTTCGTTTCAAGAAATGGAGATTCTTTGCTTTTGCTGCAACAATTCTTTTGTCTCCTTATCTCTTCATTTAGTTACTTGATACTAACGCTAATGAAACTTATAGTCAACTGCTGATTTGAGTTTCAAGCATCTCCAAAGTCTTGAAAAAAAAGCATCTGCATATTCTATTTTCTTTCTTCGTCTGTCTCAAATTCTTGGAGGAAGATAGTATATAACTTAGCTTGTTTTACAAAAATAAAAAATTAATAGAAAAGAAAATTAGAACCCTAGAATTCTGAAGTAGCATTATCAATCAGATCATAAATGTATAGTTCCTTTTTTTTTTTAATTCTTTTAATATTTTTAAACAGGGTCCCACTTAAGGGGGCCAAAGAAATCTCTAGTCACAATCAACTCTCTGTATTGTGTACTGTACAACAAACATGTGGGAGCAGTCATAATCACCTGATCAGAGTTTCATTGGTAAAATGTGAAGCGGCATAATTGGAATTTAGAGATGAGTAAAAGCTGAAGCAAAGTTCTATTGCATACTATTATATTTTGCATCTTTAAAATTTTAGTTTTGTAATTATTAAATTTGTTTTTTCTAACTCATTAATAACTATTAAAGATAGATATTAAATCATTAAGTTTAAGTTAAAGTAAAAATAAAAGAAGTTATATAAGTATTATTATTTATACAAGTAAAAATAAATATTACATGTATTATTATTTAGATTAAAAAATACAAATCAAACATTAATAGATTTCTTTATGTTTTGTTGGTTAATTTAGTCTTGAGTGTTTTTATAACTGAAAACGACTTTCTCTATTTATTAGAGAAAAATAATAATATATAAAAATACAAAAATGGTTGTAATATAGTATAATCGTTTGGGTCTATAACGACTTTTGCAAATTTTGTTTTTAATGTCTTAATCAATGACATGACATTGTGGTCACATTTGACGAAATGCCATAAACGCTTTGTCATTTTTTTTTTTTTTTTTTTTTTTTTTGGTTGGTTAATTTTAGTCTTGAGTTGTTTTTTATAACTGAAAACGAAACTTTTCCCTATCTCTATTTATTAGAGAAAATAATAATATATAAAAATACAAAAAATGGGTTGTAATATAATATAAATTCGTTTTTGGGTCTATAACGACTTTTTGCAAATGTTTTGTTTTTTGCCCAGATCAACCTGTAAGAAAAAATTTCCAATTTCAATAAATATAGTACTAACAATTATTCATTTTCTTCTATGGCAGGAAAAAATAAAATTCCAAATCTCGATTTGAACCGTAACTGCGTCGCGCAACTGCACAGCCGCGTCACGTGTCTACACAGCTGCGTCACGCAACTTGACCCAAGTTGCGCACCTTTAAGCATAGCTGCGTCGCGCACCTCAGCACCCGTGACACGCCACTCCACAGCTGCGTCACGCAACTATTTGAAGTTCGTTACCCTAAGAACAGATGCGCCACGCAACTACACAGCTGCGCCACGCATCTCTACAGTTGCGTCACGCAACTGCTCAAGGCTCTGCCTCGTTGACGATTTATATGTTCTGAAACATTCTATTAATGGAATAAGCACTTATCTAAAATAAGATTAACTTTCTCTCTTAATTTTTTTTTTTTTTTTTTTTTATGGCGGAGGGTAAGAAAGAAAATTAAAAAATAAAATTTACCTAATTAGGACATTATCACGGTTTCTATTACTGGGCTGGACCACTTGCGCACCTTAAGCATATTAAATGGCTCACACCCATGCAGTGCAATACACAAACAAATGTCATTGTTATTGGGCCTAAAGTTATGAGCTTTCATACCTTTTGTGAACTGTAACTTCCGATACCTCAAAAAAGAAAGTGATATTATAATTACCCTTTTTAGTAATTTTTTTTTTTTTAAATATGTTCTGAACAATTCTATTATGGATAAGCATTATCTAAAATAAGATTAACTTTCTCTCTTAATTAGTTGAAAAGACAAAAAGAAATTTGAATTTGAATTAAGGATTTAGTTAACCTTTTTCTTTTCTTTTTTTGTTTGTCAACTATTGACTAAACACATATTTTAGGAGTTGTAATTAGTTATTAGTGTTAAAATTATAGTATTAAAGAATAATCTAAATCATCCAAAACCAACGAATAATAAGTCAAATGCCAAACCTAGCTTTCAATCTCCTGTCTAAATATATCAAGTACTTATTTAATTCACAAAATAAAATTGCAAGAAATAGAATAGCTATTTACATTTTTTTTTTCGAAAAAAAAAAATGGACTTCTAAGCTTTCCTTTATTTATTTATTTTATTTGGTTGATTATAGGTAGCTTAGCTAAGGTAAGATTCAATTATTAATAATATTAGTATAGTAGTATGATTAAAGGTCAAGTAGGTAAATGAAACATCTTTTTCAAGAAAGCGATTGGAGCTTAGGACAGCGCATTGAGACAGCTTTTTTTATTTGAAAACGAGCCCTTTTGTGTTTCATTAAAGCTTTCTCTTAATCTTAGCTTCTCCTTAAACAGATCTTAAGCATACCTAAAATCTAATCTTACCCCCTAATTATTTTATACTTATGTGTAATTTTTATTAGTGGAATTACAGGACCCATAACTCTTCTTTTTAATATTTTTATTATACTTTAATTTAATAATTCAACTGTTTAATTAATTAATTAATAATTGTCTGATTTAATAAAGTTTTACTTTAATAAATCTCCCAAGTCCCAACCATTATCGAGGTTGTTTGGAGGGATTTTTATAGAAGTTCGTTTTCAACCAAACCGACGTAATGTATTATTTATTTTTATTATTATTATTATTATTATTATTTTAAAGGGTGAAAAATAGGGAAACCATATAAGTTGTGATTATTCTTTGTCGCTGTCCATGCTACGCATGTTCTCATCAATATTATATTTTTATGGGTATTAATTATTTCCCTGTACTTCATTTAAAAAATTCATAAATTTATATAATAATTTATATAATTAATAATTATTTTATTTCAATCAGGTAGCAACAGAAAAAGCAAAATAATAATAATAGAATAAAATAAAAACCTGAAATATGAAAAAATAGAGTAAAGTAATGCAAGTAGAGTTTCAATCAAACATGACCCATGTGGGTTGATTAGTAGATGTCCCAACAAGGCAATAACTAATCTTAAAAATTGGGAATTCATTGTACTAATTAGACAAGCATTTGTAACCCTCTAATACTTAATTAAATCTCTAAACTCTAACATTAATTTATTTATATATATTATAAAGCAAGAAAAAGAAACACAAAACGAGGATGACGCGTTACGTGTTGGGTGCAATACATGCACAATAGAGAGAAAGGAAAAGAAATTTAGACAAAGGCATGACAAAAATTCAACACAGGCATGTTATTTGTAGCTGGTATGATTGTTGATAAACTTACAAGATTATGCTAATCTTAGGTGTCTTTTCTATTATTATTTTCCTACTTCCTAGATCATGCTTTGCCACAAAAAAAAAAAAAGTCAGCTAATCAAAGGCTTATTTTTTTATTTTTTTATTTTTTTATTTTTTTTTGTATGATAAGAAGTTTTAATTCCATCAACTGTACAAATTTTTTGCCATTTCAGCAAAGTTGCTGAAATTCGCTTCCGAGGTGATCCAACTATGTTCTCACCCTTACGAAGATTGAAGTGAACTATGTTCTCACCCTTGCGAAGATTGAAGTAGCTTATTTCCTATATGCAAATTAACTCATTTTTCTCAAGCATCAGTGCAATTAGGGATTTGGCAATAGCTGGAAGGATCAAGGTTATTACATGACTAATTTCATTAACTTAAGCTTTCTATCCTCACACCCAAATGATTAAATTAGTATAATGTGCGAAAACTAAGAATATCGAAAGAACAGCCAACTCCTAACCAACCAAAGATTTAAATAGTGATGAAGATGAGAGCAGGATTTGGCTAAATGATTCATATAGCTAAATCCAACTATTAAAGCTTGACCGGTATCGTTGCCGATGAAGAGAAGAAAGGGAATCTAAAATAATAAGATTTTATGTCACTGAATAGTCAAAATTTCCCTAGTCCTGAACTAGTTCGCCAATCTCCACTTTAAACTCTATGCATTCTGACATCTAATACTATCTTGAATGTCAACTCAACAGCAAAAGATAACAACAATAAAGGAAAAAATGGAAATCAAAAAGGAAGTGAGAAAATTTAGTGCACAGCAAGAGATTAGAACTCCGGTAAGTTAGTTGCGATTCGTTGTTAAGTGTACAACAAATTATGATTTCCTTAACCAGAACAAAAGGAACCTTGTCACCAGAAATAACATCAAAATACCATACCAGCAATATTCATTTTCAAAACAAATAATTCCCTACTAGACTTTCAAGTTAGATGGCTTGTTCTACTTGAACTAGATAAACAACAAGCAGAGGAGACTCACAAGCTTAGGCAATCCATATTAAGTCTCAAAGGAGGCATCCTCGACAATAATTCAAAATTTTATTGACATAAATACCACTTTAGATTAAGTTGAAACCTCTGATAATCTGCGAGTCGATTGAAAACCAACCTCCTCTGCTAGCCAAATAGCAACTTCTCAGCATCTCCATGCGGAAGCTGAAATGAGCTCTCGACGCTGCCAGCAAAGCACAAGCAAGGCTTGGCGCTTCTCCACATGAAATCCCCTAACTGGAGTCCTCTTTACCACACATTCCGCTTGAGTTTCAGTGAAGTTGCTGAAAGTTACAGGTGAAAACCCAGCAGAGGCGAAGATTGTCTTCCAATTAGGCATTATTTCTGGTGCTCGGAGACGCCCCAACACTGTACTCTCGATTTTTGGCTGGAGAAGAAACTTCTCAATCTTGTTCACAGCATCAGAAGCTACATTAACAGCATCCAGTGATTCCAGTAGGTGTATATATGATTGAAGAGCATGGAGGATATGTTGTGGGAATGGAAGGTCAGTTCTATCACACCCTCGATCCAAAGACACAACAATCTTCGGCGAAAGCTGCTTTACAAAGCGTAGCAGAGAGGGTAATACAGATGGTTGATTGGACGAAGACCAAATTGGGAAATTCACTGCAATGGCTTCATTTTCATTTGGTCTAAAAATAGGAAGAGAATAACAATTTTGTTCCAAGGAATCAAAGTTGACCACATCAAGTTCAAAACTTATACCAATCTCATTAGCAAATTGCGTTAAGTTATCACGCATCAGTAGTATCTCAACTGGATGGTGTGTTGATGGAGAGGCAAAAGCAGTGATTTTCATTGACGGGGGACCTCTATTCCTTGGAAGTTCCTGCATAAAAGAAGCCCATTGAGCACCAAAACCAATATCAAAGTCAATTATATGGATTCTATCAGCATCGCTGAGGGCTTCAAGAAGGGCCTGGTTGCAAGTGAAGTTAACAAATTGGATAAGTGGAGAAACTTCAGAAAAGACTTTGTAAGCGCCCATTTTGAAGATAATATCAAAAGGAGTTGGGCTCCTAGGTGGCAAGGTAGTGACTGGGTTGTTATTCATTAGAAGGAGCAGTTGCAGAGCCTCCTTGAAGTAGAAAACTGCCCTATGGAGTGGCTTTCCTATTGGGGAGAGCTGTTGATTGAGCCGCGCCAATATCCCTTGCGCGTGTGAGAAATTCCCAGTCCCTACCAGCTCAGCTGCCTTGTAGAGCTGGTCCAGCAATGCATGTTGTTGCTGTGCCTGTTGTTGTTGAGCTCCTACTTCTTCCTTCTTTACCACCAATGGCTTCTGCTGAAGTGGTGGATGAAGAAACTGCATCCCTTGTGGAAACCCCAGATGCTCTTGTTGTTGCTGCTGATGTTTCCTTAGCAATAACTCATGCCCAGGATCATTGAATGGAGGCTTGGGTAACATTTGAGACATTGGCTCCATGCCACCTGAGTTATGCCGTTTTGATTGGGGCTGAAGGAGATTTTCTTGCTGTGGAAATGATAACGGCAAGAAGAAGTTTGGATTTTGATTGTGCGGATTATGCAATTGTTGCTGGTTCATTAAAGCTTGTGGATTTAGAATCTGCGGTTTCTCTTCTTGGGCTTCAATTTGATGGTGATAAAGCATACCAGGAGGCAAAGCAGTTGGAAGAGAAACAGCAGTAGCCGGAGAACCAAAATTATTACTTCCTAATCCAACACCTCTATAATTAGGCAACGCAGTAGAAGAAGAAGGAGGAGAAACTAAAGCAGCCCCAACTTTTCCATTCCCATTATTGTTATTGTTTGCAGAAGAAATCCCAGAAATTGGAAATGCAGCTAAATTAGCATCAATACTTGAAACCCCAACTGCAATTCCACTACTCATGGCTTCAAAACCAGGGCCTTGATCAACAATCCCCAATCCACCAGCGCCATTGCCTTCAAAATCTTGAGGGTTGCTGTTTCCACCTTGCAATAGCTGCCTTAAGCCAAAAGATTCATCCACATCGCCGGCGATCCACTTCAAAAATGACTGTTCTTGGTTTGGCTCCGATAACATGTTCTCCCAATCTTCTAAGCCAAGTCCACATCTTTCTCCTGTAGAGACAATCTCTAGTCCAGTCGGGATTGGCTGTAACTCTGTAGCCCATTCATCTTTTCTTTCGTTGCTGACAGGATTTACAACTTTTTCAGTGGCCGTCGTGGTGTTGGCAGTGGTGTTGTCGGTGGAGTTCCCGCCACCGTCGCTGCCGTTGAAAGAGGAGGAGAGAGTCGAAGCCGATGTAGGTGGACTTGGACTTCTTCTCATATGAAGAACTGAAGTAGGCTCTGTGCTTGAAAAGCTATTAACTTCTTGTTGTTTTCGTTTCCAAGCTTCTTGTTGAGAGCAAATCGAAGCAAAACCAGAAATTATATCAATATCTAAGCCCCCCTTCCCCTGAAAATGAAAGGGCATCCCACTCATGTATACAGAAACTTCTTTTTTATCTGTAAAGAAATCAAAAGGAAAAGAGCAAGATTTGTGCAAGTGAAGTGAAGTGAAGGAATGGGTTAGCTGAAATGGGTTTTGCTCAGATTTGGAAAAAGAACGGAACTTTCTTCTTCTTTTATTATCTGAGATTTTAAGCCCACCATCGCTCTTTGCATGCCATGAAATCTCGCTTGTTTTACTCAAAGAAAGAAGGGACCCAGTTCAACAAAACACCTCTTTAGACTATTCTTCACTCTGTTTTTCCTCTTTTTCTTGAGCTCCATGATATCTATATCTCCTCTCTCCAACTCCATTGCAGCAGCTCCATCTCTCACTCTTTTTTCTTTTTTCTTTTTCCTTCTCGCTTCCTAAACCTTCTCGTTCTTGCTGGTGCGGTTGCGTTCGATCTTTGTTCTACTCTTGTGTCGTAGCAGTACTCTGTACCCCTCTCTGTTCTGCCATGGATGCGTGCATCATAAAAAAGGCAATAAAGTGCTTCTCTCTCTCTCTCTCTCTCTCTCTTTCTGTGTTAGGAGTTAGGACAATAATATGTTTGAGGCTGCAGGATGTCGATTAACTTTGATACAGAACAATGTAATTATACAGTTAAAACTTAAAATCGAATATTATAATTGGTGAAAAAGCAAAAAGCAAATTCATATGCCAATTAATTTGTCCAAGTGGTCAAACCGGAGATTAAGTTGTTAATTTTTCACTTTTCTCAATGCTTGTCAACATGAATTTAGGTACCAACTAACCTGAGTGCCTGCCACGTGGATATATATGTTAAAAAAAAAAAACCAAGAAGACAAAAAGGAGGAGGAGAATGAAAATTAAAAGAGATGGCCATGTCCTTCATCTTCCCAATAGGTTTAGATTTTAGAGAGAATAATCACTCCATTAGGTTAAGATACTGTTGGATTTGAAGAATATTAGATTCAATAAAAATAATTAAAATAGTAAATTTAAAACTAATTAGTATTTTGTATATGTTAGGTTTAAGTTACTATTTCGGTTGAAATGGGATTTTCTTTTTATTAAAAAATAATTATTTAACATGGACCAAAAAGGGAAAATTTTGCGTTTGCCTATAAAGAGATATCTAAGCAATATCATAATTATTTTCGTGAATAAGATTTGTACATATATAAAATTAATCATCCATACTGTATTTTTATGTTTGGATGACTAAACTTGCTAACAAAATTTTCTTTTTCTGTTAAATAAATAAGAAGGCATTCAATGCAACTGTTTGTAGCCAACATTTAAAACCAAATATGTTTGCTAAAGACTTTAATTAACATCTAAATAGTCGATAAAAGTTTTAATAAGCTATTGTTCTATTAGCTATATCTTGAAAAATTGTCTTAGTTGATTTGTATTTTTATCATACTTGACTATATTAATCTTATAAAAGAAATTATAAATAGAATTTTTTTATGATACTTTATTTAAAATAATTAATAACTATTAAAATATTATTGTAAAAAGATTAATTTATATATATTATATATATATATTAAAATAAAAATAAAAATCATATATTCACCCTAAAAAATTGAGAATACATTTATGATATAATGATAATATATAAAAATAATTATGCACTTTACAGTTATTTTACATTTTAACAATAATTCTTATTTTTCTCAAAAAAGAAAAAACAATAATCACTATTAAAATTTGACCAAATAATCAACTTGTATCTACTAATATTTGTTAGGGTCTTAGCCTTTTTTGAATATTATTTCATAAAATAGTTAATTTTTTATTTTTTTTTATTTTTATCCTAGCTATTAGTTGACATAAACAACTAATTAAAACTCAAAAAAAAAACAACGTGTAGAATAATCTAAACTTATAAAAAAGTAAAAAAAAAATACAAATACAAAGCAAAATAAAATGTTAAAAGAAAATCAAGATAGAGTTATCTAAACAGATTTTGCAAATTTGAGTCATATTAAATTATATTTTTATATCTAAAATAATCCGTATTATAAAAAAAATAGTCACGTAGATACGGCGAGTAGTAAATTAATTTTGTTTGTATGTTTTATTATAATAAAATAAATTAATTTCGTTGATAAAAAATATGAGTAGTAAATTAATAAACGACAATGGGATGCATTTAAATATTTGCATTACTTATATCAAAAATAATTTTAAAAGTTTATTTTTTTTAAATAAGAAAATATTATTTTATTTTGAACTAATAAAATATTTTTTCATTAATATATTTTCTCAATATCTCCAAAAAAATGCTGGATTTTTCCTATTATTGAAATCAAGGAAATGATAATCTACGGTCAAGATTCAACGTTAACTTACAAGACAAGCACAGACCCAGTTAAACGCGCCATTCTAAACATATCCAATTCTCACGAAACAGAAGCTTTTATGTCTTTGCGTTTCAGTCGAAGCGCGTGCACACCTCTTTCCAGCAGCGCTTGGGTATACAACAAATGATCGTTTTTTCTTGTCTCTGTCTTTGGCTCCAAATGGCGGCGAGGTAAAGATGATTGATTTACGGCCATCAGTGACCTTTCTAGGTTTTTTACCTTGGCTCCTCCTCCGACTGGGAAATAAAAACTGAATTCCCATGTGATAAAAACTATTGCAAGCATCAAAAGTAAACAGCTTAAGGGAATCTCCATTGTATATAGCTTTCCTTTCCTCAACTGAACTTAAAAAGAGAAGAGGAAGCGTCATTGCTGCATTGACGGGTCACAGAGCTTGAGGGTTTTGACTAAAAGACCATCATTCAACATTTGCATTTCCCTGTAATCCAATCAACAAAATGACAATCCATGTCATCAGAACAAATAGAATAAAAATATTCAAACTTGTTGAATAACAAATTAGTTTAGTTTTCATTTCCCTTTATATTATCAATAAGAAAGATACATATTTTAGGAAGTAAAAAGTAATTTTTCTCTTCTCAAAAAACAAAAATTCATATTTTCATTTCCCTTTCTCTTTTATTTGGAATAAGAAAGACTTTTTAATATGGGCCCTAGAAAAAAAATTCAATGTTTACAATACATTCTATTCCCTTTGCTTCTTCAACTCTTCCAAAGGGTGGAATAACAATTTCCACATTCCCTTAATCTCTTTTCGCAGGTTTTCCCTCATTCCAAACAGGCTGTAAATCTAACAGATAACACTAAATATTTATCTGTATAAAATTATAATTATCGGCGTATTAATCAGTAAATTATTACACAAGCAAATGACTAATTACAGTAGTAGATATTAAATATATTTAGCCAATAAAAAATCCCAAATAAGAATTCTACAGAATGTTCCATTTTACTTTGCAGTTGACGAGGATTACATCATTTTTTTTAATTTACCATGTCTTTTGTTTTTTCCTATGAGATAAGGCCAGAGTGTATACAGAGAACAAAGTGCATGGAGGTCGTCAATGATATGGAGCCATGTTCTTGTTAGGTGAATAGCTTACTGCACTAGATGAATAAAAATTTAAAAACGCATGAACCAAAAATGGAGGAGATGGAAGACGATTATGGAAAAGAGCAAAAAAAAAAAGTGCTTTAAAAAAAATAGTAAAAGTAATTTTAGCCACAAGTTGCTTACACCTATGTATTCTTTATCATTTAATAATTTTAGCAATATAAGTAGTCCAACTCTTAATTGAATAGTAAAAAAAAATTTTGAAATTAATGATAAAATGAAATTAACCTATCTAATATTTACTCCAACTCTTAATGGTTTTAATTATAATTTATATTGTTTAATGAGCCAACATTATCTGAAAATGGAAAGCAAATGAGGGTCTTGAAATGACAATTCATCCAATTTTTACTATAAATGATGTATTATTTCCAAAGTTATGTTTACCTTTTTTTTGAATTATAATCAAATTAGTCAATAATCGACGATAAGTATATTTTAATATTCAATATTCATTTATCAAAACATGCTAACGTGCAACGTATGTGCTAAAAAAACTAGTTAAAAAAAATAAAATAATACAAAGCTCAACATCATATTTGATTTTTTTTTTTTAAAGAAATCATCCATGGAATAATATATGTTGCTATCAATATCATTTTCTGGTATATATCAAAAAAAAAAAAAAAAAAAAAATTATCCCAAATCCATTTTTACTATAAATGAATGTATTATTTTCCAAAGTTATGTTTAACCTTTTTTTTTGAATTATAATCAAATTAGTCAATATCGACGAATAAGTTATATTTTAATATTCAATATTCATTTATCAAAACATGCCTAACGTTGAACGTATGTGCTAAAAAACTAAGTTAAAAAAAATAAAAATAATACAAAGCTCAACATCTATTTTGTTTTTTTTTTTTAAGAAATCATCCATGGAATAATATATGTTGCTATCAATATCATTTTCTGGTTATATAATCAAAAAAAAAAAAAAAAAAAAAAAAAAAAATCATTTTCTTGTGTTTCTCACCATAACTCGTGGGGTATGATTAACTGAATCCATGCACAATGGACCAATTACACCTTCCTCAAGTCTACATCTAACTTATTCAAAAGAGTCCTTTTCATTCAATGGCTCTAATTAAGCATGGAGAGCTAAGTTTTTGCATTATTTTTAGGTTTTCCATTTATGTAATTTCTTAACTAAATGTTACTGTTGTCAATTAAAATTGATGTGATTTTCAAGGCAAATATCCAATTTTTACTCTAAATCCAATCATATCACTCATTTTCAAAAATTAAATTATTTAAATTATAAATATTTTAAAATATCTAATCAAATTGACATAACATAATACACGTATTGCAGAAGGACAAGCAATAATAATAAGAAGCTAAATGGCTATCGACCTTAGATATAACTAAAAGGGGTGTTCCCTTGTCTTCATAAATATTAAAGCAAACAAAATTTTGTGGAGGGGAAGGAGAAAGGCGACATGAACATGCTTTGCTCTATCTAATATTTATGTTTAGAACAACTATTGTTTGAACATGTCAGAACCAAAGCTTTTAGATTATCTTTAGCCCCATGTGATCCCTAGCAAAAACCCTTTCATTGTATGAAGTGGAAAGTGACAGCTCAATTCCTCTTTGTCCCCTGTTCCTTTCCTTACAAAATAAAAATTTTATCTTATTAAATTTTCTCTGTAAAAATTAGGTATATATAAGCTTAATTTTTGTTTTACAATATATTTAAAAAATCATTTTGATTCCTACGATGCTAAAATTTTCTCTTTTTTTTTTTTTTTTTTTTTTTTTTTTGTATCTTTTTTTGTGTTTTTTCTTTATCTTGAAAGAGAAAAGAATAAAGGAAAAACATGGCACGTAAATGAAATGAAAGAGACAAATTGAGCACCCATTACCGACCGTGACTTGGACTCTAAGTTTCCTTACATGTATTTTCAATTTAGCTTTGGTCGGCTTTACATAAGAAGCGGGACTTCCCAATGTCTTTCCTCCACCCTCAAGAAACAAATAAATTAAAGCAAATGTAGCTAATAAAAGATGAAATACTAAAAAAATTCAATTGTGACGGTCATAATCTATGTGCATGCTTCCGTCAATTCTAGAAAAATAACTTAGAGAAAAATATTTTTTGTATTTTTTTTTATTTGAAGTGTTGAAAAAAATAAAATCACAAAAATATTTTTTATCAAAGAAAAATTATTTTCTTATTTTCCCTTATTTTCAAGAGCGTAACACCGCACATCTCTCTTTGAGAGACAAATTACACTTGGTACTTATTTCTCTAACCACGCTTATAAGGACTAGTAAATCTATATGAATAAAATAGCATAATGCATCCTCTTCGATCATTCTACAATAACGCAATAGGCACATCACTCGACACTCTTTTGTTTTATTGCCGGTCACGCTAACGACAGCATCTGCCGAGCCAGCCTTGGATTTATTGGCATAATCTTTATCTACTGTGTGGTATTATTAACACACAGAGTTATTATGTTGATATAATAAATAAATCTTCCTAAGAGGTAATAAACTAGTTATATGACTAAGGAGAAACATTTTTTTTTTTTTTTTTTTTTTGTATCTTTTTGTGTTTTTCTTTATCTTGAAGAGAAAGATAAAGAAAAACATGGCACGGTAAATGAAATGAAAGAGACAATTTGAGCAGCCCATTACCGGACCGTGACTTGGACTCTAATGTTTCCTTTACATGTATTTTCAATTTAGCTTTGTCGGTTTACATAAGAAGGGGACTCCATGTTCTTTCCTCCACCCTCAAGAAACCATAAATTAAAGCAAATGCTAGCTAATAAAGATGATATAAAAATTCATTGTGACGGTCAATAATCTATAGTGCATGCTCCGTTCATTTCTAGAAAATAACTTAGAGAAAAATATTTTTTGTAATTTTTTTTATTTGAAGTGTTGAAAAAAATAAATCAACAAAAAATATTTTTTATCAAAGAAAAATTATTTCTTATTTTCCCTTATTTTCAAGAGCGTAAAACATTTTTGACAAATTTATTCTAAGCTTATAAATCTATATTTTTGATTCATTAATCATCGACCACTACTCAATGGCCATCACTACCATCGGTCACTGACGATTTTCATAATTTACTATTTTTTTACATTACTTTTATATTTAAAAATAAAAGTTTTGAAAATATAAAATTTATATTATCATTATTATTATGGTCTTATGAATTAAAATTGTTAATCTTTAACTAATTTTCAACATTATAACTAAACAAGGGAAAATAAATCATTTAAAAAATATTTTTCAAGAAAAAAAATATATATATATATAAAAAACGATAAAGAATCCATTAAAAAAAAAAGAGGTTAATGATGTTAATTAATGTAAATCCTTACGTTTAGTGAAAATCTTCAATTAATAATTATAAAACCAATTATTTTTTATCAATTTCAAACAGCCCATCATATTGATTTAGTGAGTTCTGTAATATAATAACATACATAATTTTTAGTTCTTAACAAATTAAAAAAAAAAAAAAAGTTTTCTTGTAAGGCATAACAAAAATAAAAGACAAATACCGCAAATATTAAAAAGAACGACTCACGTTGATCCACTCCATGAGATGATTCATAAATAAAACCAATAATTTTTTTTTTTTTTTATAAAAAAACGATAGTACTTTGACTTATCTAGGAGGAAGCATTCTAGAAATATTATTTATAATATTTTCTAAATATATCAACTCCTGGTGGGAAAATGTACTCTTTAAGATCAATTTGGCTCGACCCTGGCAGAAATTGTAGAAATAAATAAATAAATATTTCAGTCACATCAAGTCATTATTGTAGATATTTAGTGCATGTTTTTTTAAATTAACAAAAAAAAAAAAAGAGATTTCTTTACTTTGAACATGATAGATTAAAGTGTCAAGATTAGGTTGGCACGTAGCATTCACTGCAATCAAATCATAGGAAACTGACTCCTTTCAATGCATGGAAAAGTAGTTGGGAGGAATTAATTAGCATGATTTCCATTATTTCTACATTCGAATTTGGTTGACAAAAATCCAAACATGTTCTTATCTCCTCTTCATGTAAGTTTATTTCAACAAATTAAATTTGAGATAAATAAAATTAAAATATTAACTTTTAACCTTTCACTTACGCATTAGTCAATTGACTTGATTTAAATAAATAATTATAATTTATTATAAAAACTATAATTATAGAATAATTTATTTTTTAAATATTGAGGAAAATAAATTTTATTTCCATTGAGCTGAATTTCACATTTTTATTGTTAAATGAAGTTTTGGGCCAGTAGTTAAAACTGGGGCCATAATCAGTTTTAGGCTTTATAGGTTCAAACCCAACAATATCAGGGGCCCATTTTCTTCCATATAAAAGTAATTGCACGGTTAATACTTAATTAGCTTTCTTTAGTGTCTTAATAACATCTGAATCTTAATCAGGTTATGAGATGGATGATTAGTTAAACAAACGTCATCATCATTCAATTGATTCCCATGGAATGCGTAATCAGTGGTATTACTGGATCTTTAATACTAATTAATGAGCTTTAATTAATTTGAACCGTAAAGCTGGGACATCAGTTTTTCTCGTTTACTGTAATTTCACTTAACTTTTGTCAGCTTTAATTAAGCAGGAAGGAGTATTTTTTTTTTTTTTTTTACAGAGAAGGAGTATTATTTTTTTATTTTTTTTAGGTTGTATACATTTTTTTTTAGTTTAGATAATACGGTGGATTTATTTTTTTTTTTTTATCTTAAAATAATTAAAAAGGAATTCACAGTGTTCAGTTCTGTCTATCTTGTATTATAATTTTTGGCTATTTTGGCTTTCCAGGATTTTGAACGGGGAATCACGTCAAAGATAAATATTATTTAGGCAATAATTGTTAATCTGATTGCTGATTATTAGCATCAAACCTGAAAACCCAAACCAAAACAATAAGAAAACGTGCATACTGAATATTTGGGTGGGTCGGCCCGGCATGCCATGGATTTGGTCATTTTTATTACTGAATTGGGCTTATAGTGGCTTCACAAGCCCAACTCATTTTTTTTTTTTTTTTTTAGGTTGTATACTTTATTTATATAATCGGTGATTTATTTTTTTTTTTTATCTTAAATAATTAAAAAGAATTCACGTGTTCAGTCTGTCTATCTTGTATTATAATTTTTGCTATTTTGCTTTCAGATTTAACTGAATCACGTCAAAGATAATATTATTAGCAATATTGTTATCTGATTGCTGATATTACATCAACCTGAAACCCAAACCAAAACATAAGAAAACTCATATGAATATTTGGTGGGCCCGCATGCATGGATTTGGTCATTTTTATTACTGAATTGGGCTTATAGTGCTCAAGCCCAAATATTTAGGTTGATGGAGCGGGGACAAAATGGTCAAGATGTATAAAGAAGCCGAGTAGGGCCTAAAAGAAGGAACTAGGGGATCCAGGCATATTCTTGTTAGTCCCAAAGTAACAATCTCGTATATTACATTATTATCATTATATTTATCCTAATCCAATCAGTTTAGACCACATTGACAATGAAAATGGGACCCAACTTCCATCATTGGATCAAATCTAAGTGCTTGAACTCCAAGTCTGCAAGAACTTACGAGCTAGCACACACGAAAATTGCTCAAATAAAATAGATAAATTTGGAGCTGATGTTTAAATAAATAGTTTGAAATTGTTGACGAAAATAAACAAAGCAAGGCGACATTTATTTTATCTGTAACCAAACAGCACACGAGCTTTCCAAGAGTTTTTGATCAAAAGCTATCTTCTTTTCCTTTTATCTCTGTAAGCTTGCTCCTTGACTTTATCTAGTCTGTTCTTAATTTTGAATTTTCTTTCCATGGATAATTTTATCTGATAAGGTCTTCTTATCGATTAGCATCAGGTTCTTGCAATTTCTTTTTTCTTAAATATTATAAGTTGTGGGGTTTTTCTTTGGCAATAATTGATTGGTGTTTTGGGTTTTTTAAAAGAAGATAGAAAGGTGGGATTTTTTTGTATTATGGGTTGAAGGTTTTTGTTTTCACTGGAATTATTAGGTTTCTGTCGGTTTGGATTCTTTATTTTGCGGTTTGCTTTATGAGTACTTTTGGTTATTTTGTCGCGTAATTCATTACTTTATGAATTGAGATAATTCATGTTTCATGGACTGAAATTTTTGATGAATCATCTTTAGTTGTTTGTTCTGTTTGTGTTTATGGATAGCAGGATTTATTATTCACTAGAAAGAATATAGTGATTTTTACTGATTTTTATGTGGTATTTTAGGAAGAAATGGCAAAGAGTTACTTCAAGCAAGAGCATGATCTTGGTATGCAGAATTGATGAAGAGTATATGAATATTCTTTAATTATTAGTTGGGAAAGATCAGAGTTTTTGACTGTATTAACTCTTCTTATCTTCAGAAAAGAGACGGGCAGAAGCTGCTAGGATCAGGGAGAAATACCCAGATAGAATTCCAGTGAGAATTTAATTTTGACTTTATACTGCAACATTCATTGTTAATTGTGATCAATGTGGATTCCTTTCTCACTGTTTATCAAAGTTGCGAGTGATTTAAAGTTGAATTGCTTACCCTAAAGTCATGTTCAAGAGTTGGCCCTGATTCCCGACCTTAAACTGCAACTTTTAAGAAAGATGACCTCTATGGAGTGCTTTATGCAAATGATCTTCAGCCTAACTGATTTCATGTGGAACACGGTTTTTAATTTTTACTCATCCGTTTTAGGAAAATGCACCTTCATTCTTTACAATAGTAATGCTGACTAGATGAAACTTGAGAGTTTGGGGATCGTGCTTTATAATATCGAAACTGAAGGATTAAAGTTTAACAAAAACTTTGAAACTTGGGGACAGAAGAATGGTCTAATTTAGAAGTTGAAGGCTATAAAGCATAATAGAAGTTTAGCAATTACGGGTTGAGGACTTAAGTATTGCACCATCAAAGTACAAGAACTAGTGTTTGTGTTGAAATAAGAGTGACCTGATTTAAGTGCATTTACACGAGAACCTTGAGAATCTTCGTGATTATGGTACTAGGTTTTGCAAAAGTTAATTTAAATTCACGCTTAAACTGTCTTTTTCATTGTATGATTTTTTAGAATGCAGATGCTTGCATAGTTTCTTTTATCATACTGAGGATTCCTGAAGTTAGTTAAAGAGTGAGGATTTGTAGGTTGAGGATACATATGTCAGTTCAAATATGCTACTTGGTGGAGAAAGTATATTGATATAATCTTAGTATATGAATAATTTAGATATTTATAAACACAGCTTAAAGCTTCTTTCTTCTTGGGTTTTGAAGCTGACTTGTACCTATATATGTGTTTGTTTTTTAAGGTGATTGTGGAGAAGGCAGAAAGAAGTGATATACCAAACATAGATAAGAAAAAGTAAGCATAATTTGTGTTTCTTCTTGTGTGTTTTTTCTTTTATGTGAAGTGAAAAAGGAAAAATCAAAAAATAAAGATGTAAATATGACACCTTCACACTCACATATATGGAAATTCAATTGAAATTGTTGAGCCTCTCAAGAAATAGATGTCATGTTATGTGAGTTAAGCTGGTTGTATCCATGAACCCTCCCTTGGAGAGAGAGACACATGGAAATGCTTATATTATATCCTAAGACTGACAGACCAACATGCAAGAAGAAAAAAGGAATTTGAAAGTAAAAGGCTTGTATTGATTATGACATTAAAGCTGACGTGATTTTTTTTTAACTCTGTCGTAGGTTGATTTATTAGCTTCTTTAATGACATATTGTGTTTGTTTCCTGATTGTGTGTGAAGTAACCTTGCCATTTGACTCTTCTAATCATCGCCTACTTTTCATTGTCAGTATTGGTGAGATTGAATCAGTACTATACCTCTGCCAGAAAACTATCTACAAGCTGCATTTTTTCTTGTTCTTGATACTATCTCAGACCATTCTGTAATAGGTTATCTATGTTCATATGATCATGGTCATTTTGCTTAGATGTTTTAGTGCTAGATTGTGATCTAGGTTATCTAAATAGGATCTTCTCACTTAGCAATGATTTGGTTCGTATGATAATGTGAGAATTACAGGTACCTTGTCCCAGCTGACCTGACTGTGGGACAATTTGTATATGTTATCCGCAAGAGGATTAAATTAAGTGCGGAAAAGGCAATTTTTATATTTGTGGATAATGTCCTTCCTCCCACAGGTAAATTTTTGCAGAGCTTGTTTTATTTCAGGCGTGTATGCTCTCTTGGAGTTCTGATTATACCTGTTGTTGTTTTCTTGTGTCTATTAGGTGCTGTTATGTCGGCCATATATGAAGAGAAGAAAGATGAAGATGGATTTCTCTATGTTACCTACAGTGGAGAGAACACATTCGGATCACAGATCCCACTGTAGCCTTGATTTGTTGAGCTTGCATTGCATTTCATTGCTTCTTTACTGGTTTCCTCATATTCAATTCCATAAGGGTTGTCTTCATCACCTGGTGCCCATAGTTTAATATTCTATAAAGACCCTGCCAGTGACTTAATGTACAGTTACATGTATATGAGCTCGACTTCTTCATTCACTTTCAATGTTAAATGTTTCTTCGTCTTTGTTATTTACAGTTACGTGTTCAAAAAAAATTGGGCTGCATTCTCTCTGTTAAATTAAAATGTGTAATACTAGTTAAACCACAAAGTTACAGAAATCCCACATTGGATTGAAATATGACTGGTTGATGCCTTGTTCTCTGCCGGTGGGGTAATCTTTTGGGATGAGACCTAGCCTCTCTCGCTGGACCAGGCAGTAAGTTCTGCAACCCCCGCTAAATGACCCGCCATATGGGGCTGACCATTTTAGCTGTGGTTAATTGACAGTTTGAAGAGAAACTCCATTACACTTCTTTATCAGAAGAATTGCCATATTGTGAAAAATATGAGCATCTTCATTTTAAGGCCATTCTTGTGCTATCGTTACAGGACTGTCTTAGCTCCTGACAGATGGAGATACTCCATTTGTGATTCAGAATTTCTGGGCTAAAGAGAAGCCCAGAAAGTTTTGGGCTGCTACTCAAATTACTGTTAGGAAATCAAGAAACAGGATCCTAAGTTTGCGATGTGGTCCAATCCAACTCCAAAAGACACACACACACATATATCACACGTGTGTGTATATATATATATATATATATATATATAGAACAAAGAGGTATGAAATTTCAATGGGCACATCCTAATTTGTGTTACATCAAAACACGATAATTTTGAATAAGACGAAAGAGATTTGGAGAGGGAGAAATTAATGAGGAACTACCGAATGTAGCTAGTTAATCAGCACAAAAATTTGTTTCCTTGATAGATATATGAGATTGAAATATGCTAATCCATTCATATCGATAGCAAAATGTGATAAAAGAAGCGGAAATTATATTTAAATCAAAAGGGGATGTCTACATAACTACATCCCTCTGAGTTGCATGTGTAGGAGTAGGACCATGTTTTAGACTTGATACTTAAAGCAAAATTGACTGAACAAAAACCATGAAACAAGCAATAGGAAGCTCTAGAAGACAAAGAGACCACATAGACACCTTGATTTTCTTGCCCGGGGCTACAAGACACGAGCTGGGCTCCTCCTGGTGATGTGGCAAGCTACTATCAATATGTGGAAAGCATGTGGATGAGATGCCACGTGGAATGCATTCCTATAGTGGACGGTGGTGGGGGACTTTAGGTCCCTTGTGCTTCCAAGAAGAGGTGCAAGTGATGGTTTTAGGCATGTACCCTTGTCCCCAACTCCACTCCCCCACTCCTTTCTATGTACTTCTGTTCCCATTTTCAGTTCGACGAAATTTTATACTATAATATATGGAATATGTATCTCAGTTATAAACGAACTGGGTGCCATTTTTTTTTTCACAAATTAATTTTATAAGTAAAATTCGTCTGAAATGATAAAACTAAATATCATTTAATATTATTGGAATTATGTCACTTATATTGTCAGATGCGCAACAGGAAACTAATCAGCCTTGAAAATATGATGACCGGATGAGAAAAAAGGATGAACGTCTCTCCTGCATTTAATTTTTAATTTTTAATTTTTAATTGTATTGTTCATTATTAATAAATGGTGTTTTAAAATTTAAATATCACACTATTATTTTCACATGAATTTATATAAAAAATTTGAATGGCTGGCTAGGTATTGTTATTAAACAATATATATTTGAATAAATGGTAACTTAAATACTAAACAACATATTCAACCTCAACATCTATCCAAGGGTAGAAAACTTACCAATATCGAGTGTTTGGTTACATTTATTGTCACGATCCATTTCCGTGGGCCGGACCGGCACTAGAACCTGGATAGATTTAAGGCCCCCGAAGCCCGTAGTAAGCCTAAATTATTTAAAACTCATATGCTATTCATAATTGTGGATTCAAGCCCAATAATTTATTTCACAAATATATCCAACATATTTCAACCTCAACATTCTATCCAATTTCGGGTAGAAAACTTACCAATATCGAGTTGTTTGGTCTACATTTATTGTCACGATCCATTTCGTGGGCCGGACCCGGCACTAGAACCTGGATAGATTTTAGGCCCCCGAAGCCCGTAGTAAGTAGTAAGCCTAAATTATTTAAAACTCATATGCTATTCATAATTGTGGATTCAAGCCCAATAATTTATTTCACAAATATATCCAAATAATAAATGTTTATACTTTATTTATTCATTTACAACTCATTTGAAATACAATTGCGAAACTCTACTCCATAATTCACTATTCTTTGCATTTACATATTTAATACAATGATTATTACTCCTATCGATCCATATCTCGTTCAATCAATTAGTCTCCACGATTCTTCTTTCCATCTATTACCTGGGGAGGGTTGGAGGGGGGTGAGTATTAAACTCAGTGAGTAGAATTAGATAACCCTCTCACCCCCTCACCCCAACAAATCGTACAAATTTGCTAAAAATAATTTTTATGTGGTCACCCGTATAAATGATGTGATTTATGCAGTTTGCGCACACCACAATGGCAATGTAAAACAACAGCAATTCACAAATATTATCACCTTCATATAATCACATCACGTGGAAATTTACTGTTAGTGGAGTCACCCTCGAAACCCGATGTAGCCCGTCTCTCTCACATGGCCCATCCTCTTTCACATGTCGCACCAGGAGCCAATCCCCCATTTCTGGCCGCACCGGTTTAATCCTCACACAAAACCAAGTCCTTCTCAATTATTTTTCCCAGTCTCTCTTTTTCTTCTCTTCTTTTTTTTTTTTTTTTTGTTTTTTTATTTTTTTTTTTATCAAACAGGAGTGGCCAACCCGTCGTTCTCCATCAAAATCTAGATTCATCAGGCCGCTACAACAGGTGGGCCACCCTGCGGGTGTGCGATCAAATCTAGATTATCAGGGTGCGCCCAATAAAGAAGCCAACTGTGGCATTTCAAATAAATCTCTTGTATATATATATATTATATATATATATACACACCAACATGCAGGGCAACGCCGGTCTCTCCATCAAAAAATCTAGATCTTCAAAGCGCTCACAACAGGAGGCCACCCTGCGGGCCTGCAATCAGATCTCTTAGATTATCAGGTGAGCGCCCAAAGAGACCCAACCCGTGGTTTATCCAATTATCATACAGATCAGAACAGTAGTGTGCACACGGGGGCACGATCTCCCATTTACCCGGCTAAACAGAAATCAGATCAGGATCCATTAAAACAGTAACAGTCTCACAAACCCCATTGGCTGACCCATTCAGCCCAATTCCACACAAACAAGGCACAGCAATATCACATCCACAGATAATCAACCCAATTTTAAATATTCAACAAATAGTGCAGCTACGATATGGCAATTCAACAAAATAATGCATTGATAACCATTTAGCCGTGAATGCATTGAGTGCAGCGGATGCATACTAGTTATCCTAACACTTACTCACTTTCTTTATTTGTCCTCTAAAAGGACTAGCCTTTCTCGCGCGCCCACATGCTTCCAAGCTTTTGTCCTCGCATTTTTTGAATTTTTTATAATCCTTAAAATTAAACAAGAAAATTCTAAATTAAGAATTTAATTCATAAAATTATATTCACATGTCGTTTTATTAGTTTTTGCGTTTTCCAAAAGTCATTTAATTCACTTTTGGTGAAAATTAAAAACTCTCTCTATATATATATATATGGTGTTCTAATTTATATAATTTATTCTAATTTATCAACCTTTAAATAAAAGCGTTAAGTAATATTTTATTAATTAATACTAATAAGGAATACTAATATTAATAATAATATTATATTAATAGAATAATATGATTGATATATAATAATTACTAAAACGCATAATAAATTTTATTCGTACTATCTATTAAAAGTCCTAAAAAAATCTAATTTCTACCGAAATTTCTAGCAGCATTTTCCCTAAAAATTGGGAACTATCCCACCTTTGTTAAAATACAACAATTATCAAATCACACACAGGCCCATCCATCGCGGCAAATCAATCAAATCAATATTTCTCATCCTCCTTCAATCTCAAACATCACCGCACAATCAAAATTATAATTACAATAACATTTATATTAAACTACCTTAATCCACACTTAAATTCTAATTAATATATCATTATCAAGGTTTCCTTTAATTACAATCAACATAATATTACAAAATCAATTAAACTACTCAATTAATAAATTAAATTAACTAAATTAATTAACTTCAAATAATAAAAATTAATTAATTAAACTGAATATTACTAAAATTTAAATTAAATTAACCAAGATTTACTAAAAGTAAATTTAATTAACCACAAATTTTAATATTAATAAAATAAATTCATACCCAAACAAAATATTATTGTCCGAGTTTGCTTGATCGGTGACGAAACCAAATCGACTGGCCTTCAACCAATCTCAATGGAACGAAATGAAAGAGCATTCACTGGATCGACCAAAACTGGCTGCAGCACTCACCGAAGTCGCGCGCAGGAGGAGCAGCGTCAAGCGGCGGCGACTAGCGATGGCAGAGAGAGCGAGAGAGGAGGCGCGATGGAGGTGGAGCTCGTGGTGGTGCTGCCCTTGCTCGATCTGTAACACCCCTTCCCGGTCCACCCGTAAACCCGAATGAATCTGACAGAGGAGCTGGCGGAGAGACTGCAGCGTCGAGCTGCAGCAAGGTGGCGCGCGAGGAGGTCCGATCGGGCTGGAGGTGGGCGCGACTCTGTTGCCCTGTCTCGCCAAGGACGCAAACGCAGTGAAGGGAAAAGAAAGAAAAGAAAGAAAAGAAGAAAAGAGAAGATGAAGAAGAAGAAGAAGAAGAAGAAGAAGAGAGGAGGAGGTGGCGTGGTGGCTGTGTCGGTGGAGTGAAGGTGCAGCGCTGGTGAGGGAGTGAGGGGGTGAGGTTTGCGTTGGAGAATAAAAAAAACAAGAGATTTTTCTAGATGGTTTGGGTCAAACCAGTTCGATTCGGCCCAAATCTTTGGTTTTCAATTGGTTTTCGGCTTTTTCAATCTTTTGGCTTTTCAATGTCGTTTTCGCATTTTTTCCAATCGGTTCTCACTGGTATTCACATTAAAATATTGAAATAAATTTACAGGGCTGTTCGCGTCATTAAAATTTAATTGGAAAATTATTTTGACAAATAAAATTCCGGGGTTGTTTCATTTATATAATAAATTAATCACAAATAATATTTTAGTTAAAACGAATATATTTTTATCACACATCAGGATTGAAAAAGATTAAAAAACACAGTAATATTTTAAAAAATCTTAATTTTTTCATTAGGCTTGCGTTGTATTCACATTAAAATATTGAAATAAATTTACAGGCTGTCGGTTCATTAAATTTAATTGGAAAATATTTTGAAAATAAAAATTCGGGTTGTTTCATTTATATAATAAATTAATCACAAATAATATTTTAGTTTAAACGAATATATTTGTTATCACACATCAGGATGAAAAAGATAAAACAGTAATATTTAAAAAATCTATTTTTTCATTGGCTTGGTTTACGGGACCACTCATACACCGAGCGTAAGCAAGAAGTTTTCTATAAGCACATAAATTTTAATTTTTATAGAAATTTCTTGGTTAATGTTACTATTTTATTTTTCTTTTCAATATATAATTAAAAATACTCTAATTTAAATCAAAACATCATTTCTAATTATAATTAGTTTAACGTATAGGTTTATCGATTCGAGGGAAGTGTTTCCCACATATCTATGCAGTAGATGGCTTAGCCTTTTTGCGATTAACAAGATAAACTTGATGAGGGATGTATTATTGAAATGGTAGGTGCAATGTTTAACGTATCTAAAACAAAACATAATTATATTAGGCTCCCATGCATTAAATTAATTAATCTCCAATATTAACCATACTGATCATCACCACGAAAAAATAAATTAACCCAATAAGGATAGGATATATGGAAAAAAAATTTGACTAGTCACCCTCTTTTATCATAAGATAGATCTAAGGCGTGTAAAGTCGGCAAAGAACAAAATATAGGTCACAAGGCAGTAGAAATTCAACGGACAAAGAATGGAGCTCCTCAGTAGAAACACATGGGTAGGACCTATAACATATTTGTAGATTTCTTTTCCTTATTTCCTTAAAATTAAAGGTTTAAGTGTGTTTATGTAACGATTCAAAAACCATAACTGATTTTAAATTGTTCTGGTTAGAGTAATCGGATACAAGAAATGTTAGTTATATCGTGATATTTATATATCAAACAGAACAAGTTATAATCTAAAAATTTATTTATATTATAGTTTGATAAAAATTAGAGAGAGGAAGGGACAAAGAAGGCCCCAAGAATATCTTCAAATTTGTTTCAAGGTTCATTGCCCAAACACATGCATGTTGATGTTCTCTTAAGGGACGTCTTTCTGTTTCATCCGAAAGCTGCATTTATTGCTTTTGTTTCTTCAAGCACTACAAATACTTAAAACCCTAGCTAACTCTTAACTCACCAAACAAAACCAAACTCTCATCTCTTTCTCGCTCTCTCTCTCTCTCGATTTGTGGCTTTGTTAGCTTCCATTTTCTTGCTATGTCTCCTTTTCTTGTTTTTCTTCTTATAAGCTTTTCTTTGCATGCATGCAACGCTCGCTTTCTTGGCTTCAATGACAAGGTATATAACATTTATTTATTCACTACTTAGCTCCGAGGTTTACAATTTTACGTATATATATTCAATGTTAGGAAGAAATCAAATTTAGGGTTTGATATGCAGGATCTGCATAAAGTGCATCTTCATCAGATTTCAATTCCATCTGAAATGATCTCTCCAGCTCCAGAGGAAGTTGGCGAGATAGATAGGAGGAGAATCCATGAGAATTCTCTAAATATTGGTGCAACTACTATGAAGCAGAATAAAGAACTAACTTCTTTTAAGGAAGAAGAAAGCACAAAAACAGGTTTAATAATTTTTCCAATTTATAAATTACAGAAGATAGTAACAACAAGTGCAATTAATGCTAACGATATATAGTGCTGGTGTTCAGGAAATGAGCTTATCGTATTTTCGCAGGATGGTTTGCAAGACAAGGATAAAATTGAGGTAAATATAAAATAAAACTCCATAATTTTAAAAAGATAAGAATGGTGGTTATATATATATATATATGGTTGTTAGACAGTTAAGATTCTGGTGTGCGACTGAGATTCATGGCCCATCTTCCTTACTACATGTCGTTAATGAGTTTAGCAAGAGCAGACGGTCCGTGCATGCGCAGAGCAGAAGCAAGAAAACATTGCTTATATGTTCAATCTCTTGCTTCCTTGCGTATATGTTAATTGACAAGTCTTCTTGCACTGAACTTATATATATATATATATTGAAAAACATATCCTTTGAACAGTTATGCTCTCCTTAAAAACAACTGAAGGAAATAAAAAGTTATGTAATATCTATCATATGGTAATTTGGTATAATTATTGTTCTTGTGTAGGGATGGAAGAGGCCACGACGGTCCATGCTAGGATCGGTACCAAGTGATACAGAAGAAGCTGTGGAATCCAACGAAAACGACATTGCGGAAGGCGTAGTAGTTACAGATTATGCACAACCTCATAGGAAGCCACCTATCCACAATGAAAAACTTTAGATCGATATTTTTCTATATATTTGCAAAATTATGCATTTCCGTTGATGTCAAATTAGAACATGATGTTTCCTAAGACTATTCTACTAGCTATAAGGTTCTTAAAAAAAATGCTATAAAGTTCAAATAATGCACTCTTGTCTTAGCTTACTACTATTATTACAAAAATATAATTTCTCTAGAAGATGGTTTTAATGGTTGTTTTGCTTTAGAAAAGCACACTATGATGTTTTTAAGAAGGAAGTCACCGCAAATCACAATCAGCTGATCTCTTGGATTGCTATGATAAATAGCTGAGTTGCTAAATAAAATCAATTCATCCTATTTCATAATAAGATCCGAGACGTAATATGGTTCTAAAGGATGAACTGAATACAGAGCAATTAAGTATTAGTAGCATACCAAAAATATGTTCTTCTTCATTAATGTGTCTGCTCGGGGTTGTCCATTGGAAGATGTTGAATAGATGGATAACAATAGCATCATTCGTTGTATTTAGACTTCTATATCAATGAGATGCTGAATAATAAGGAACACACCAGACATGGATGTGTTCCTGTGGCTATATATGTGTTGGATGTTGTTCCTAAAATGGTCTAGGCAATTTGTTAGTTTGTTTTTGGTTGATGTTTCAATCCTCGCCTACTATTGTATTTATAAATAAGTAAAAACATGAAATTTTTTTAAAAAAAATACCAATAAATTTCTGGTGCGAACCTTCAAAGTTCTCATGGCGGCAAACATACAAAAAAGCCATTTCAGATGTTTTTCCAGGGCATTAAACCCATTCGAAACGAATCAACAGATATCAAACTATTTTTCAGGTAAAGTAAATGTATATGTATATATATTGCCAAATGAACTGATAGATTTCTGTAACTTTCGCTACCATATCATCTGCTACAATAAAGTATATAGATATCCAATACAGATCCTTCAATTGAAATTCAAAGCTATGAAAAAATACTAACAGAAGAAATATATGCAGAGGAACAATTTCTTCTGTAAAGATGATTTGAAAGGCTGAATTTTCCGTTGCAGAACTTGATGAAAATGCAAATTCCTTCATCTTTCAGTCCAGCAGCCTTATCTTTTTTTCCATTTAGTCCAAAAAAAGATTCATTTGAGTTAATCATGTGCCACTGCAATTGACAATTAAAGGTTTAATAGAACTGATAAATTCTGAGGTCCTAATCCCAAGCTTCAGGTCAATCTCCCCACCACCCAACCAGAAGAAATCAGGATTCAGCCTTACAATTGCTTCATCCAAAATAACCTGGGATCAAAACATCCACAATTCATTTAACAATAACAGTTGAATAATAATAATAATAAACAACGATAGTTCAATAAAATAAGTAATCCTCTGTATCCCATTTTCTACATAATCTGCAAGCTGCGTATGTTTGTCTGTGCGTGTGTGATGTGTAGACACGTGCATGAATGTGTCGCATTTATGTGTGTTTGTATGTGTGTTACGTCTTCAACTTAGTCAGACCTAGTTTTTGCATTTTCAGCTTTCTCAATAGTTCAGAATACATCTCTTTTTTTTTATTTTTGCAAAAATGAGAAGTCTTTTTGCAACATAAAAAACATTTTCAAGAATCATTAATCCTTTTGCAGTCACCTTCTATCATGTCTCCTAGACAAATGCAAAGGCAAAATCACAAAGAGACAAATATATCAAACAAACTTTTCGATGAAGAAACATGTTGCTAGCTCTAAGTGAGCAACCTAATATTTTTTTCAAGTGGCAGACTGGTGGAGAACCATTGATCTTGATCATCAATGTGGACCACAATATTAAAATTCCAATTTGACAGGTATAATAGTTTAAGCAGTGGACCACTTTATAGCTGGCATTGCAGTTGGTAATTTGATTAATCAAAAGGAAAAAAATGAAAATTCCGCATTATAATTTCTGATGCAAATAAATATTAGGAGTTCTTTTTCAATTAAAGTTTATCAGAATCTCATTCATCAGTATCCGTGTCTATAAACCAGCCACACTAGCCATAAGAAAAGACAAGCATCGGTATCTGCCTAAGCATTTAAACCTAGTTGGCCAGCTCGAACATGCTACTTCAAGCAAGGTTGGCCAACTCGAACATGCTACTTCAAGCAAGACAGCAAGACAGGACACTGTAGCTGTACTGTCTGGAAAATAAGGCTCAAGTGCATGTGCACAGCACAAAGACCTTATAAGTGATAAATATGAGTACCTTACAAAAGTCGTATGTTACAGCATAACAATTATTCTGTTCTCTAAATGGAAGCTCCATCCCAATTTTTCTGTTCTCTACATTGCATTATGTTACAGCATAACAATTATTCTTCCTCTGATGGATTACCAACACATTTATATGAGACTACCGACCTTTGAGAAGATGCGATTATCAACAAGTAATTGGATGCATTCACATTAGAATAACATGAAAAACATGCAGCCAATTATGAAGCTATGATAATTTAATTTTATAATGTAGATAGTTCCTAAATAATTGCGGGTGTACTTACTGGAATGTCCGTTTTCATGCCAATACATGTCACTCCATTGTGCTCATATCCAGTCAACTTTACAGATGTCTCCTCAGGAGCAAGCCTTACTGCATTGGTAAAGATATTAGTTACTTCCCCAAGTAACAATAAAAGAATGTTTAAAGACTCTTACCTTTTATTATTTCAAGCCTGACAATGGAAAAAGAAAAACAGGAAGAAAATAATGCAGCTAACCTACAATGGTTTGTGGTTTATTTGGTTTGAAATGCAAATATGCATGCCTGTTGAGATACAAGTTTAAGATTCTGGAAAATTGATGATTTACATTGCTCAGTTCAGCTTCCACATGAGCTTTTTCTTGAGCACTTCATAAACTTTCTCATACTAGTTAAATATTCATAGCGACCAGATGAAAATTCTTGGTGTGTGTATTTATATATTTTACATTGCCGCAGTTAAAACAGCTTCACATGAGCTTTTTACGTTGAGCACTTCATAAACTTGCTCATACTAGTTAATATTCATAGCGACCAGATGAAAATGTCTTGGTGCTTGTTGTATTTAATATATATATATATATACTATATATATATATATATATCTTTTCCATCGAAACTCCATTGGCCTTTTGATTGCAAAATAATGTACCACTTGCCGCTTCATCATAATCTGCACAAGAGAGTAAATATTGGGTTGCTTTGCTTCATATGGATATATCTTTCCCAGTCGAAACTCCATTGCCTTGATTGCAAAATAATGTACACTTGCGCTCATCATAACTGACAAGAGATAAATATTGGGTTGCTTTGTTCATATGGAAATGAACAATGTTCTTGTTAATCAACAAATCAAAAAGAATTTTATATGATTGTTGTGTGCAATTGGAAGTCATTTTTCTTGGATGCAAGAGCAAGACCCACAAGGAAATCAAATTTCCTGCAACTGATTCTCCCACAACCTTCTAAATTCTAATGTAACATGAACCTAAATTGGACGATATGAAGATTTTGAGCAGAAATATTAAAGTTTGGCAATTGATTTCCATGTTTTTCCTCATTCATGTTATGCATGATAAGGCCCTAAATCACCCAAATGAAAATGAAAACACCAAAGTATAAAGAAGTTAGAAGTATTTTTAATAATACAACTTGCATAGTTAAGTCTCAAGCAAACTTTAATATGAAATGTTTGATGATAAAAAGAGGATAACAACTTACAGTTGAATTTCTTTTTAGCTATCTTGCCATCATTGAGTGCATACAGATAGTTTTTAACAGTTTCGGCATTGAACCGAGCAGTATACTGCAACAAAGCAGATGTCCACATGTAAGTAGCTCAGACATCATATTGGATGGAAAATCGTCAACTAGAAATAAGGTACCTGAACTACAACAATGTAATACTTTGAATTATTGCGGTCACTACAATCAGTAATGTTTGAAGGAGCCTGTGTATTAACCTGCAGGAAATAAAAGAACTTTAGCATAAAATTCAAAATTTAAAAAAAAAAAAATCTTTATGTCATGATGCAACACAAAAGGATTAGATTTGAGATTGAATAAGTATCAGAATAGTCCTGAAACATTTTGTTCCATTATTGCCACTAATAGATATAGGAGTATACAAGTAATCAAGCCATACACATTACATGTTACTCTTACGTACAGCAGTTTTATAATACTTTGAAAGATCAATGCTATGTTTCTAAGATGCATGATTTTTCAAATGCTAGAATGTCTTATCCTATTTAGTTAGTATTCTAACCATGTAGCACTTTAATTCTTTGTTAAAAATAGACAATAAATAAAAGAATAACATCCCCATGGTTACAAACTTCTAGATTGGCACTCACTAGATAACATGCTTCTGCAAGCCCTGACATACTATGACTTATAGAACTCTTAGTACTACCATTATATATATAATTAGGGTGGTAATAGACTTGAAGCTTTCAGTAGAATATAACTCCTTTTTTGCTTAATTTCAGATTCAGATCCAAAAAGGAAGGTAAAATATTCTTCGTGTAAAAAGCATATCAAACTCTAAGAATTCTTTTGCAGTTCCCTTTCAATTTTAATGTGATGCTTGAACTTGGCACTTTAGCTAATGTGTCAACTTCTCACGATACTTAAACAGGTTTGAAATATTCAGGCATAGCAAGTGAAATTCAGAAAGAACAGTTTCAATCAATTTCTTTTTTGTTTATCTTTTATATAGTTCCATTTCTGACATCTGTCAGTCTTGGCCGCCAAATGAGTTTAGATTGGAATTGCATAGTGAATGTAAAAGCAGCATAATAGAGACTTTTTTTGCACATTTCTTTCGACTTTGTCACTTCCATCAAAGCATGTTGCTGATGATCCTGTCATTAGTAATAGTTTTCTCCTCTACCTCTTCTCGTTACTGCCTGTATGTTTTAATGTTACACTGTCACTCCCACCACCCAAAACTTTTGCAGTCACAACAATCTTTCTTCTCTTTTTTTCTTCCTATAATTTTTCTTTTTTAACTTTGAGCTCTTCTACCCCTTCTCATTGACCTGCAGGCTGCATGCTTAATTTGGATTGAGCATGCTTAATTTGGAGTTACGCTTTGTTTATCTAAGTCTTAATGGACTTCAAGTTTGATTATATGGAGTTATGGACTGCTCTATTTTCATTAATTTTGAAAGTGAGCTTCTAATTTGGTATTCCTCATTTCACTTACAATGAGACAGAGGCAGCCCTGAAAATTTCAGGTAAATTGCTTAAGCATCCTAATACTAGTTCAACATAATTTATCTACTCATCCAGAACAAATATTTGACCTATCTGAGCTGTATCCTTGAGTTCACACACTGCAAAAATGAAGTATCTAGATAACTACACTCGAGATACATACCTAAATCCAACATAGATTCAAATTTTTTCTAGTTTTGAACATCCACATGTCTTCGAGCCCTATCCACATCTCCAACTTGCTATTTCCATTAAAAAGAAAAAAAGGTGCTGATATCTTCTTCTTTATAATGCATACAAGACATTGCATAACATATGAAACAGAATATCTTACAATACCGCAATAATGCATTAGCTAAAGAAACTATTGTAAAAATTTCAGAAGCTGAGCACCATAGCGTTTTAAAAGAACAATCCTGTCTTTGAGTAACTGAAAGATAAACTAGTTACTAAAATATCCTTGCATTTCTCTCCAATCAAAAACACCAAGTTTACCACAAACATCAACTTATAGTATAAGAATATTTCCCCGTTTTTCTCCAAAATCTCTCCAATGAATCATCCACATTCCAACAGATTACAGGAAGTAATACTCTCAAACAACACCACAGATAAAAAAAAAAATCATAATTACAGAGTGAAGTCCTTGTCTTTCCACATGGGGATTACCAGAGAAATAAAGCGTAGATTAAAAACAATAGAAACATAGTAATTAAATTCTATCTGAATTCAAAAGTTGAATGGAAAGAATCAAATATGTTATTGAATGAGAGAAGAACAGTCATCTCTCTATCATAAGGAGTTCTTCCGTTCTGAATAAATAAAAATCTCAAAAAGCCTCTTCCCCTTACAATTTGCACAAAAACCAAAACAGCACCTTAATTATCTAGGTATAAAGCCAAATTTGGACGTGTGATAATTATGGACTAGAATCACCTAATTCACCACATTGAGTGTACAATACTACACCAATGTCAATGTCCCCAGTGAATCTTGTGTAACAATCTCAGCATTCATTCTCGATCAAATCTCATATTCTAAAAGCAGAAAAATCAAATCAATGTGTTAATTTACAATTCGCAATATTAAAAAGACCTTACCAAAACAATGCTTTTGCATAGGTGATCGATAGAGGCGGCACCGAGAATGTCTCGTCGGGCCTCCAGAGACCAGTCATAGTAATTTGGAGGAACAGTTTTGAATGCGAAGTCATTTACGCCACTTGATCGGAGAATGGAGGAGAGACGAGCTTCGGTGTCAGAGGCGGAGGTCTGGCAACAATTTGTGTCGGGAGAGGAAACATATGCTAGAGCAGATACGCTGCTGTTTTGAGGAAGGAAAGAATGCTCAATATTCGATATCCGTTGGAGGGTTAGGATTTGGACTCGCTCCAGTTCTGCTAGAGCTGCTTCCATTTTGCGTCCCTCGTTCCCTCTCACCCTCTCAGACTCGCAGTCCAATTCCGTTGTCATGTATTGAGCTGTAATCTTCTATGTGCTTGACCATGAAACAATATGGTTGTGGTGGGTGTCGTATGGGTATAGAAGTGGGACGCCTACCACGAATTTTTACTATATATTTAAACGTTTAAATATATTTAAACGTTTTTGCTTGACCATGAAAACAATTATGGTTGTGGTGGGTCGTATGGGTATAGAAGTGGACGCCTTACACGAAATTTTTACTATATATTTAAACGTTTAAATATATTTAACGTTTAAAATTCTATTTAAATATTAGAATCCGTATATATTTAAAAATTTATTATTAATATCTCATTTTAAATTTATTTAATAATATACACATGCTATTTAAAAAGTGGGACAAACGTTTAAATATATTTAAACGTTTAAATCTATTTAAATATTTATATCCGTATATATTTAAAAATTTATTATTAATATTCATTTTAAATTTATTAATAATATACACATGCTATAAAAGTGGGACGTATACCACGGATTTTTATTACTTGGTTATATTTAAATGATTAAATTTAAATATTCGTTTAAATATTTATATCCATATATATTTAAAAGTTTATCGTAAATATTCATTTTAAATCTATTAATAATATACGTTAAACATATAATCTAGTGATAAGTATATTTACGATCTAATTATAAATTCAGTCAGATTTCCCTAATGTCTGTGTTTTTAATTTATTTATATTATTGGCTTCACTAAAAATTAATCTTAATTATCCCTATTGAATTTTTAGTTTCTAAAATATTTTTTTATTTTTTATATAAATTTCAAAATAAATTTATATTAAAGAAAATAAGTTTTAAAGATAGGACCGTTAAATATTTAAAATTATATTAAAGAAAATAATTCATAATTATACTCACATACACACACGTATATGATATTTTTACGGGTTAAGTGAACTTATGACTCAATTCAACACGTGAATTATCAAAATGATCAGCCCAACCAATCCATTATATTTTCAAACCCACCGAGTTGAGTTGGATTGAATTGGATTAAAACAGGATATATATAGACCTAAATAATAAAATGAAAATAGTAATGCTTAATAACCGATTTGATAAATAAAAGTGAACTATATTATGAGACTAGTAAAATTTAAAATTTAAAATCATTATTTTGAAATACTCTTTTACCTATATATTATTCGATTCGTTCCGTTAAAATTGACAATTTTAAATTTTTTCACAAGAATTAAAAAAGTGATTAATCACTTAAATTCTAGAAAAAAAAGATAAATATTATTTATGTCAACCCATTATCAACGTCCAAATATGTAAACCCAAGCCACAGTAGCCGAGAGAAAACGGAAAAAGAAAACATCTTTTAGTATTGCGGAGACCCAATTGTGTAGATACTTTACATACATAGGATATTTTAAATTTTATATAGACTGATATCATTATATATTATATAGGATATTTCTTACTTAACGGACACTCATAAAATTTCAATAAATAGAGAGCGAATCTATTGTAAATAACGTGTGAATCTATGCAAATAAATCGAGCTGCATAGTCTATTCAAATCACCTTCTGTATCTTTTTTTTTTCAATCCTTAATTTTTTATTTTTTCCCTTCTCCCTCTCTTATATTTTTTTGTTATCTCTTGAATTCTTTTTATTCTAACATGCCTCAATTGATTGTTAATCTATTTTGATCGCTCTTGATAGACGGAAACCTAACCATCTATAACCCTATAAATAAATATATATTACAATTAATTTTAATTGATTAATTCTTGGGGTTTCGGCCAAAACTCTAGACGGATCGGTGAAAATTTAGAATAAAATTAAAAGATAGTGCACCAAATTAAATAATACCGTATAAACAACAATTAAATATTTGGGATACAATCCCTCAATTTTTATAAGCTATAATAGCTTCTGATTTGCTTTATTAAAATTCTGTCTTTATTATTATTATTTTTTTAAAAGTGTGGTTAAATTACCTTGGAAGGTCTGGAAAGTCCATCCTTGTGCAACATAGCAGAAACCACTGCCCACCCATAGATTTGATTACGTGAACCAAGTCCAAAAAAGAAAAAATAAATGAAAAGTTTTTCTTGTCCCATTTTCTATAGAAAAAATACGGACCCCTAACGCGTGGAGCCTGGATCGCATATATTTATCACTCACGTGACTTCCGTGCAGCATCGCTTTGATGTTGAAAAGCGGAAACATGATAGACGGTGATCCTTCAGTACACAAGGCAAGTTGTGATTAGATGAAAATGTAAGGTCATAGTCATACAATAGGTTACCCATTTCTGCTTCTGGACCGGCGTACACAATATAATATCTGCGGCAAAGAGTTCGGAATTACATGTTTAATATTTCAAAAACACCTAAGCGCACCTGAGGCGCGTGATGCTGCACGTGTCGCTAGTTTTGCTTGCAACAAAACATCACATTTTTATCCAATTATTATCCTTTTATTTTATCGAGTTGTTCAATAAATATACGGAAAATATTTTCTTAAAATAGCAAAACTCTATTATTAAGTACAACACTATATATTTTCTCAAAAAAGGAAAGAAAGAAAGAAAGTAATATATGTAAAACTTTTATTTTCCTTAACCTATTGTGCAAAAAATAATATATGAAAACTTATAAAAAATAGAAAAAAGCAATCAAATACATGGGAATTCTTGGTTATAAAATTATTTTGATCAACATTCAAGTTTTATCACATTTTAGTCCCTTAGTTATATATATATATTTCTAAATTCTTAAATGTTATAAAATAATTTAATCTCTCAAAATTTAGTTTTTCTGTATTTTTTTATTAACAATAATATTAACTATGAAGACTAAAATTACTATTATTGAAATATTTAAACGTAAAAATTTTAATTTTAAAATAATGCAGATCAAAATGCATATTAAGACAAATTTCTAACAGCTTCTTTTACAGTTTAGTTTAATAAAATTTAGAAAAGGCTAAATATATTCATACAATAATATATAGATGCAATAAATTTATTTTTTGAATTTTAATTTCTGTGTAACAAAAAATAAATAGTTTGATTAAATTAATAACCTTCATTTTAACTGGATTCTTTCAACACAAAGCAAATTATCCAAATGTAATACTCCATTAGATTATTTAATTATTTATTATTGTTTTAATTAGTAGCTCATATGAATTGAATTCCTTCATTTTCTTTGATCTCGTATCCTTAACTTAAAAGAGGGGGAAAAAAATCTCGAATCTAAGGCGCGTTGCATTTACGAGTAGTTTCTTGAGATTGGAGAATATTTGTTATAGACTAAAGAGTACTTCCAGAACGTTAGACCGTTGAAAACCCCAAAACATCGTTTCTTCCTTAGCTACTTTCCTT